TAAATCGGCCAGGCATGTACCCACCGATACCCGTCGTTTGTGCTGTATCTGCGACTCATCAGCATGTTTCTCATCGAACACGATGTAGAACCTACGATGAAGATCCAGGACCAAAAACGGGATAGCCATTTGGCACAGGCAAAAACAAAATCCATCTGTGCATGTCCCGTGCCACCCGCAGTATCGCTCACGAGGACCATCCCCAAGGTCTGATTGCGAGACTTGCGCGAAATGGATGGTTTTCCCCCCTTACAGCCCTGAGATTGAGCGTTGAGACGCTACACGAAAGCTGCAACCGATGTCTCGAATCGTCATCACGCCGCGAAGCCTTATCAGACTTGGACGAGCGACTGTCCATCCACGATCCGACGGTGCATGGACTTGTAAACGAGATGGGTCAGCGAGTTGCGAGCAGATCCGATCTTCAATGGACGGTATGAACATTGAAGACATTAGCTAGCGTGATCAAAGTACCCTGCCAGGAAAGCAGTGTCAAAGTCAAATGAAGGCCGCCTATCGACTCTCCAATAACCAGGGGATTTGTTCCTCGGACGGCGTATGAACTGATATCAAGCATGCCGCCACCCGCATCAGCTACAAGGAATCCGTGCCTAGACGGATTCTAGGGATACGTCAGACAAGAAGTGCGTGTGTGGAATATGTTTGGAATACACACTGGAAGAACGATGGCGGCAAGACCGCTCTGGACACACGCTTCTCCTTCCGTGACAAAACGGATTCACGCTCAAGTGGAAGAGGGGATGCGTCAGGTCTTGGCGAGGCCATGGGACTCTCCCATAGACCAGCTACTCTATGATTTGGGCGCCCCCAATTTGGTGTTGACCACACTGGAGCCCCATCCGGTGCTACCGCCTCCACCAGAGAAACCCCAAACGGGGGAGCCAACAGGCTCTTGCACTGCCAGTCACTTTAGTGGCACCCCACGACTAATCGGGGCCCAACCACCATCACCGGTGGTATCATCCGCTGATGCAGATGGTGCCTCCGACGTGAAATTGAGTTCGAGTGCGAGTTGTCTCCGCGTGCTACTCGGCAGCCACCTCTGAAACATCCACACGAGGTCCCTGGGAGCTTCCGAGATGAGCTCAGTGGGAACGGTGTCTGCGGGCGTGGTTGACGATGGAGGGCCTTCCACCTTTGTCTCTTGCGTAATCTCAACGGAGATGCGGGTGGCTCGAGAGATATGGATGTTTGAACGAGCAGCGAGGCTCCAGGCATATTCGCCTTGGAGGTAGAGCCCCATACCGATGAGAGGGCTTCTGCTAGCTGGCCTGGACTCTTGCCCACGGTGGTGTCAGCTGGGTCAATCGGGAAAGGAGCTTGTCTTGTTGAAGCTGGGAGTGACTGCAACGCTAAACCATAAAGCTACCAAACTTCATGCAAAGTATTATGTAATCCTTGATATTCAACAAAATTCGCCCCAACTTAAAAATTGAGTTCACATCTTCATCCTACATCAAAATGTCACCACGAGGAGGTCGCGGTCCAGAAAGCCAAGCCAAAAGGTACAAGAAATGGAAAGATAAGAGGGATATGAAAAAGATTAACGCAATCATCGAGAAGGGTCTACGTACGTGGTTTAAAATTAACGATTGGACCTATCTGGACCCACACATATGAAATTTTTAATGTCTAGATGTCCACGAGATTAAGGCATTTCCCACCGACTTCCTCGCAATCAAGCGGTCCGGCAAGACCGTTCGGAACATCATACGGCAGAAATTCCACGATACCAATACGCCTCAGAAGCTCGATCCTCTTCCACTGGAGGGGAAAATCCTTCTTCCGTTGGGCCACCTCCCCGCTGGCTCCGTTCCGGATGATATCCCCCCGTACCTCCTCATGCGCTTCGAAAAATTCATCACCCCCGCCCAGCAAAAGGGACTCCGGGTCCGTTGGGACCGCTTATTGGCCAGCAAGCCAAAACATCTCCTCAAACAAGACAAGAACCGCTCCGCCACCGATGCGTTCCACTTGGGGGCCTGGGAGGTCACTGGCTCCGTGCCTCGCATCACCTTGGAGACGGAGGCCCAGTCTCCCTGAAGCCATTGAGGCGATAGATGACCTTTTGCGTTTCATCAAAACTTATATCGCTCCGAAAATTGCTTCGGTCTTCAAGGATCATGCTCCGGACCAATTTGATGAGATTCTAAAGTACGTCTTACATTTTTATATTTACTATTACTGATTTATTAAAACTATTGTAGAGCAAATGAGCGTGTTCAGAACATCCTCCAACACAAATTTGAGGCTCGTCCAAATCTGAGCATGGGGGGGCCATTCTTCACTATTGCCGCCAAAGAGGCCGGATCCGGGGTCGTTCACATCGACTGGAACGACGATCGTGCGATTTATGCTTTTGTTTTTGCAGTAGGTGATTGGGAGGGGGGAGAATTTTGTGTGCCGCAACTGGGCATCAAAATCCCTGTGCGCCCTGGGCAAGTATTGGCGGTCCTAGCTCGGGTCCTAGCTCATTTTAGTGCCCCTGTTACAAGCGGTCGTAGAATCGTTTTCACTTGCTTCACCGACCGCTTACTTTTCCGTCACCGTCCCACGGATGATATCCCAGTTATTGTCATTGCGTAGGTACTATTTACTTACAGTACAACAGTGACCGTACAACAGTGACCATACAAAGTGACCGTCATCTCGAATCAAATACTTACTGTCTTCCTGTCCCCCGCCGTACAACCTTTCACGTCATGAGTCGGAGACGAGCAGGGTCGTGCGATCGACCATAGCCATTTGGCACAGGCGAAACAACATCCATCTGCGCACGTCCCGTGCCACACGCAGTATCGCTCACGAGGACCATCCCCGAGGTAGGATTGCGAGACTTCCGCGGAATGGATGAGTCCCCCCCCCCCCCCCCTTACAGCCCTGAGATTGAGCGTCAGCAACAAAATACACGGAAAGTCGGCAGCAAATACCTAGCCTGCCCCAGCCTACCTCCAAATCCGCCCCCACGTCGATGATCTCATGGCCCGCCCATGAATCCTGATAGCTTCAGACCGACTCGCGAGGTTTTGTTCTTAGTTCCTGGTTTTTCTGGTTAGCCTTGATTGCTTTCATCCGCCGCGCACCGAAAGGAACTTCTTGGGATGCTCGACAGGGTATTGGACTGGTCCTGGAGCTCGAGTTTGACTTTGCCGAGATAGGATTGCGAGACTTGCGCTGAAGTCCGTGCTCCGGATAGCAATCCTCGTGCCTCCGGATGGCAATCCACAGCAATACGGCGCTCTAAGCGCAGGCGAGTCAGTGCTCGCCTGATGAGGTTGTCGAGGAGATCGCCGTCGTCCCGATGATATGTTAGACGTAAGTCTGGGGTGAGTTGCATTGCGACAGGAAGTTTACGTGTTGCATGGCTGCGGGCACGACTGAATGATAGTCGAAACCAAATCGATCATGATCATAGACCGCATCGAGAAGCAACAGAAACCACAAGGCTGCTCCGGGGGCATAAACTTTCCAAGGTTATGAACCGTCGAGTTGATCCAGCGACGACGTTGAGGGAGCAGAATCTTTCAGCCATCAGGCACTACGGTAAACGCATGAGCGTCATGAACGAATCGGGTATTGTTGTGCAGAGAGAAGTGCTTCAGAAGGAGCGTGATAAGGTATCGATCTTCTCCGAGGTGCAGCGAGTTCTTCATGTGCAGGGTATCGACGCGGTTCTGCGAGTAGTCCTGGACCATCTGGTTGGATATCACAAGGGGCTTGAGCTGCACCAGCAAATCGATGGTCTTCCGCAACGAAGTCTCATCTTCTGAACCCAATTATGCTGACCATCAAAATGGAGAGTGCGAGCAAAATACCCTCTGCGAGCTGACACTGTGGTGAGTAAAACAATTTGCAGTCTCGGGACCTTGCATGAAATACAAGAGTCGACCCGCATTCGTAAATCGGATTTCTGTGCGTGCCTTCTGCTGTGTGGGGGTGGCATTGGTGCCCGTCAACTCTATGAACGCGAAGGTTATGTTGAATTCTGATGTGTGATGGACGAGGCAGCATACCTCCGAGAAAAGAGCCTTTCCATGTTGTTATGGTACGAAATGTAGCGAAGACCATCCAAAATTGGTAGGCTTCAGAGTGGGGTAATTGAACGTCGATTGCAGAGAAGGTACATAGCCTTGCTTGAGCTGGTGTTGTGACATTAGCTTTGGGTATTGGATATGTCCGTCCGGTGGAGCAGGCGATGCTGTGGTTACTGGTGCAGGATACGATGGGCTGAAAGGACATTGAGATACGCTCAAAATTGCCGAGGGAATACTCACGGCTTCAAAGTTGTCGGAGTCGTGGTGTGATTCCTTTACAAGAAAGTCAACAAGTATAAGTATTTAAGATTCGAGGACGCTGACCGTGTTGGGCTCTCAGTAGGCATAAGAAGAAGAGCAGCATCTTGATTAAACTGCGGATCGACGAAAGATGGATGCTGGGAGCCAGCTGCGAATGCCGCAGGCATGTGAGAAGGAACATAACTCTGGCGAACCTCCCGCGCAGCGAGCTCTGCTTCCTCCTGACGTTTCAGAATACCCTCCTGTTCTCCCACCTGCGTCTTCGTCTAATTTCTTGTTCGTCTCTTCTTCGAAGGTCTTCATGCTTCCTGAACTCATCGTCGTCTCTCCTCAGGGCTCGCCAGGGTCATGGACCCAAAAGGGTGCCTTTGCGATTGTAGGTCGAATCGTGCAGCTGTGGATTGGCGGCACGCCTAGCAAATACCAGGGCATCTTCCTTTTTCTTGCTCCAAGAATATCGGCGCACACAAAGCCCCACCAGGTGGATCGCCATTGTAGCTCAGTGGCTGGTGGTGGAGAATGTAGTAAGGAACTTGGAACTTGATTGTTATCACGTGATGTTGAAGTGACATGCACGTCGCAAACACAGAAAACCCACCTGAAACACGAACATGAAAGACCTTACTGCAGAATTCCGCTCCGACGTGACGATTCATTCCGGGCGGATAACGGATATTATTCTAGTCAACGTTGGGTTGGAGCCACTAGGAAAATACACCACAACCTTCCGTCAACGGTTCCCTCCTCCAGTTATGCAGTGCCTTGTCCAATCACAGCCGCCACAACAGCCGGTGGGTGGTTTTTTATGTGCCAAACGTAACTCTGGAGCCCTCTTTTGCCAGATGATAGAAGAATCCCACCAGGAGATTGTCCCAAGTCTAAATCTTGCTCAGTTATCTGCCGCGATGCGTGACAATCGGTCAAGCAAGAACCAATGAACTTCGGTATGTCATGTCTTGAATATCCTAGTCTTCATGTTGTTAATATTTATGGTAGCGCCGCAGTGGTAGGCCCTAGCAATAAACCGCAGGACGGATTCTACATATGAGCGTCGTAGCCAAATGGCAGCCACATGGCATTTCATACCCGTGCGCCAGCCAACAGTTTATTCCCGACACGATAGGAATGCATTTATCTTCTTGAGTGTCCAGTTGAAGGTAAAAATCTACCGAGTTAAGTACTAGCCAGAATACATGCATAGTCTATTGCAGTGAACAATACCCAAACACTTTGACGCTAAACTGCGGAGGACACCTACAGATTATGGCCCTTCAGAGATAACACATATACACTAGATCGTAAGAAAATAATAGAGTACGCATAGCAAGCGGAAGCGATCCCTCTTTTGATGCCTCCGCCTGGTCAAACCGTGTCCCAAACTTCCCCGCCTGCTTTTTCCTAGCCCTCAGCAACGCACTTTGTCTCACTGTCTGGCCAATTGTTCAAACCAAAGTACGAACTCGCGTACTCTGCCGGAGGGTCGATACAAACCTACACAGCGCTGAGGTGCCTAAGAACATACACTCGGGTCACACATCCGTAGTATAATGTCTCCTCGTGATTATGAACTCACCCAGTCCGGCTGCGTGTCCAGCCCGCATGATGGATGCAGTGCCACGACCTACCACAAAATAAAAAAACATCAGCACGCCGACCTCATCCAAAACCAAAAAAAATAATGCACCTGATTATCCTTCAAGGTCATATAACTCCCTGTTTCTCCCTCCTTGTGCACAACCTGCATGAAAAGCCCACAACACAACGCCTGCATAATCGCCGTGAACCTTATCTTCTGATCTTGCACGCTCACGAGCTCCACATCAGACCATTCCATTGACCGTATCAGCTGCTCGCGTACATTGTCTGCTTGCATAAGCGCCCGAGCGGGGGGGTGGTTGATCCAGGTCCAGTTTTTGTGGGATTGGTCTAGTGGTAGGGTGCGAGTTTGTGTATGTATGTGCAAGGAGAGATAACTTACTTTGGGTATAGTCGTTGTACACGTTAAGAAGTGTCAGGTGGTCACCATCAGGGACGGTTAGCAGGGTCGTTGCAGCACCCGCTTCTGTTCGCTGGTTATTCGGGCCCAGCCATACATTTGGTACTGCAACGGCGTCAGATGCCAGTGATAGCAAACCTCAAGGCTGAGTGCGCAACTGATAACATCGCAGTAATTGTCAAGATCTCATGTTGCTACACTTGAACTCTAGGATGACGACCAGCATCTTCGAGAGCTGAACATGCGGCAGAAAAATGTCTGAGAACCCCGCCATCAAAACAATCGTTTACCCGCGGATCCAGAGGGGACTGCAGCCATCAAATTCCCCAATGCCGTGAGGTTCCCATCATCATCCAACGCCGCGGGGTGTTTCAACAGCTCTGGCGCCCTCATTCACATAATCAAAATTGACACGATCCTACACACGCGTCAGCCTACCTCAAAAACATCACCTTACATCATGCTCACCTTAATGCCCGCCTTGACAAGCTCGAGCACCGTGTTCGCCAAATTACTCCTCAAAATTTCTGTATGCGCCGATTCCTCGAGCTCCGGCATAAAGACCTTCTCCATATACAACCTAAAGCATTTGCCTGGCCTCGTTCGTCCGGCACGGCAGGCACGTTGCTGTGCCGACGCCTCGGAGATCGGGCTGACGAGTAAGCTCTCTCAACTGGTAGCCTTGATGAGCTTGAGGTCTGGACGGCGTTGGGCAAGAGTTTGGATACCATGAGGAGGGTCCGCCCATAAAATCAGCAGAAACAGAAAGCCAGCCCAGAATGGCGCCTCCAAAAGCAGCGGCGGTAGGAATAACGCGCTTGAGTTCGTTGTACATCGAACTCTCACGATGACCAGCCATCACCTGATGTAGAGGAAAATGTGGATGGGGTTGAGGAGAGCTTCTTCGATGGTGTGTAGGGCGACATGTAGTGTGCGATACCAGCTATTGCCCGGAGCTGGGGAGAGTCTCAGGAAGCGCGTTGCGAGCATTTGCAGCACAATAAACACGTTTGATGTAAGTGCGCGCTCTGGAGCATGATTGGCATGTTGCTGGTATAGAATATCTTGATGAGGTAGCTGCCGCGTTGACCGCGGAATCTGTTGCTCTTGACAGGAATCTCAACGTGGAGGCTTTGCGTATAAATGACAGTGGCAAACACGATGGCAACCGCAAGGAGGTTCATGAAGTTCGGCACCTTCGAACTCTGGGCCACGACCAGTGTTGACGGTTGTGGGCGAGAAGGCCTCCCAGGCGATGGATTCGCAGATGCTTAGTTGCAATGACAAGGGAAATACCGGCCCCGAGACCGTAACCTTTCTGAAGGAGCTCGTCGAGGAGGATAACAATGAGGGCAGCAATGACGAGTTGCTCGGTTGTCCGCAAAGACCTGTCAAGACGTATAGGGTAGCCTGGCCAAGTGAAATAATCAAAGCAAATACTGAAACCAGCATCCGTCAGTAAGGTTCGGAAAGCAGCAAAATGACACGTACATTTTTGTGTACCGCTGAACAGCGTGCGGTCTTCCTTCAGGCTGAAGTTGACCTTTCTCTAGACGACTCGGAAGACCTAGGCCACCCTGGGCCACGTCAGCACGAAGCACAATAGCGCCATCGCAGTCAGGCTCAACAAACTCTTTGAACGAACGCCGCTGGCCAGCAGCCATATTCACAAACAAAGTGTGATGAGAAACTGTTTGATGTGACGCAGCTGACACTTGGTGACAGCGGTATTCTAAGTACACTAAATTGACAGGATTCGGAAAAAGGTCAGGTATCTACTATCTCCCGTACCCGCGGTGTGAGTACTGCATCTCTAATTTCCATCAAAATACGCCTATCCTCCTCCCTCCTCTTCGCTTCATCGTGGAGAACATTCTTCATGGCTTCAACGTTAATCTTCAGAACGGAAACATCTTCGTTCATGTGGATCATGCTTTGGCTCATGCCCTGCAAGAGAGTACGAGTATGATTGTGACTATCCATGCTGTCTTGGGCAAGTTTATAAGTTGCATCTAACGAGCCTCCCTGCGCCAAGATCTTTTCTGTAATGTCGGAGACGTCTGACGTGAGGGCTCCTATTCTGGCCTCCATGCGCCTCAGTGTGTCAGCCTGACTGTGGTATTGGTCTAAATAAATCAATATCATTTTTTAGATTAAATGAACCGAGTATGGTGCATAGTAGTCTTACTTGTGTCCATAGCAATCATGGAGAATTCGAGAGAGTTGCGACCTGATGAATGGGGTAGGTCAAAGGCAAAGCTGCCAGTGGATGCTATCACCAACACATGAGTATATTGTATAACATCATTAAATAAATACGAACGAGATGCAACATTTGTCAAGGTAGACATGAGGGATATGTAGGATTGATAGGACTTCAAGCTAGTGACCACGTAATACTTATATGATGTGTGTCAACAATCTATATTTGGCCCGAAGGCGCAATCACCAGGACACTCAAATAAACGGAGGTAAGGACTCAGCATGCTACCCATTGTTAACCAGATTTATAGAATCTGTCCCGACACAGCTAAGTACCCATTGTTCACCATATTTATATAATCTGTTCCACAGGTCTACACCTGCCTGGGATGGCAATCCAGGGGTCTGGATGGCAACATCATGGCCTCCGGATGGCAATCCATGTGCCTCCTGATCCCTCAGGACAGCAATCCCCATTGCTCTGGCTGGCAATCCACTGCCCTTGGGTGGCAATCCCCGACAGCAATCCCCGTCCCTCCAGACGGCAATACCCATAGATGCCCTCCGGGCCGCAAGCCACACCATACCAACCTGATCCGGGCATGTCAGGGTTCCCCTGTCTCATTCGTTTATATACATATAAGGTACATGATGATGGTATCTAATATATCACCTATGTCCTATGTACAAGTAATTCCTGGAGGCCTGCACTTCTAGTCATGTTTATACGCTTGCCAGAAGCAAGCTAACTCAGCGTCAAACCTTGATGACAGAAATCTCCATTAGCCACAAAGCAATGATGTAGTAGTGATGACATACCATGTCTGCTTCGCTTGCTCCAGCAGATCTGTTCCTTCAAGTTGCAGTGATGTGCGACGCAGGAAGCACTGTTCCAACATAAACCGGTATAGGTCCAAGTGCAGTATTGCATTGGCAGTCGTGTAGTTATACCGAAATATTGATGATTGGATTGGCTCATAGACGGTTGCCATCTCTTCATCTCGTTCTAGCAGTGACCAGCCATTGCAGGTAACTGGGTCAAACTGGAAAGGGGTTGAAGAGAGGCTCATCTGAGGACGCAACTCAACTCCCTGCATATCCAAAGCCAGCCTCCAAGTATATTGATCACCAACAGTACGGATTCTGTGAGGATAGAAGGACTGGGAGGTCATATTGCCAGGTAGGGTGGAAAACCATTGAAAGCCACGTTGGCCATATTTGATTGGGACAGTGAGGTCATGTAGTGGCCTTTCCCTCCACACTTGAAGAGTGCTCCTGTCTTCAAATGTAGCTATTGGATACAATGAATAAGCCGCATCAAAGGCTATAAAGTTCATGACACAGGCTACAGGCCATCAGCTTTTGAGTATAATGGACTGGTAGCCATGGACTCACTGGAATGGAAATTGATGATGGTGTCAAACGGGCTGGTGGCGCATTCTATAACTTGGATCTTCAAAAAGCCATTGGAGCCATGTTTCTCAAGTGAGAATACAGACTTGACCCCTTTGATTGAATAGCACCGGCCTGTTTGAGTATTGTCCCATGTATCAGAAACAATGGTACGGTAATCCTGAGGTTGCCTGGAGTGTGGTTTAAATGTGTAGCCCTCCCTTTCAACAACGTAGTCCAACACCTCTCTTGCATGCCCTGGATGGACATACAGGTCCATGTCAGCATCAACATAGAATGTTCGGTCTAGAAACTGCAGTGCATTTGAGCCTGCAATGAGTGTCCCGGTACATGCTTGTAAGCTTCGAAAGTCGAGAGGTTTTTCGAGGAAGCGAGAAATATGTCGATTAATCAGGAAGGCACGGCGGGAATAGTCCTTGGAGGCAGCATATGCTGCATGACAGGTGTACCCAAGGCGCACAAGGTCACGAGGTGAGATGCAAGAGAAAATAACATCATACACTGGTGCACGGTAGAACACTTCACCTACTGCACATTCATCTGCAAATTGAGGCTGATGGCTGGTGCATCCTATTAATATTGAGGTGCGTGACATGATGTCAACTGGGGCTGAAATCTGAAGGCGAGGAAACTGACCAACTTCAAGTCTACTTATAATGTTAGCCAACACTAGCATTGCATTTCCTTGGAAGATAGAGGTAGCGGACATCAGTCTGATTCAAACTAACAAAGCCTTTGTGAGATAAATAAACGTTAAACACCAATGTTTGCCCATCAATTGGACAAAGCCTTAAGTTTGTAGGGCAAAAGCTGTAAGGGCTTTGTCTTACGGGCACCGCTTTCATAGTGAGTTTGCACCTGGCTGACTGGCAGTCCTGTAAGATTGGCCACATCCGGACACAGGTCTCATGACCCGGTGCTTGCCAAAACTATTTACTGGCAACCAGGCAGATACAAGATTGACTAGAGACACGGTACATAAATACATAAATTATGATTAAGTTGCTCGTACAGACATGGCGCAAAAGACTTAGCAGAATTTGTGAAAAGGTGACCTGCTGGTTGTCATATATAAATTAATAGTTAAGTTATACAAGGACTTATGGTGTAATAGTTTGCGCGCGTAAAATGCTTACTATAGCGAAATCCGTGTGTCGGGCAAGCAACTCACATAGTCTGTTGGCGTTATCCGACCCGGAAAGACATAAGTTGGTGGCATACCCAGCCTGCCCCAGCCCACCTCCAAATCCGCCCCCACGTCGATGATCTCATGGCCCGCCCATGAATCCTGACAGCTTCGGACCGACTCGCGAGGTCTTGTTCCTGGTTTTTCTGGTTAGCCTCGATTGCTTTCATCCGCCGCGCCCCGAATCTCCGTCATAACAGTACACAGTCCATCATAGTTACCGTCCCGATGATATGTTAGACGTAAGTCTGGCTCTCCAACATGTTCAGATGCCGACAAAGCGATTATTGCTGCCGGAGGAACACCAAGTTCCATGGGGGCGGTGATGCCGCCGGGAGTAATGGGCTGTGACATCTGGGTGTGGAACCTCATTCAGACGTCCAATCACGTCGATGAACCCCTTACCAATACAAAGGTAAGGTGTCTTGCACACACGTCCGCCAGGTCCCACTTTCAAAAGTCACGAGACTCAAACGGTCATTGGATCCAAAACCAGACAACGTGTGGCCCTTCCAAAATCCTCAGCGATAGCGTTGAAAAGGTGATGATTCTCCCTCCTCTTCCTCCGCTGGTGGGCCTCATTTGTAGATGACCAGGGCTCGGGCTTGAATCATAACGACAAAGGAGGCTGATGGAAAATTTGGGCGGACTTGGATGGAACGTATGACGATATAGTGGGATTAGCTGGGTGTTGACATGACTGAGACGGCGTAGTCTATTGGGGCGTTATCTGTGGGATCGCAAGGTGGACGGGGGCAGGGGCAAGGGCGTGTGCCTGATAAATCTCGGCCAGGATAGACTGCAGATGCATGGGGATCGCCCATTTATTACCATCTCCGTCGCCAATCTTCATAGGTCGGCGATGTTGTTGGAATAAGATAGAGTAGGATATTACGATAAGAAAAGGACTGACCTTGTGTGAAGAGAGTGACTGCACTCTGGGCTCTTGAACTAGACAGACATTTACCTGCTGCACCGCCCGCTGTGATCATCCCGAATGGTGGGAGGCAGATTGGTTTCCTCGTATTCCTCCTCTAACCTTGACCTCCGCAGTCTTTGGCGTAACTTTGAGAGACAGCAGAGGGGAGCTTCAGTCTTCAACGTTGTTGGCTCGAGAAATCAGGATGTTTGAAGGAGCGGCAAGGCTCCAGGCGTATTCGCCTTGGAGGTAGAGCCCCATACCGATATAAGGGCTTCTGCTAGCCGGCCTGGACTCTTGCCCACGGTGGTGTCCGCTGGGTCAATCGGGGAAGGAGGTACGGTGGTCTTGTGGGTCTTTCCTTTAGCAGCAGGTTCAGCTTCCCGTCCACGGGTTTCGACGGTAACAAGAGGTGCAGGCTGGGAGGCAGCTGCAGGGGGAGGGTGGAAAGCAGCTGGGAGTGTATGTTGGGAAGTGGCTGTATGGACGTGTTGAGAAATAGCCGAGACAGAGACCTTGGATGCGCTAGAAATGGTCTGTTCTCGCTCGACCTCCCGGATGCTTCGATTAGCCGTGGGTGTTGGTGGCGCATGATGAGAAATGGACGTTGTATTGCTCCTCACGCCACGCTCAGTGGCCATTGGGGTCGGAGGCGAGGGGGTGGCTGCCTCGGAAGTAGATGACTGGGTTGTGACTATGCTTGCCCGGGTACGCTCTTGGACTTCTAGGCATAGTCATCCTCAGAGATGTCCGGTTCATCTTCGTCAACACGATGGCCACTCTCGCTATACACGATAGACGCGGGTCCACTGCAAACGTAGTTAGTAATGTACCGGTCCTATGCGGATTTTCACATACTACTTGGTCGTTCCCTAATCCCAAACTACTTAGCGTGCGTAAAACAAATACACAAGAATCACCCACGTTGTTATTCCATTTTATCCACGCTTTGAATTTGGTGAGACCAAAGTGAATCTCGACGCTCAACACGATCGTCCACTATGTCTTGCCATTCTTGCCAGCGACCGTTCTCTACATGCGCTGTATGATTGACAAGCGTGAGAGTGCGATTGAACGAGACAAGCACATGCTTACTGATAGAGTCGTCCCGGGCTGAAGCCATGCACTTCCGCAAAAACACCGTGGATTCTTTAACCTTCACACACTGCAAATGCACACGTTTGTAAAGTCAGCCCACGTGCCAGTGAAACCACCCAACACATACTCGAGCGAGGATACAATCAAATGCACCGGGCAGTAGCCGAGGACCAGAAGGGAGCTCGCAAAGTCGATCTCTTCGAGACAAGTGCTCCGGATCATTTGGATCGTACTCACGCAAGTACTTCACCCTTCACCCCGTACACAAATCTCGACATCCGGGCCGAAACATGGTGATCGCAGCAGAAGCCAAGTGCGCCATCGGCCGCAGCTTTTGAGCTAAATCGTACGATATCAGAGAGATGAAGCACTGGAATAATCATATGGCCTCTTACGTCGGGCTGTCAGTTCTGTTCACAGTAATCTTCAGTGGAGCGAGGCGTTCCTGTAACTGAATAAAGAGCCACGGGCTAGCCGCGAATCCTCTCACCAACCAGACGGACTACGAAAAGGCGATCATTAAGGCCTCATGGTGGTTAGTGATGAGTAACCCACTTTGATCATCCCTTGTGACGCGTCAACCGGGGCTTTGATTGACGTGATTGCCGCCGGCCGCCTGTATAGAAGGCTCGAAGAACTCTGCCACCTCCGCGCTATCGAAGATTAATATTGTTATCACACTGGATGTTTGTTCGCCTACTTACACATCGAGTTTCAGCTGGCCTCCATGGATGCCGGCTGAGAGATCTTTGTCAAGCGGAGAGCCGAATGGAACGAATTGTAGCTCCTTCTTGTCTCGGAATAGTCGGTTTGTGGTCTCATCAAAGCGTTTCGTGACGTGGTCCATCGAATCGGGAGTGCCATGCTTCGAGCTTTTGAGGTTCTCTGCATTGTACGATAAGATGATGCCTTGGGTACAAAGACTTCGAGGAACTCCCTTGCCCTTCGGCTGATGAAGACTGATCCGGCAAATATACCTTCCGAAGCAAACGATCAGACGCGAAAAGACATTATCTAGCGTGATCAAAGTACCCTGTCAAGGTCGAATGAAGGCCGCCTATCGACCCTCTCGCACCAGAGCGTTAATCCAGGGGTCCGGAAGATGAGATTTAGATGTGCGTCCATGCGGATGGCCAATCCGCATTCATCTGGATGGCGGTCCACATGCCTCCGGATCACAATCCGTAGATGTGGGTCCCCATGCGGATGGCCAATCCGCATTCATCTGGATGGCACTCCACATGCCTCCGGATCACAATCCGCAACAGGAAGTGTTGCGCTTTGTGCTGCGCGTGGTGCTGAAAAGTTAGCTTTATCCCCCCTTTGTTATTGCAAATACAAACAAAAAATATCCCGCACAAAACGTTGCTGATGAATCGCATAAGTTTGAGTTCACGTGCGAAGTCAGATAGCGCTGAAGGACGCGAAGGCATCAGACATACCATTAGGACCGTCCCACAAAGCGGCCACTTGCTTTCCGCAACACTTCGTCCAGACAGAGCGGAAAAATGTTACATAGTGTCAGGAGACAGAATCCTGCACAAGGACCTGTGGCTGCTCCACCGCATAACTGCAAGGAACACGTTAAAAATGTCGGGATTGAAACGGAATGAAATTGAGGCAACAGAAAAACATCAGAAAACAATATAGCACATACACAAAGGAAGTCACGGTGTCATTGGCCATTGGGGAAACAGTTTGTGAGGTTGCCGATGGGGCCAAAGGAGTTTCACGGTGGAGTCGGATCATTCGTCGTCGGCTGGACAATGCTCCACGAGCTCGAGGATGCTGTGCATGTGAGGGAGTAGTGTAGGTGCTAGGGACGATTTTATGAGTGGAAAGATGAGTCAGAATGGAAGATGCGAACCCAGTGACGACGTCGGTGTATGCCTCTAGGATTCCTTCCTGCAGTTACGATATCAAAGTCGAGCTAGCGAGCGATGGTCAGGAATGAACAGACCCAGAAGTCCATAAACCAGCTTACAATGCTATGTTGCACAGAGCCCCGCGTGTCCACAAAAGCACGACAGTACTGATGTCTTGGCATTGCGATTAAGAGCGTTGCTCTGCAGGTTCTCGAGTAAAACGTTCACGAACGCGCTTGTTCCATGCATTACGTTCTAGTCGAATGGGAAATGGGATTCGTTTTGATGAGGTGCTATAAACAAACAACATCATAGACTATAGTGGATCACGTGAGAATTGAAAGTAAGATTGACTTTTCCTCACGTATATGCTACATGTACTCCACACCCTCAACGCAACCGTTCCATAGTCAATCATGCCGCTCTCTACCTCTACCTCTTCGTTCCCATCCATATCAGAGACAGAGCGAGTGAGCCTCAGTTTCGTCGGAGGTAATGACTTCGGATACGCCTGTTAGGAAGCGGATGAGGCTTGGGAGGTAGAGGGGTTGGTCAGTGCTGCGAGACGTGAGGTGCGTGGCAGGTGATGCTAAAATGATATTCTGCGTCCTCTTGTAGTTCTATTAATCACACAGGTTTTCGCCTAGGCGTGGGACTCAGTGGGTAATTACTGCAAGCCCACCTCACTCCACGTTCCTTTTCACCCATGTTGCGCAATCCTCTCGCATTTCTATTGCCATTTCCACGCTTGAAAATGATCGAATCTATCCTGCAGTTTTTCAAGCTTGGCCCGTGGTACCAACGGTCAGGACTGTACTTGATATTCCGCATTCTCCCATTAACTCCGTCATTAACCAGAGCGTTCGATATCCATATCACACGCCACTGGCAAAGCTACTGCCCTCCCTGAAGAGATCTGACCCCGCAACAGTGCTGCGCGCTTGGCCTAGAGGACTGCTCCGTTTGCTACAATGCGGGTCGGAATTAGCAGCATCGGTCTTCGCGGTTCGTGTTGCTTTTTGCGAGGACTTAGCAGACGAACTTAGCAAACGAAACACCTGGCATAGGATTAGCGTTTGTACCGATTAGTATCGTGTCAATTTCAGACGAAAATGGGCCCGTAACCACAGGAAGAGACCAGATTCCTCATGACCGTGTTTTCAAACAGAGTCGGAAACATGCCTTTGGCTTCGCCGCGCATGTGACCATCGCCTCGAGCTGTCCTAGTGATGGAATCTAGTCCCAGTCTTGATGTGGTATTAAAAAAGATGCACACAATATAGACCTATCACTGAGGTCACCAAAGAAGAAATCCGGCGACGAGGGTGCTATGCCAGCTGCACACACGTCCTTGACGCGGGTCCATTGGAAGCTGCGAACGCACAAGGGCAGTCTGCACACTGGGAGATCGCGCTGCTCGCCTGATGAGGTTGTTGAGGAGATCGTAGTCGTCGAGATGATATGTTAGAGGTAAGTCTGGGGTGAGTTGCACTGTGAGAGGAAGTTTACGTGTTGCACGGCTGCGGGCACGATCCTGAAGTCTGTGAGGATGTCGCTGCAGAATACGCCGGCTTCGAGTACCTCTACGTGCCCTCCGAGTCTTCGACATAGGTCTATGCAAGTAACGCCTCGACTTAGTTCCTATGCGAAGTCAGCTATGGCTGAAAGAGTCAGAAAGACGCGAAGGCCCGGATCAGAAATACCATTAGCAGTGTCTCACAAAGCGGTAATCATTTCCGAAGAAGAGCACGTTCGGCAGTACCGAACAAAGGACGACTTTCAAGTTGTGTTGAAATCCCGCTGAGTCCTCCAGGTGCCTGTTTCAATTGCCCCTCTATGCCGCTCGGCTTTGACCGCAGACGGACAGTTACCTGCTGCTATTGATTAATGGTTTGTGATGCAACAAAGCATGCACTAGTATTCTACACAAAGACATGATATCCATTCTATCAAGCCTATATAAGCCCCTGGGACCTCCTTGCTATGAAACGTAGCAACCTGCAGGCGCTGACTTGCCAGTGGCTCCTTCTCCTGATCACTCTTCACAGACACCTTAATATGCATGCGGATTGCCTGCGTCCTCATGCAGCCAGTGATACGCAGTGTGTAGATACTATGGATGATGGGGATGCCGTCCTTGTCTGGAAATGCGGTCCGTCTCAAACATCTGACGGGTGTCTCAATAAAACTCAAGAAGATTCTGACTCGGATATACCGTTAATCGGAGTTTTAGTAAGGCCCCACCCTATAACCTACGTAACATTGCTGATGGGGACGGATGCTGCAGATAGATGCGTGTTCATCTTTGACAACAGAACTTGCCGCTGCACGGGCAGAATGTGACCACATGAGGGCCAGTGTCCCAAAGGTTGGAAGATTCATCACAATATATGTTAGTATCATGCTAACTTGATTCGTTTGAAAGATCATTTCAACACTCGAGGATAGCATGAGGTGTGATGTTTGCACTGATGTTCTTGTGCGTCCCTATACGTCAGTATTCTCCATCGTGATCATTATCACATCTAATGATCTCTTTAGTCTTAAGGATTGCGGGCATACCTTTTGTGTTGCATGTCTAGCAAAGGCTCTGCGCATGAACTTCTGTGATCATGTGGAACATCGTCTCGACTCAAATCGCCCAACTGTCACTGACAATGCTGTCACTGAGCATGAGATTATGTGCATTGGAAGATCCATTCGGGATATGATGTTTCATCAGCTTCCTCTGCCAGAGTATAGATGCCCCAAGTGCCGCAGCAACATTTCCTCCAAACCCATCCCCGCCTTTGTCGTCCAGCAGCTTTTGGATGATATTAGCAAGTTATCTCAGGATTTGATGCCAAGGGTGGCGTGTCGTACCCCACAGGGCATTGATCAACTTGCAGGCAACATTGATGCTGTGTGGGATGCATTCTTTTCGGCAGGACAAGTTCGTTAACGTTCATGTTGTACACTTAACAATGTATGTAATTATACAAATAAATCCAACTCTGTTGGGAGATGTCAGATTGTGATATGCGAAACCATCAAACAGTGATGAACCACACGGACTCCGACATGACATTGGCAACCTGTAGGTTCATCATGACTCATGATAGAGATGTCCACCATTCAACGCACTAATGATCAGCATGAGACTGAATATAGTGCTATATAGCGTAAAGCCACGCTACGTGCAGCTACAGGAGTTACAAAGGCAAACACCGTGCTACAGGTAGCTACAGGAGCTACCACTAGGCGCTACAGGCAGCTACAGGTGCACCCGTAGTACGTACGTCACGCGTCAGACTTGGCAGGTATGCGAAATAAGGCAGCCGCAGCATAACTTGTCAGCGTCAAGAGGACACGGACTTGTGCAACACGATACCCCGAAATTTACAATCAAACATTAGTGTAGTGTTACAAAGGAGTAGTATAAAAAACACGAACCATTAACCTTCGTTGACTCAAACAGTGTCGAGACCACGTGACCCTTTTCAGTTCAAATGTTCAACTCGCATTTTTCACCTCAGCAAATATTCCTTCACCCGACGACATGGCCTCCAGGACACCACGCGATGTTTTATCCCGTGAAAACACTCAAGTGGTCACACTTTCTTGTCTGCGGGGACACCTATTCAGGTCCGTTTCTATGCCCTTCGCTTCTCTATTCGGCGGCAAGCCCACGACCACACCCCAACAATCGTCGCTGCCTTCCCACCCACAATGTGATTCGTGACGTTCTTGCTGCGCTCACGTCGACTCATTAAACGGCTGATGTCCCTGCCATGATTGAGACGAGGCTGCTGCTGCGGTGCGACGACCATAAGCAGTGCCTCGCTTGCGGTTACAAGAAACGCGCGTCGAATCTGGTTGCCGCCACTGGGAACTACAATGCCTCAATTCCCACTGAATTCTCTCGGTATCCAGCCAATTTCTCCTTGCCGGCATACACAGATATCCAAGTTGATACCACCGCCAATATTATTCCCCTTACCTGTGGCTGGTGACGCCACGGCCAGCTAAGCCAGCTCCCTTGCACTTCTTCCCGAATCTTGGCAGCCTGTTGGTATCTTCTGGTTATTCCTTTTCTTCACAGCGAACCAGCGGTTGTCGTGCGACAATCTTGTCGCTCTCCGCGTTCGTGGTGTTTGACTTTGTAATGATGTGCACTGGCCATTTGCGCATGGTGTTCGTGGTGGGCATTGTCGACGCAACACCTCTTGAACCTGGTTCGAACGCAAACCAAACCTCCCGATCGCGTTCAGAGGTGTTTGGTCCATAGTTCGACACCAGGAGCCAGTTTGCTGCGAGGACAATAAATATGTGAGTTCCATTGCATCTTCTTTACGCTTAGGATTTGACCAACATGCCCTCTTCAGAATGGTCTCGTCAATCGACTGCCAGTGCACCCATCATGCAGATCATATTCTTCCGAGACGGGCTTTTCGAATATGCGAAGAAGAAATCGAGGATATCACAGGTGAGTTAGTCCAGCAACGGCCATTTCTTTTCCTGACCGTGTCTACTAGGGGCGATCTACGATATCTGGCGGAACAAATTGTTGGCACGAGATTCGAGCAGCGCGAAAGGGGGATCGTGAAGGTGTAGAAGTGGATGATGATTGACCCTTTAGGAGGCGACTGCATCTCAAGTATTGTATGCATGCTCGTGCGCTATGGCACCTTGAATTAATTCAATTTCGTTGATTTACGGTTAGTGGTGTGATTGGTATTGTGGGAGCTACATGTAGCAGCGTGTAGCTACATGTAGCTCGAACGAGCAGATACTAGCACTATTTCTATTGCACCCTGTAGTACATGTAGCAACTCGTAGCACCTGTAGCTGCCTGTAGCACCTGTAGTTGGTTGCTACAACGAGCTACAGGAGTTGCCATAGCGCTATATAGTTAACCGTGTGGCTATATAGCTGCATATAGTAGGCACTGACTATATAGCACCCTGTAGCCAAGTGTATTTTTCCTGATGTGAACATTTTGCGCTTTGATAGTAGTGCAACTATTGGAAGTACAATACAGTAGATACAAAATCCTCCATACCCAGTGGAGGCATTTTAATGTTATGGTGAGGTTGGTTCAGTATTGCGACCGGTGACTGCGGCATATCTTTGTGCAATACTGTAAAACCAATGTCAATCGGAGTGTGCAGACTAATTAGAAATATGGTAAACTCACCAGAGGACCTCTTGAGAATGAACAAGGCTTATGGGCTGTTGAACATTGAGCGCTTCCAGTTCATCTACATCCAATGTACTCAACCACTCTTCGTTGTAGAAGTTGCGTGGAAGGCCTGGCACAGGGTTACCAGAACGTATAGCATTACGCTGGGTGGTGGGGACCCTAATACGAGGCCAATTACCACGCTTAGGTCGATTTACCTGGTTGAATTTAGTAGTCATGAAGACACGATCAAATACACGAATCCATGTGGCCACTTCAGGATTACGCCACTCATCCAGAAATATGACGTAACGCTTGAGGCCATCACGAGTGTCAGACTCGTCACCACTCATGCCATCTGGTCCCATGTCGCGAATGATATTTCTGTAACCGACAAGGTCCTCGTGGCAATAGGCTGCAGTGATACGATGGTCAAGAAGCTAGCAGAAGAACAGTGTCAAAATGCAACAAGGTAAATCACAGAGTATAAGGCACGCACAGTTTTCCGGCGAGCCCTTCGAGCAGCAGCTTGGCGGTTGTCAATAGTTCGTTGAGTAGGGGGCATTGCATTGGCAGTTCGGACCTGTGCCTGGTAGTGCAAGCAGAGAGTTTTGATGTGGATTCGGAATGCTGTCTCAACAGCGTTCTTATCATCACTGGTGTATAGGCCCGATTCAATAAAACTCCGAGCAAAGACTTTGGCTGCTTTCTTGTTCCAGGGACTAAGGTGTGTTTTGCCAAATTCCAGTCGAAAGTTCTCAGCAGTTGGCCCACCTTGTTTTGCCATCACAAACCGTGCAATTTCTGTTCCGTCAGGGGGGGGAGGTAGAAGGTCATTCTTGGTCTCACGACCAAGCATATGCATAGCATGCTCACGGACTTCCCTCTGTGTAATGCAAACATTAACACCTACAACCGTCAGATGCTGAAGTGATCTCATACCTTTAAAATTATGTCCCTAGCAGGCCGATAGCGGCTAGACCTACTGGGAGGGGTAATGACACGATTGACAGGTTGCTCATGCACTACAGTACATGGATTCACAGCAGATGGGACACTGGATGTTGATGCATTTGGAGATACAGAATTGTTCTGGAGCCGCACAAAGCGCCGAAGAGTTGCCACGTCAGCACGTGTTTCCATGACTGCACAGAGTACACGATCAATATCCTTTCTGGTGGCCCATGACTGTTGATCCATATCATGATCTGAAGTCTAGTGGAAGGTGGTGAGAAATCGAAAAGAATCTGTAATAAAAACAATGGCGTACAATTGGCTGATCTGTTTGATCATCTCCAAAGAACATGTCTTTTTCACCAAGATTCCGATCTGTGGTCTAGTGAAAGGGGGTGAGAGATCAAAAAGCATCTCAGGTGATGAAGATTGTAGCATACCATTTGCTGATCTACGTAGTCATCCCCAAGAAACATGTCTTCTTCACGAAGATCCTCTCTAAGGTCCACGTCTTCTTCAGCTAAATTTTCCTCCAGATCCACGCTATCAGTAGCCTGGGGAGGATCCGGATTCCTAGTCTAATGGAAGGGGGTGAGACATCAAACAGAATATGTGATGAAGATTGTAGCATACCATTTGCTGATCTACGTAATCATCCCCAAGAAACATGTCTTCTTCACGAAGATCCTCTCTAAGGTCCACGTCTTCTTCAGCTAAATTTTCCTCCAGATCCACGCTATCAGTAGCCTGGGGAGGATCTGGATTCCTAGTCTAATGGAAGGGGGTGAGACATCAAACAGAATATGTGATGAAGATTGTAGCGTACCATTTGCTGATCTACGTAATCATCCCCAAGAAACATGTCTTCTTCACGAAGATCCTCTCTAAGGTCCACATCTTCTTCAGCTAAATTTTGCTCTGGATCCACGTTATCAGTAGCCTGGGGAGGATCCGGATTCCTAGTCTAATGGAAGGGGGTGAGACATCAAACAGAATATGTGATGAAGATTGTAGCGTACCATTTGCTGATCTACGTAATCATCCCCAAGGAACATGTCTTCTTCACCAAGATCCTCTCTAAGGTCCACGTCTTCTTCAGCTAAATTCTCCTCCAGATCCACACTATCAGGAGCTTGGGGAGGATTCAGATGCGTAGTCTAGTGAAAGGGGGTGAGACATCAAACAGAATATGTGATGAAGATGGCGATAAAGATAGCGCACCATTTGTCGATCTGCAGGGACTACGTCTTCTTCATCAACATCCTCTACTATATGTACCACATCAGTGGCTGATGGCTTGTCCGATGGAGAGAGCTCGGCAATGAGGGGCAATGGGTCCGCCTGAGCTTCAGACTCTCTGCCTAGTGTGGGGAGCTCCTTATCTGTCTCCCCAGCCTGTGACGCATCAGACTATGTTATATTCTGATTAGAAAATGAGCTCCAATACTATATATTGATATACCTCTGCTGTCGTTCTGCTGTCGTTGATGTCAGCAATAAATCCTTGTATATTGGCCTCAGGTTCGGTATTATTGACACTGGCAGGCTGGATACATTCAGATGGAGAAGCTGGTACATTGCATACAAAAATACCTACCAAATTGGCTGTTACATCCGGAGAAGGGCTGTCAGGCAAAGAGAAGAGGCCAGAATTATTAGGGACATCAGGACTCTGACGGTGAAAGACACGTTTGAGGGGAGTCAACAGTGAATGATGCCATGCTCTAGTTGGATCATGCAGCCCAACACGCTGTTTTTTGCGATCATCCAACGCTCGATTGGCTGGCATGTCAAAGTTGATGATGAAGATAGGTGAGACGCAATACTATACCCAACCCATCAGCCTTGTGTTATAAAGGACGTGGTCACACCACCTGGGAATTCTGGGTCACCAAGGCATACAATGCAATGGCTGTATCACTATATAACATTTAAACCCGCCAATGAGGATATAATCATCAAAAAGATCTCATCCTTTGTCAGGTCATAGCTACCGCGCGCATGCCTTTATAGAATAATTCTGATTGTTAAAGAAAGTCAGCTTTGTTGCATTGGTCTGATGTGATTCATCAACGTTGAACGTCGAGGACCAATACTGCCCATCCACCTTTTGATTAAATGTACAATTAGCGTGCTTTGTAACACCTGAATGATAAAGTAACATAAAGTAACGGGATATAAAATACACCGGGGTCCACGTCTCGAAACATCGTCGTGGTACTTCTTCCCGCATGCGAGTTTTGCGATGCGTTTTGCGATGTCAGTAAAACGATCAGACGTTGCCGCTTTGCTTGGCAGCTTCAAACGCGACAGCTTCGACGTCCAAGACGATGACGAAGATGAGATACGATGCTCAGGAAGCGGACATAATTAAGTCCAAAGAAAATATCTGAAGTCACGTCAGCTAGACCGCTCAAAATAATATAAACACGAGGTGTACTGACATGCTCGAGGGCCGACCATAAGGATAGAAAGGATCGTCGAGCGCGCTATCGGTGAGCTCGTATTCACCAAGAGCGTCACTGTGTTAGATTGTTAGATGAGGGCATGAGGCATGGTGGGAATTAGAACAAGGGTTGGGACGTTGTGGAGGTGGTATTAGTTGTGGGGACCGCGCACCGTCTGCATGATTTTCTGGTATTGATACATAGATGAGCGCGTGACTCGACGAGATGGAACCGCCAGTCGCAGTCTGACCAACGTAAGGAGTTGTAATTGCACGGCCTAGGGTGATGGCTGAGCGCTGAGCAGCAGAGGTTAGCATGTGTTCTCGCTTTGTTCCCTCTATATTAATACTTCTCCGCATCCGATAACCTCCCGATATCCGAGTCACAGAACCAGCCCAGTTCTTTTCAGAGCCCGTTCATTGCAATGGTAAACTTTGTGTTGCTCGAATCTCTTCCTTGATTTTTATCCAAAATACTCGCCCGTTGTCTGAGCTCTACACTACACACTCGTAAGTTTCTGTTTTTCTCCTTCGACTGTAATCTATTCAGTCAAAAACCAGTCCCGTCGCTAGCAGACGACAGCGAACGCCACTGCCGTCGACCCATCACCCTTTCTTTATCGCATCCTCTCGAGTCTCAACTCCTCCCAAAACACGACAATCTCTCGGAACTCCAGCAATAGTACGGCTTGCTGAGGAGTTGGACCATAACTTCTTTTAGTGTCCGTGAGACGCATAGGGATCAATCTCTATCAAGCTGTGATCCAATTTTCTCCGTGTGTCGAAGGTGTAGTGACGAAAGAGTGAAGGACGATAATGGCATGCACCGAAGGATTTAGTTGTTTATACGCAACACCGTCCCCATAACCTTGCAGGTTGTCAACGCATCTTCAATGGCCCGAGCACATCGGATCGCAAGGTCTGTCTTGTGCCGTCGTGTCGCTGATACCAAACTCTATACTCACACACTCCACTAGATTGTGATCCCTGCTCTCCAACCTAACACAAAGGGCTTCTCTCAACCATCCGCGATCCCAACCCTGTTTATTTTATTTTTAATGAACGCAGCATACTCTGACCGTTGACTCGCTCACACGGATCGGTATCCAAACTGGGTTTTGCTCGCAAAAAACATCCGGCGGCGGTTCGGACAGGAATTTGGCAAGGTATAGACGAAGGAAGCGCAATGAGGAAGGCAGGACAGACGGACGGGTAATTTGCACCTGGCATTGGTGGATGAGATTGCTGCTGAGGTTAAGAGAGGGCTTGTTTGAGGTTCGAGGCACCTGTGAAGCTTACTGGGCACACCCTTAGAGGTATTATCAGCGCTGCTATGTTTAGCGATGGGAGAACTGATGGTGAAGACTACCATAGGTCTTTGGCATAACTTTCAGTATCATTGGCTTACTTCCCTCAATTGTGTACGTCGTGCTTTTCTTCGCCTTCCAAGGGCGCAATTTATCTCGCTGTTCTGCACAGTTCTGTTCTGTTTTACGCCATGCCTAATGGTGGACCAGTCTCAATGGTCTGGGGTGTACATGCTTGCTTCGGGTATCTCCATGAGCGAATTATGCTGATGGATGTCATGCTTGTTTGTTGATATCCCATACCCGTTTGCCTATAGTGGGCAGTTGCGAGTTTGTTTATTCTCTGTGTAGGAATATCGATGGCAGAATTGGGTTCTGCAGCGCCAACATCTGGAGGCGTGAGTCTGTTTTTCTCTTTGTTGACGTGGTAGCCTCCAGTGACATGGATGAACTACAGTTATACTTCTGCCAGGCTGGACGCACTCTTTGTCATCTCCGCGGTGTAGAAACTTGTTTGCATGGATTGTCGGGTGTAAGTCTGCATAGCAATGGCTGCTGTATCCATTGGCTCAGGCCAAACTTTCACCGCAACGAGTGCGCAAACTTTGTGTGTAATTCAAGACACCGATTCAGTCGATCAACCTGCTCATAATATCGAATATCTAGCGGAGTCTACGTTGCAATAGTCCTGTCACACGCAGTGATATGCTGCTTGGGAACTGCTGTTCTCGCAAGACTGCCAACAGTTTATGTTGTGCTTAACGTCTGGTTTGTGGGCTGAAATCGCGCAGGCTCACTCGAGATGCTGAATTACTCCGGGTAGTTTATGTCTCGCCGTTATCATCGGCCTTCCTGCTGCTACCCCAAAGGCGAACACCTCCTTTGACTCGAGTGTGCATATTAGCGAGGAATCATCGAATGCTGCTACTGCGGTTCCGTGGGCCATCGTAAGCCTCGAGTCCCACATTTATCTAAAATACTGAGTGCATTCCAGGTCAGCGCCATCGGCATTGCAGGAATCCTTGGTTGGGGTATGAGTTTATTCGTGTGATTCTGGAACACTGCTTACCGTCTCGCAGCAATCAACGTCTCTCTTACATTCTGCATGGGCACCGACGTGAACTGGCTACTCAGTAGTATTAGCGAAACATGACGTGTACACGACGAAAAAGACAGGAATGAAATGTGACCAATGCAAACACGTATTGAAATTTTTGCCAAGAGCCATAATTTTGCCGTCTGTGCCGGCTTCCTGATGCGAGGTAGCTGTCGATCTGATTGAGGGTAGTTGAGACAAGCGCCCGCATCCACGGCCAGGCCCCATTCGCCTTTGTCGTGTTCGGCAGCCTGGGGAAACACCGCGAATGATTTGAACAGTAAACGTGGATGGCGCGTACCTCTTGTGCTCCGCAGGCCAACTCAATTGGTTTCACGTCGCAGAACTCCACGGTGCGACTCGTTCATCAGAATGCTTCATGCCCATGGCAATAAGTTCCGTCAGGAGGACTCAGGCGAGAATAAACAAGCGTTCCTACGCCGAACAAGTGAACGGATGGGTTCTGGGTAGCTTTGCAGACGACTTGCATGTCGTAGTTTCGCTCTCCCTGATACGTGTCAGCCAACAAACGCCAGAGAAATGAGAAATGAGTATTGCTCGCAGAGCGTGGACTGCCACGCCGGGCCTCTGGCGATGGCCCCTCCTTGTGAGCGCCATGGATGATAGTGGTCAAAATCTTGTTCAGCCTCCCAGTGGGGTGAGACTCCGTGAGAAGAATTCAGCATGTGACATACCGTGACAGTGTGACGATAAAATTTTGCCAAAGTGTCATCCTCGCACTTTGGTTAGGGATTGCGAGTGAGATGCGGTCTGCGGCAGGAAGTCTCCGCGTCAGTATCAAGCCCAAACTCCTTTGCCCTAATGACTGCGACGGTGCGATATTGTCTGCGGCAGGAAGTCTCCGCGTCAGTATCAAGCCCAAACTCCTTTGCCCTAATGACTGCGACGGTGCGATATTGTCTGCGGCAGGAAGTCTCCGCGTCAGTATCAAGCCCAAACTCCTTTGCCCTAATGACTGCGACGGTGCGATATTGTCTGCGGCAGGAAGTCTCCGCGTCAGTATCAAGCCCAAACTCCTTTGCCCTAATGACTGTGACGGTGCGATATTGTCTGCGGCTGGAAGTCTCCGCGTCAGTATCAATCCTGAACTTTATAAGGGCCTACAATGTTCTTTGGGATTCTGGTTAGGGATGCAACGGTGAAATACTCTCTGCGGCTGGAAGTCTCTGCGTTAGTATTGAACTGGAACTCCTTGGCCTCGGTCGTTTATGTTCTGGTTGGGATGCAAAGGTGTGATGCTATCTGCGGCTGGAAGTCTCCGCGTTAGTATTGCACTGTGACTTGGTTCAATGTGTCGTACTATGTTTGTTAGGACGCCTCGACCAGTCTCCCTTACAACAGCTCCCCAGCGCAACTTCACCTGGGGGCGTCACGGTCCACACAAGTATTTCGATGTGCGCGGCCCTGCTTGTAAATGGCTAGACCACACGGGTTGGCGATATCCAAATGCCTCCCGAGACAAAGGCCTTGGATTGTGTCTCGAAGGCAGTCGGCTCGTGTTTGTCGATGGAAAGACTCTTTGTCAATCAAAAAGGTGGTATGGTACATCCTATCGAAATCATCATCGACGGGAAACAACATCGGGAACCACTGCTACCTCAAGAACTCGTTCTGCCATTCACCTTTCGTTATGCGACTCGTTATGCCATGCCATGGGCCCAACTCCTCAGGATCAGGTCATCTAGGCGGATTCACCCTTTTCCACGTGGGTTGAATGTGGTCTTACAAATAGTCCAATTGAGCGCCACACGACCCTTCCGATGCACACGAAGCGGAAACTGCAGGTACTGGGAGGGTCACGAGGAATCTGGTCTCTTCCTGTGGTTACGGGCCCGTTTTCGACTGAAATTGACACGATACTAATCGGTACAAACGCTAATCCTATGCCAGGTGTTTCGTTTGCTAAGTTCGTCTGCTAAGTCCTCGCAAAAAGCAACACGAACCGCGAAGACCGATGCTGCTAATTCCGACCCGCATTGTAGCAAACGGAGCAGTCCTCTAGGCCAAGCGCGCAGCACTGTTGCGGGGTCAGATCTCTTCAGGGAGGGCAGTAGCTTTGCCAGTGGCGTGTGATATGGATATCGAACGCTCTGGTTAATGACGGAGTTAATGGGAGAATGCGGAATATCAAGTACAGTCCTGACCGTTGGTACCACGGGCCAAGCTTGAAAAACTGCAGGATAGATTCGATCATTTTCAAGCGTGGAAATGGCAATAGAAATGCGAGAGGATTGCGCAACATGGGTGAAAAGGAACGTGGAGTGAGGTGGGCTTGCAGTAATTACCCACTGAGTCCCACGCCTAGGCGAAAACCTGTGTGATTAATAGAACTACAAGAGGACGCAGAATATCATTTTAGCATCACCTGCCACGCACCTCACGTCTCGCAGCACTGACCAACCCCTCTACCTCCCAAGCCTCATCCGCTTCCTAACAGGCGTATCCGAAGTCATTACCTCCGACGAAACTGAGGCTCACTCGCTCTGTCTCTGATATGGATGGGAACGAAGAGGTAGAGGTAGAGAGCGGCATGATTGACTATGGAACGGTTGCGTTGAGGGTGTGGAGTACATGTAGCATATACGTGAGGAAAAGTCAATCTTACTTTCAATTCTCACGTGATCCACTATAGTCTATGATGTTGTTTGTTTATAGCACCTCATCAAAACGAATCCCATTTCCCATTCGACTAGAACGTAATGCATGGAACAAGCGCGTTCGTGAACGTTTTACTCGAGAACCTGCAGAGCAACGCTCTTAATCGCAATGCCAAGACATCAGTACTGTCGTGCTTTTGTGGACACGCGGGGCTCTGTGCAACATAGCATTGTAAGCTGGTTTATGGACTTCTGGGTCTGTTCATTCCTGACCATCGCTCGCTAGCTCGACTTTGATATCGTAACTGCAGGAAGGAATCCTAGAGGCATACACCGGCGTCGTCACTGGGTTCGCATCTTCCATTCTGACTCATCTTTCCACTCATAAAATCGTCCCTAGCACCTACACTACTCCCTCACATGCACAGCATCCTCGAGCTCGTGGAGCATTGTCCAGCCGACGACGAATGATCCGACTCCACCGTGAAACTCCTTTGGCCCCATCGGCAACCTCACAAACTGTTTCCCCAATGGCCAATGACACCGTGACTTCCTTTGTGTATGTGCTATATTGTTTTCTGATGTTTTTCTGTTGCCTCAATTTCATTCCGTTTCAATCCCGACATTTTTAACGTGTTCCTTGCAGTTATGCGGTGGAGCAGCCACAGGTCCTTGTGCAGGATTCTGTCTCCTGACACTATGTAACATTTTTCCGCTCTGTCTGGACGAAGTGTTGCGGAAAGCAAGTGGCCGCTTTGTGGGACGGTCCTAATGGTATGTCTGATGCCTTCGCGTCCTTCAGCGCTATCTGACTTCGCACGTGAACTCAAACTTATGCGATTCATCAGCAACGTTTTGTGCGGGATATTTTTTGTTTGTATTTGCAATAACAAAGGGGGGATAAAGCTAACTTTTCAGCACCACGCGCAGCACAAAGCGCAACACTTCCTGTTGCGGATTGTGATCCGGAGGCATGTGGAGTGCCATCCAGATGAATGCGGATTGGCCATCCGCATGGGGACCCACATCTACGGATTGTGATCCGGAGGCATGTGGACCGCCATCCAGATGAATGCGGATTGGCCATCCGCATGGACGCACATCTAAATCTCATCTTCCGGACCCCTGGATTAACGCTCTGGTGCGAGAGGGTCGATAGGCGGCCTTCATTCGACCTTGACAGGGTACTTTGATCACGCTAGATAATGTCTTTTCGCGTCTGATCGTTTGCTTCGGAAGGTATATTTGCCGGATCAGTCTTCATCAGCCGAAGGGCAAGGGAGTTCCTCGAAGTCTTTGTACCCAAGGCATCATCTTATCGTACAATGCAGAGAACCTCAAAAGCTCGAAGCATGGCACTCCCGATTCGATGGACCACGTCACGAAACGCTTTGATGAGACCACAAACCGACTATTCCGAGACAAGAAGGAGCTACAATTCGTTCCATTCGGCTCTCCGCTTGACAAAGATCTCTCAGCCGGCATCCATGGAGGCCAGCTGAAACTCGATGTGTAAGTAGGCGAACAAACATCCAGTGTGATAACAATATTAATCTTCGATAGCGCGGAGGTGGCAGAGTTCTTCGAGCCTTCTATACAGGCGGCCGGCGGCAATCACGTCAATCAAAGCCCCGGTTGACGCGTCACAAGGGATGATCAAAGTGGGTTACTCATCACTAACCACCATGAGGCCTTAATGATCGCCTTTTCGTAGTCCGTCTGGTTGGTGAGAGGATTCGCGGCTAGCCCGTGGCTCTTTATTCAGTTACAGGAACGCCTCGCTCCACTGAAGATTACTGTGAACAGAACTGACAGCCCGACGTAAGAGGCCATATGATTATTCCAGTGCTTCATCTCTCTGATATCGTACGATTTAGCTCAAAAGCTGCGGCCGATGGCGCACTTGGCTTCTGCTGCGATCACCATGTTTCGGCCCGGATGTCGAGATTTGTGTACGGGGTGAAGGGTGAAGTACTTGCGTGAGTACGATCCAAATGATCCGGAGCACTTGTCTCGAAGAGATCGACTTTGCGAGCTCCCTTCTGGTCCTCGGCTACTGCCCGGTGCATTTGATTGTATCCTCGCTCGAGTATGTGTTGGGTGGTTTCACTGGCACGTGGGCTGACTTTACAAACGTGTGCATTTGCAGTGTGTGAAGGTTAAAGAATCCACGGTGTTTTTGCGGAAGTGCATGGCTTCAGCCCGGGACGACTCTATCAGTAAGCATGTGCTTGTCTCGTTCAATCGCACTCTCACGCTTGTCAATCATACAGCGCATGTAGAGAACGGTCGCTGGCAAGAATGGCAAGACATAGTGGACGATCGTGTTGAGCGTCGAGATTCACTTTGGTCTCACCAAATTCAAAGCGTGGATAAAATGGAATAACAACGTGGGTGATTCTTGTGTATTTGTTTTACGCACGCTAAGTAGTTTGGGATTAGGGAACGACCAAGTAGTATGTGAAAATCCGCATAGGACCGGTACATTACTAACTACGTTTGCAGTGGACCCGCGTCTATCGTGTATAGCGAGAGTGGCCATCGTGTTGACGAAGATGAACCGGACATCTCTGAGGATGACTATGCCTAGAAGTCCAAGAGCGTACCCGGGCAAGCATAGTCACAACCCAGTCATCTACTTCCGAGGCAGCCACCCCCTCGCCTCCGACCCCAATGGCCACTGAGCGTGGCGTGAGGAGCAATACAACGTCCATTTCTCATCATGCGCCACCAACACCCACGGCTAATCGAAGCATCCGGGAGGTCGAGCGAGAACAGACCATTTCTAGCGCATCCAAGGTCTCTGTCTCGGCTATTTCTCAACACGTCCATACAGCCACTTCCCAACATACACTCCCAGCTGCTTTCCACCCTCCCCCTGCAGCTGCCTCCCAGCCTGCACCTCTTGTTACCGTCGAAACCTGTGGACGGGAAGCTGAACCTGCTGCTAAAGGAAAGACCCACAAGACCACCGTACCTCCTTCCCCGATTGACCCAGCGGACACCACCGTGGGCAAGAGTCCAGGCCGGCTAGCAGAAGCCCTTATATCGGTATGGGGCTCTACCTCCAAGGCGAATACGCCTGGAGCCTTGCCGCTCCTTCAAACATCCTGATTTCTCGAGCCAACAACGTTGAAGACTGAAGCTCCCCTCTGCTGTCTCTCAAAGTTACGCCAAAGACTGCGGAGGTCAAGGTTAGAGGAGGAATACGAGGAAACCAATCTGCCTCCCACCATTCGGGATGATCACAGCGGGCGGTGCAGCAGGTAAATGTCTGTCTAGTTCAAGAGCCCAGAGTGCAGTCACTCTCTTCACACAAGGTCAGTCCTTTTCTTATCGTAATATCCTACTCTATCTTATTCCAACAACATCGCCGACCTATGAAGATTGGCGACGGAGATGGTAATAAATGGGCGATCCCCATGCATCTGCAGTCTATCCTGGCCGAGATTTATCAGGCACACGCCCTTGCCCCTGCCCCCGTCCACCTTGCGATCCCACAGATAACGCCCCAATAGACTACGCCGTCTCAGTCATGTCAACACCCAGCTAATCCCACTATATCGTCATACGTTCCATCCAAGTCCGCCCAAATTTTCCATCAGCCTCCTTTGTCGTTATGATTCAAGCCCGAGCCCTGGTCATCTACAAATGAGGCCCACCAGCGGAGGAAGAGGAGGGAGAATCATCACCTTTTCAACGCTATCGCTGAGGATTTTGGAAGGGCCACACGTTGTCTGGTTTTGGATCCAATGACCGTTTGAGTCTCGTGACTTTTGAAAGTGGGACCTGGCGGACGTGTGTGCAAGACACCTTACCTTTGTATTGGTAAGGGGTTCATCGACGTGATTGGACGTCTGAATGAGGTTCCACACCCAGATGTCACAGCCCATTACTCCCGGCGGCATCACCGCCCCCATGGAACTTGGTGTTCCTCCGGCAGCAATAATCGCTTTGTCGGCATCTGAACATGTTGGAGAGCCAGACTTACGTCTAACATATCATCGGGACGGTAACTATGATGGACTGTGTACTGTTATGACGGAGATTCGGGGCGCGGCGGATGAAAGCAATCGAGGCTAACCAGAAAAACCAGGAACAAGACCTCGCGAGTCGGTCCGAAGCTGTCAGGATTCATGGGCGGGCCATGAGATCATCGACGTGGGGGCGGATTTGGAGGTGGGCTGGGGCAGGCTGGGTATGCCACCAACTTATGTCTTTCCGGGTCGGATAACGCCAACAGACTATGTGAGTTGCTTGCCCGACACATGAGCGTAAATTTTATGCGTGCCGATATTCTATTCTAGCATTCCCGCAGAGGTCGCTTCACCATCGGGTTATGAGACCTGTGTCAGGATGTGGCCGATCTTACAGGACTGCCAGCCGGCCAGTTGCTAACTCGCTACGAAAGCGGTGCCTGTACGACAAAGCCCTTACACACAAACTTATGCGTTTCCTCGACAATGGTTTGTGTGGGATATTCCTTTTTTGTACTGGCGATAACAAAGGGGGGATAAAGCTAACTTTTCAGCACCACGCGCACCACAAAGTGCAATACTTCCTGTTGTGGACTGTGATCTGGAGGCATGTGGAGCGCCATCCAGATCAATGTGGATTGGCCATCTACATGGACGCACATCCAAATCTATTCTTCTGTACCCCTAGATTAACGCTCTGCATTATGTGTATCACAAATATATTGTAGCTTGCCTGTAAATGAATCTACTGGACATTGATGATCACCCGAGTTCTTGGACAAATGCTGAGGTTAATTTTTCAACACCAGTGATTAGTAAGCACTTGTTTGTTAAATTTTCGTCTGAGCTCTCCCCAAGCTTGAGCGCTTCAATTGCTATGAGGATTATTCCTGCAGAGTTCTGCTCTGAAATCCCCATTGTGCATGGCAAAACAACAGTGTTGCAGCTGATGGATGTTTCTTCTGGGATACATTCTACCATTCCGACAACTTTTCGACAGCGGTTTTCCTTTCCAATTGAGAGTGAGCAATATGTTGAAAATCAGTATGTCACCTCTGCTTTTGTAATCTAATATCTAATCTTCATTGGCTCAACAGGCCCTGTAATGGCAATGGAATCACTCCAAGCACTGCCTTATCCAACTGTCCAGTACCAGCACCCTATGACGATCATGCATCCAACGTTACAGATTCAAGTATTGATCTGAATAGTGATGATTTTCGTAGTGTTAATGTAGTGGAAGATGCAAGGCATGTAAGTTACTCTCTGGCCTTGTGTAGTTTGGAGTGTTGACGAATGTCTAGGTTGATGATGATTTGTTTTTGAACAATTCACCTCACTCACTGCCAATGGTGACTCCACAAACTGGGCAGGCTATTGAGACTGCCCTATATCTAAAGCGCTTTGTGAGGAAAACATCGACATTGGTGTATGGATGGTTCGAGATGACTGGTCTGCAACCAATTACTGCTCCACCTAGCTTCTCATCTTTCGAAGTCGTGCAACCAAGTGATCTCTTTATCCATCGCACAGACCAGACAATATCGTGCTGGGTGCGTGAAAATTCTGCCAGCGGTGGGGTATGGAGTGCCATTTCAGTGGGTGACAAAGGATCCTTCAATGAGGATTTCGCATGCAGAGTTTTAGCATTACAGCCCGATGGGAATCCCACGTGGGTCCTTCCGAAGTCTATGGCAAGATACAAGCGATTGGCCAACAAGGGTTCAACTGCATGACAAAGGTACTTAGAGAGGCTCAAGTGTATTAGCAATGTTTTATGTTCGGCTACATTAATGAAAACCCTTATGTTGCTCTCTGGTCTTAGCGTCTTCAACAACTTCTTAAGCGATTCATCGGCAACATTTTGTATGGGATATTGTTTCTTTGTACTGGTGATAGTGAAGGGGGGATAAAGCTAACTTCACTGCCCCCATGGAACTTGTTGTTCTTCCGGCTGTAATAACCACTTTGTTGGGTGCAAAATCTGGAGCAATGTGTCCATTGTCATCCATCTTGGTCTCCAGTTCATTATCCTCGTTGTTTGTGTATTTGTACTACCTTGTCTTACGAATGCACTTTGAATTGCCACAGGCCCACGGCAGTGTGACTTTCTGAGTGATTCACAAAGGAATTGGTTGGTATAAGTACTATCTGTCATAATGTGATGTCTTTATACCTTTACTATGCGCCCCACAGTCCCCAAATTCAGACCCAAATTCAAGCCCTTAGTCCGTCTTGAAGATCAGTCATTTGTGGAAGAAGGAAGTCCTTGGTTGATAGCAAGTGAGTATGCCAGTTATCTGCTCAGAATCACCTTCATGATACAACAGGCACAGTGGAGAAGCAACAATTAGATGCCCATGAGGTGCCTCAGCTCGCCTCACCTTCTAGTCCAATGGCACAACAAGAGTGAGTTGGTCTGTTCACTTGGGTGTCTGAGTGGCTGTGCTAAGTCACCAACAGACATAGTTGTCCATCTTTTCCATTAACTTCAGTTATGCGATACATCATGGAATTCATATTCTCTCAGCTCCTCAAGGCTGTGACATTAGGGCTGCTTGTGGTGTCATTCAACTGGAATGGCAGTCTTTTTGGGGTCAAGAGCAGAAACGTAGATTACGACATAATTCTGTCTCGACTCGATCATCTTAACACGGCAATCCACAATCAACGACTTGAAGATATTACCACCACTTTTCCTACAGGTGCATCCTCTGCAGAGTTGATTGTAATGCCGGATTTCGCACTCATCAGTTCGGGAGCATTTCACATACCACCGCTTACCTCCACTTTTGCCACCACACCATCCCCATGGCATATGTGGCTCCAGGTCCCAGATCAGCGTTCTTTCCAGAGTAATTCCCCCAACATAGCATTGACCGCTGATGGAAGTTGTTGGAGAATACCACAAGCAAGCGGTCACTTGGGAATTGGGTTCAAGATCCCGGTGATCATTACGCATCTTTCCATTGAGCATCCTCCTTCCCAGTCCATGGATGCACCCCGTGATATTGTTTTATGGGGTTTCATTGAGCAGGCTGACAATCTCCAGCGCTATGCATTTGTTGATCAGGACATGGACGATCAGCCTCCTCAAGAGGTCATCGAGGAATCTCGAAAGCAGAACCCCACCGGGTCTTTCATCAAACTCGCACATGTGGAATATAGCCCATTCCACAACTTGCATGTCCAAACATTTTCTGTGAGTGAAAATGTTCTTCGGTCAGGTTTTGATTTCGGTTTGGTTGTGGTTGAGATACGAGGGAATTGGGGTGGAGATGAGACTTGCTTATACAGAGTGCGGGTTCACGGAAAAGATATTCATACAGGGGTGTAAACATTTATTTAAATTCATGCTTACACCAAGAATCCGAACTTGGGGTGGTACCGTATTTTTCACGAGCTGACGATCGAAGAATGCGGTATCACCCCCGATTCTTTACTGGTGCGATTGATATTGGCCAGAATCCCAACCCGTTCTTTCAATACTACCTTCATGCTTGCAATTGTCATTAATGCCTTTGGCGCAAACATGCAGCCACCCACTGTTTATGTAATGTTACACTACTAGTAGTATAGTACTGTGTCTGTTTCATCGAATCGTGCCACCTTCAATTATAAACCTTGCAAAAACGCTCTATTCCCTTCTCTTTGCATGGTTAAATGAGCACAGCAACCAGCGACTGTACCGCGACAATTTTGATACCTTCATCGGTCTTTGAGACCTCCCCGCGCCACGGAACATGACCAGCTGCCCTAACCCCCTTGATCAGTTCTGCGTCAACTTTGACAACGAGCGCCTGGAAAACCTTGTCCAGAGACGTATCTTCGAGGCTCACGTTGATGAATACCAGAGCGAGGGTATCTCGCGCTCTGCTCCCACCGTCCCCTACTTTGACAATGCCGAGTGTGGCTCCTTCAAAACAAGCCGGGTGGTCTTATCTACATCATAGATGACCCTTGCTTCTCGCCGCTCACATAAGAAGACCGACCACTCGATGGTGGAAGCCTTTGGCAAGCGTTGGGGTAACCACTCGTCGTTCAAAGTTGGTGTCATTGATCCTTCTGGTTTCCCCACGTTTACCGTCAATCACTTCAACGGCCCCGTCGCCTACTCTACTGGGGGCTTCTTGAACCGTAACATCGATGCTCCCAACACCCTGTAAGCTGGCTTATGGACTTCTGGGTCTGCTCGACTTTGATCTCATGGACTATGTCGCTCAACTACGGGAAGGAATCCTAGAGGGATACACCGGCGTCGTCACTGGGTTCCAGAACACCGAGAAAGGTTTGCATCTTCCATTTAGACTCATCTTGCCACTCACAATTGTCCCTAGGACCCACACCCATCGTCAGGAGGGTTTCTCTATGCCTGAATTCCCTTCCCCGCGCCGATCGAAATCCTTTCTCCTTCCATTTTCTCGACCTGGCGGACTGTGCTGACGCTGAGGGAGCGAGATGTTGTCCTTGGGCAGTTCAAGGCAAGTGCAATCAATCCGTGGCCGAGTCGTTTGTTAAGCATGTTTTTGTAGGTTTTCATGTCACACGCGGCTTTCCAATCGCTCGATGACCATATTCGTGCATCGGATGTCGAGGAGCAGAAGCGCAATCGTATGCGTGACGCTGAAGCGGAGGCTGGACTTGATTTCTGTGGCTTCGGTGACCCATACGCTCCTTACTCTTCTCCTGGCGAGGAGTCATCATTCGTCAGCGCCTTCTTGGACCCGGCTCTTCCTCTTGTTTCCAACGCGTCTCCCTTCCAGTGCGCTGATATGTATGATGAGGACTATGAGGGCTTAGACAATCGCAGCCTCCACGAGCTACCGTGACAACTCCAACTCCAACTATGGCACTGAATCATATGCTCCCTCCAGCAACATGTTCCAGAATTTTGGCTTGCTACACTGGTATCTCAGCGTGCCCTTGTCTCAGACTGCAAATTGTTTTACTCGCCACAGTGTCAGCTCGCAGAGGGTATTTTGCTCGCACTCTCCATTTTGATGGTCAGCATAATTGGGTTCAGAAGATGAGACTTCGTTGCGGAAGACCATCGATTTGCTGGTGCAGCTCAAGCCCCTTGTGATATCCAACCAGATGGTCCAGGACTACTCGCAGAACCGCGTCGATACCCTGCACACGAAGAACTCGCTGCACCTCGGAGAAGATCGATACCTTATCACGCTCCTTCTGAAGCACTTCTCTCTGCACAACAATACCCGATTCGTTCATGACGCTCATGCGTTTACCGTAGTGCCTGATGGCTGAAAGATTCTGCTCCCTCAACGTCGTCGCTGGATCAACTCGACGGTTCATAACCTTGGAAAGCTTATGCCCCCGGAGCAGCCTTGTGGTTTCTGTTGCTTCTCGATGCGGTCTATGATCATGATCGATTTGGTTTCGACTATCATTCAGCCTATCACTGTCGGCTTATGTGCGTCCGGTTTTTTTTTCTGGTTTTTTTTTTTTTCGGATTCTGATTGAAGTTATAGATCGTGTATTCCCTTGTGGAAGTCGTCACGAAGCAGGAGACTCTCCCTGTCAGATCGGTGTCGTGTATGTCTTACAAGCCCCTATGACTTTGTCGGATGGATGTTCTTCTACATTCTGGCCATCCCGATCTTCTCTCTCATGCTCCCGCTCTATTCGTTCTGGCATATGTATGACTTCTCCTGGTGCGCCACCCGTATCGTGTTGGGTTAAGCTGGCAAGAAGCTGATCGTTCATGTAGGTGTTTTGTGGTTCTAGTTATTTGGAACAATACCGATGAAGTTTCTTTAGGACGAAGGCAAGTTCGATCCCAGCGCGATTCCTCTCAAGTCTTGGAATGATTACGTGTGTGGTTTTGGGTCCTTTGTAGACGTGTTACTAATCAGGTTTGCAGGAGAACGAGCTTTGGGGCAACTTTACGTCCGGAACGACTATGCGACTACTGAATTTAACCGAGGTCGAAGATCGCAAGCTGTTCAGCGGTGCACAAAAATGTACGTGTCATTTCGCTGCTTTCCGAACCTTACTGACGGATGCTGGTTTCAGTATTTGCTTTGATTATTTCACTTGGCCAGGCTACCCTATAAGTCTTGACAGGTCTTTGCGGACAACCAAGTGATCTCGGTGCCGATGTTCACTCTCCTCATCGTTCAACTCGTCACTGCTGCCTTCTTTGTTATCCTCCTCGACGAGCTCCTTCAGAACGGTTACGGTCTCTGGGCCGGTATTTCCCTTTTCATTGCAATTAACATCTGCGAATCCATCGTGGCCCAGAGTTCGAAGGTGCCGAACTTCATGAACCTCCTTGCGGTTATACAAAGCCTCCACGTTGAGATCCTTGTCAAGAGCAACAGATTCCGCGGTCAACGCGGCAGCTACCTCATCAAGATATTCTATACCAGTAACATGCCAATCATGCTCCAGAGCGCACACTTACATCAAACGTGTTTATTGTGTCGCAAATGCTCGCAACGCGCGTCCTGAGACTCTCCCCAGCTCCGGGCAGTAGCTGGTATCGCATACTACATGTCGCCCCCACACACCATCGAAGAAGCTTTCCTCGACCCCATCCACACACTCCTCTACATCAGGTGATGGCTGGTCATCATGAGAGTTTGATGTACAACGAACTCAAGCGCGTTATTCCTACCGCCGCTGCTTTTGGAGGCGCTATTCTGGGCCGCAAGAGACAAGGGTGGAAGGCCCTCCATCGTCTACCACGCCCGCAGACACCTGAGCTCATCCCGGAAGCTCCCAGGGACCTCGCTGCGATTGTGGAGATTTCAGAGGCGGCTGCCAAGTAGCACACGGAGACAATTCGCACTCGAGCTCAATTTCACGTCGGAAGCACCATCTGCATCAGCGGATGATACCACTGGTGATGGTGGTTGGGGCCCCATGAGTCGTGGGGTGCCACTGAAGTGAAAGAACAAGCTCCCCCATTTGGGGTTCTTCTAGTGGAGGCGGTAGCACCGGATGGGGCTCCAGTGTGGTCGACACCAAATAGGGGGCGCCTCAATCGAAGAGTAGCTGGTCTATGGGAGCTGCACCCTCTTTTGGAGGCCTCTGCTCTACTCTCACAGGATCGTTTTGTAACTTCCTCGGCGCTGATGGCAGGAAAAGTTCCAGGCCCTCGCCGAAGCCTGGCTTATCTTCACTTCCAGCTGAACGCACTTATTCTCTTGGAGGCCTCGGCTCTCTTGCAGGATCATTCAGTAACCTCCTCATCGCTGATGACAAGAAGAGTCACATGCCCTCGCCGAGACCTGACGCATCCCCTCTTCCACTCGAGCGTGAATCCGTTTTGTCACAGAAGGAGAAGCCAGTCTCCACGCGTGTGTCCAGAGCGGTCTTGCCGCCGATGTTCTTCCAGTGTGTATTCCAAACATATTCCACGCACGCACTTCTTGTCTGACGTATCCCTAGAATCCGTCTAGGCACGGATTCCTTGTAGCTGATGCGGGTGGCAGCACGCTTGATATCTGTTCATATGCGGTCCGAGGAACAAATCCCCTGGTTATCGAGGAGGTAGCTCCTCCTGATTGTGAGAATGCGGTGACGCGTCCTCTTGATGTTCATCCCCATGGACACACATCTAAATATCATCATCCGGACCCCTGGATTAACGCTCTGGTTTGTACTACCAACATCTAACGGGCTCTGTGTGACCTCGGGCTAACCCTGTACGCTGGCTTATGGTCTTCTGGGTCTGTTGAGTCCTGACCAGTGCTCGCTAGCTCGACTTTGATCTCATGGACTATGTCGCTCAACTACAGGAAGGAATCCTAGAGGCCTACACCGGCGTCGTCACTGGGTTCCAGAACACCGAGAAAGGTTTGGATCTTCCATTGAGACTCATCTTGCCACTCACAATCGTCCCTAAGACCCGGCCGCACCCATCGCCAGGACGGTTTCTCCACGACTGAATTCCTAAATCGCATCCAGGGAAAACCAGATAGCGTGTTGCCGTTTGATGTTCCTGATTCCGCTGATCCTTCCCTGCGCCGATCCAAATCCTTTCTCCCTCCATTTTCTCGACCTGGCGTTCCAGCCCGTGCGATACAACGCTCGGAGAGAGTAAGGTAATTGGGACAACCAAGTATGTTTCACATCGTGCGTTATTGAAAACCCGGCCGACGTCCCTGTTTCTTCCGTAGGGTGTTCCTGCCTGGAAGGAAGGCATTATTTGCGCAAGGGTATTGCCATTCGACTACTGGAACTAGAGTCAGAATTGGACGCATTTCATGTCTCCCTGGAAATCATGGGAGTTCTCTCGGAGCTCGCTGTGCGACGCTACATGGAGGGCAAGGGAAAATTCGACACAAAGTTCGCGAAAGAGCGACACGCCATTCAGAAGCAACGTAACCGGAACCTCGAGCTCTCGAGGGGAGACGTTTTGAAGAACATTGCACAGCTTCAGGATTGGCATGATGAATATCAAGGGACTCGAGTTAGTAGGTGGCACGTTGCGTTTTCGACACGTGAAGCATACTGAATCGACCTTACAGTCCAAGAAATTACCGTAGAACTCACGGACTGTGCACGCGCTGTCGGAACGAAGCTAACATCTGCACATCGCTCGGCACTGAAATCTATCAAAGGATCCTGTACAAAATGCAAAGGTTTTTTGGGATGTCTCCAGGCGCGAAGCCCCTTTGGCCTCTAAAGTCGTATCATGAGCGTCGACTTACGACCACCGGCCCTGGTGGACCCATAGTGCCGGATAAGAAAGATTCTCCTTCCCACTTCAGCATGCAAGAGCAGCCGAGGATTTCCCCAGCTAGACGGGTATGCTACTTGTTTTTTTCTGTGTACGTAATCATGTTATCGTTGTTTTTAGGGAATACATGTCCCGGATCCTCATCGTAGGTTCTACACCGTGTTCGATGAGAAACATGCTGATGAGTAGCAGGGTCAAAGTACAGCACAAATGACTGGTATCGGTGGGCACATGTCTGGCCGATTGATTCCCACTGTGGAACGAGGATCCGTTGATGTAACGTGAGTACTTATCTTGCGCGCTTGAGGTTATCTCACAATTGCTTAGAAACTGTCGTGTCGCAAGTTCGTGCCAACCTCGTCTCATGGTCGTTTTCCTTACAGGAGATTCGCAAGGTCTGGGATGATTAGTCTGAACCATCCTCTCCGAAGGAAGTTCGAAACTCTCATGTTGAGAACCGCCGAATCTTTGGAGAATTTCTCTGGTTGGTTCTCCAGGATGAGCTGCTCGAACGTCAGTTCAAGAGCACTACGAATCAGTGGGATCTGGGTATCAGAAGTTGGGCATGTTGCCCTGTCCTATGAACCCTCAAACACGTCGATTCGCTGTCTAATCCTGATCCTACGGATATTGCGGCTTTGGACGAGAATCCTGTGACGATTAGTGATATTTAGATGGATGAGGCTGCAGGGGTGCAGCGTTTGGGGATGAAGATGCAGGCTCGAGAACGGACATCCATCAAGCAGGAATCTGGATCCCGACTCTGACATATATGTGGTCGTTGGTTGCTGTGAGTATGTTTTCTGAGTGGTGGTACTCGCTTCTGATAAGACCCCTCCCAGCCTGGAAAAACGCCTGCCATTCAGTTGATTGAAGTCGGACTGGTCGTCGATGTTCACAGGTGGTTCGCTGCGGAGAAACTTGCTCGGTTGAGTTGATGGAGATGTGTGCTGATCACGTTTTCTCGAAACCGGAGTTTACTGCGCTTCCGCCTTGGCACTGATTTCGATTTGGTGGTCTTCAGTTGATGCCTGCATGGGTGAGTGCTTAGCGTCGTCTTCTTTCAGCAGAATCTAACGTACTTCTGCTCATAGTGGTTCCCTATGGAAGCCTCGACGGCCCATATGTTGTCTCAACTTTCGAGGACGGTCGAATTAGCGTTCAGAGGAAGAAAGAGCCATACTTCGTGCTCGGTGGGCCCTCCAGTGTTTCCCGGTCGTCGTTGGCGTTGGCGGGAGTCGAACTGCAGCAATGCAACCTTCTCAGGCGATAGTTGGAAAATCAAGGACTGCCAGCGTCAACCGCGACTCTTCGTACACATCCGATACTTCTGACGAGAAACATCCACGGCATAGTTTTGCGACTAGTAGTCGGCCTGGGTATAGTGACTTCTCCGAGAAAGCGAACAGGACGGTTGTATAAGACCATCGGCAGGCGCCAGACCCTTTCCTGAGTGTGACACCGCCTACCAAACCGTTTGGGTCCCACTCTCGAGTGGCCTGGATGGATCGGTGCGTATCTCAAGAATATTGGTGGATGCCGTCAACTGATTCATATCCCTTTAGTTCATGGACTCTGATGGTGGTGTTACCTCAGAGTTGGTGCGCGATACTTCCAAAGGGACAAGCTGTCCAGTGCAGACAGCACTGAGAGCCTTCATTTGACCTTGACACTGCTTTCCACGCAGGGTACTTTGATCACGCTAGCTAATGTCTTCAATGTTCATACCATCCATCAAAGATCGGATCTGCTCGCAACTCGCTGACCCATCTCGTTTACAATTGCAAGTCCATGCACCGTCAGATCGTGGATGGACAGTCGCTCGTCCAAGTCTGATACGGCTTCGCGGCGTGATGACGATTCGAGACATCGGTTGTAGCTTTCATTTAGCGTCTCAACGCTCAATCTCAGGGCTTTCTCAGATATTTTTCTGCCGCATGTTCTGCTCTCGAAGTCGTCAGCCCTGAGTTTAAGTGTAGCAACGCGAGATCTTGACAATTACTGCGATGTTGTCAGGTGCGCACTCAGCCTTGAGGTTTGCTATCATCTAACACCATTGCAGTACCAGATGTATGGCTGGGCCCGAATAACCAGCTAACAGAAGCGGATGCTGCAAAGACCCTGCTAACCGTCCCTGATGGTGACCACCTGACGCTTCTTAACTTGTATAACGACTATACCCAAAGTAAGTTATCCTCTCCTTGCACACGCACACACAAACTCACACCCTACCACCAGACCAATACCACAAACACTGGACCTGGAACAACTACCTCTCCGCTCGGGCGCTTATGCAAGCAGACAATATACGCGAGCAGCTGATACGGTAAATTCATTTCCAATCCCCTCCGTCTTCGTGATATGCAGAAACTCAATGGTATCAAACTGAAGAAAGACACGAAAAGGCGTTTTGGAAAGAACGGTTAGCCAGGGAACGAGGGGACCAATCAAGGTCAATGACTACCACTATCGGAGATGAAGCCGACACCGCTCTCCTGGCTATCGCCGCGGCAGAGGTCGTGACTCTTGATGGTGGCGTCCGAACATGGCCCAATAAATTGGAGATTGGGTATCTAGAACTGTTATAATTTCTGGTATCATACTTTGTTGCCGGGCCTCATCCATGCACGTTCCACCGCCCAACAGCACGCTCGCACCAGAAGTACTCGCGATAAACCCCATCCCCTGATTACATTAGCAGGTCATGTGACGGGTGGCTCAGCAGTTAGCCAAATACCCCGTCGCAAGTAAGTACATACTTACCTTTATAATACCAAGCACCACCTCCAAAGGTTGGGCGTGCGATAGGAAACATGCCTCTTCAATACTTTGAAAAATGGGTGCATACCCACCATACGGACTCTATTGATTGCATTGCTTTCAGCATGGACGGGATTTTCTTAGCCAGTGGCAGCATGGATGGCACAGTCATTATCTGCAACGCTGCCTCTGGCACTGCACTACATATAATACATTGCCGGAGCGGGGTCCTTTCACTCAAATGGGCACCTGTACGCCTTCATGAAGTTTGGTGTGGATTAGGAGATGGTAGACTCCTTTGTGTGATCATTGGCGAGGTGATTAGATTTGTCGCAAACATTCAAATGCACTGACTTGTTTATCATTCAGACTAAAATCCAGACATTGTGTTTCCGTGCTCACAGCTGCCCTATTGAACATCTTGCCTTTGACCATTCGGGCCTGAAGCTTGCTACCGGCGCACAACACGAGTTGAAAGTGTGGAGATATCTGTCTCAAGGTCTGCCGTATAATTTCATGTTATCCTACGAGAACTTATTTAATCTACAAGATCGCCTTCGGCATGTCAATGACTTATCTCCCCCAGGAGCCATGAGTTTGTCTGCCCAAGAGCCAACTGTCGTAACATCCTTACACTGGCTTCATTCTGGTGATGACGCAGGTTGTTTGTTGGCCACCTACTTATACCAAGGAATTATGTGAGTCAATAATGTGGCGGTCTCAGAGCCGCATCTCAACAGCTGGCAGATGTCGTGAACCTGAATCGGGTGAAACCCGCTGGGCCATTCCGCTTCGGTCGCTGATGTAAGCTCACCACTGTTGTTTTGTCGGTCCAGAACTCATTTGAAGATATAGAGGACATGCCGACTTGTCCCCTGACGAAACTCGGATTGCTATCTTCAACCAGCACAACGGCATTGATGTCTACAAAATCCCGGGTGCTATATGGCTGAAGTCGTATCACTTTACAATTCGAGACCATATCATCCTGCCTGTTCACTGGATTGATGAAGGTTTGCGACTGATGGCAGGCAGTGACAGCGGAGCAGTTTGTATATGGAATGTGAAGAATGACTGCACAGCTTCCATCCTTGTTGCATGGTGGGTTATGGACATATTGTCGTTTAGTTCTTATACTGAAGCTTTGCGTGCTAGGAAATTGCATTGTCCGTGCATTGACAGTAAGATGATGTACGTAGTATTCACCAACTCAATCTGACCCACATTTTTCTAGGCACATTATGATCTTACAACGCACACTTGTAGAATTGCCACAGGTACTGCTGAACATGGCCCGAGAACGTCAATACACCTCTTTGAGACCAAGGAGCTGAGAGAGGCTAGGGCGACCAGAAGCCTGCGTGCGGGACACAAGTTAGTAAGTGTCAAGACTTGATATTATCTGTTATCTAAACTGATTGGACCAGTCAATCCCAGTGATATATGTGTTCGTGTTTCTGATGGCAATAATCGTGATATCTGTTCAGCATTACTGGCCGTCAGGCTCAAGTTCTTGGATTCAATGGGATGCAGAACTGTAATTTAATTGAAGCACACTATATCCTCTCCGCCATCTTCCTTTATACGTCTTCTTTTATATCTCTTAGCCATCTTCCCCTTTCCAACACTGTTAGTCATTGACGATGTACCCATCTGAGTGTCCACTCTAACATTGTTTACTCCATTTTCGTTGGTGTGCCTCCTGCCTGATGTCTTTATATAAATTGTCACTGTAGCTGGATTGTGATTACCTTCTGATGCGCCATTAAGCCATAGCCCCACATCTCACATTCAACAGCTGGTCTGAGGTTCGCTCATTATTTGTCAGAGTTGCAACTGAACCATCTAGGTCTCTTTGTTGGATATACAAAGCTGCATCTAACCGACAAAGCTGGACAATCACAAAGGTTGTGAATGACGTCTACTTTGGAATGTACACTGCAGGGCTACATATTTAACTCATCCATCAACTAACAGGAATTATATGGCGGCTCAGCCATGGAGCCAACTCACCGCTTATCTTCTGACTCAGAGTCTGACATTGCCGAAGTTCACTTGTCCCTTGAAAGGATCCAGATGGAGAGCGATGAGAAATTTGTCAGGATTGAGACTGATGTTTCAAGCATCAAGCATTTCCTGCAGCAAACTGCACGGACTACAGTAGGTTGAATCATGTGCCACGCCTTTGACCATGAACTCATTTGCATGATTGACAGGACAGCACCTCCTCCCGACTTCAGGATTTCGAAAATGTGGTAGTCAATAATCAAGTAAACCTGGAGAATCTCCTCAACGACATACACCATCAGCTCAGCTCAGTGCAACAGGCTATAGGTGAGCACTCCTTAGAGTCTTGGACACTCATCAATATACAACACTTCAGCTGCATCCAATGCCAAACTTCAGCACCTTGAGTGCATTAGCACAATCCAGTCCTCTATTCTAGCCTTTCACAACTTTATGGAAAAGTCTTTTGAACATCACAGCGTACTTTATCAAAAACTCTCTCAAGAAGTGTCTGACGCAAGGGGAGAAATCAGTGATATGGTTGTTGGTATTTGCGAAGACATATCTACGTTCCAGGAGTCCACGGTCAACGAACTCACAGCACTCCAAGACTGCATAAATCAATGGCCCGATTCATATCATCTCTATAAACAGCCAACTCATCATGATAATGCCACTCTTCTTTCAGAACTCCAGTCGTGTACTGATCTAGGCTGGGGACTCACCAACGTCACTGGTCATGGTCACAATGTTGTTGAGTTGGAGCTTAATTTGGATGAGGGCGTTGGTTGTCCTCCTACTGGCAGTGTTGTAGATGATCCATCACTGGCCCCCCCTTGGGTCACTAAGTCAGCAAGGTTTTCGTTTCAGATCCGGGATATCACATTTGCATGGCCAACTTTGTGCGTTTCATCTCAGGCTTTATGGGATTGTCCACTAATAATGTGTCAGCTGTAGACCTGTTTTTGACTTGGCTTCGAAATTTGCAAGAGCATGGTGCTCCTGCTGGCAGTCATGGGGTGCAAGCCCCCTATTGGTCCATGTAGTGCTGGGAGTGCTGGTCATCATGGTCATTTTCGTTTTTGTGGATTTCAGGTTTGCGGAGGGTTCAGCACAGATTGACGAGCTGTTGACTTCAGCAACTGGAATGGGGGGACGACTTATGTGGCAATTTTGCAGGGATACATGGGGTACCGATACTAACAGCAACACAGCGTAATACTTATGTGCAGTAGTGGTATTCTGGTTAGGATGCATCAACGGCCTTTGTCTCAGGAGGCATTCGGATACCGCTAACACGTGCGGTCCAGCTGTTTACAAGAAGGGCCGCTTTGATCGCCATAAATAATAGAAGCTGTCGTAAGGGAGACAGGCTTGGATTGTGTCTCGAAGGCAGTCGGCTCGTGTTTGTCGATGGAAAGACTCTTTGTCAATCAAAAAGGTGGTATGGTACATCCTATCGAAATCATCATCGACGGGAAACAACATCGGGAACCACTGCTACCTCAAGAACTCGTTCTGCCATTCACCTTTCGTTATGCGACTCGTTATGCCATGTCATGGGCCCAACTCCTCAGGATCAGGTCATCTAGGCGGATTCACCCTTTTCCACGTGGGTTGAATGTGGTCTTACAAATAGTCCAATTGAGCGCCACACGACCCTTCCGATGCACACGAAGCGGAAACTGCAGGTACTGGGAGGGTCACGAGGAATCTGGTCTCTTCCTGTGGTTACGGGCCCGTTTTCGACTGAAATTGACACGATACTAATCGGTACAAACGCTAATCCTATGCCAGGTGTTTCGTTTGCTAAGTTCGTCTGCTAAGTCCTCGCAAAAAGCAACACGAACCGCGAAGACCGATGCTGCTATTCCGACCCGCATTGTAGCAAACGGAGCAGTCCTCTAGGCCAAGCGCGCAGCACTGTTGCGGGGTCAGATCTCTTCAGGGAGGGCAGTAGCTTTGCCAGTGGCGTGTGATATGGATATCGAACGCTCTGATTAATGACGGAGTTAATGGGAGAATGCGGAATATCAAGTACAGTCCTGACCGTTGGTACCACGGGCCAAGCTTGAAAAACTGCAGGATAGATTCGATCATTTTCAAGCGTGGAAATGGCAATAGAAATGCGAGAGGATTGCGCAACATGGGTGAAAAGGAACGTGGAGTGAGGTGGGCTTGCAGTAATTACCCACTGAGTCCCACGCCTAGGCGAAAACCTGTGTGATTAATAGAACTACAAGAGGACGCAGAATATCATTTTAGCATCACCTGCCACGCACCTCACGTCTCGCAGCACTGACCAACCCCTCTACCTCCCAAGCCTCATCCGCTTCCTAACAGGCGTATCCGAAGTCATTACCTCCGACGAAACTGAGGCTCACTCGCTCTGTCTCTGATATGGATGGGAACGAAGAGGTAGAGGTAGAGAGCGGCATGATTGACTATGGAACGGTTGCGTTGAGGGTGTGGAGTACATGTAGCATATACGTGAGGAAAAGTCAATCTTACTTTCAATTCTCACGTGATCCACTATAGTCTATGATGTTGTTTGTTTATAGCACCTCATCAGAACGAATCCCATTTCCCATTCGACTAGAACGTAATGCATGGAACAAGCGCGTTCGTGAACGTTTTACTCGAGAACCTGCAGAGCAACGCTCTTAATCGCAATGCCAAGACATCAGTACTGTCGTGCTTTTGTGGACACGCGGGGCTCTGTGCAACATAGCATTGTAAGCTGGTTTATGGACTTCTGGGTCTGTTCATTCCTGACCATCGCTCGCTAGCTCGACTTTGATATCGTAACTGCAGGAAGGAATCCTAGAGGCATACACCGGCGTCGTCACTGGGTTCGCATCTTCCATTCTGACTCATCTTTCCACTCATAAAATCGTCCCTAGCACCTACACTACTCCCTCACATGCACAGCATCCTCGAGCTCGTGGAGCATTGTCCAGCCGACGACGAATGATCCGACTCCACCGTGAAACTCCTTTGGCCCCATCGGCAACCTCACAAACTGTTTCCCCAATGGCCAATGACACCGTGACTTCCTTTGTGTATGTGCTATATTGTTTTCTGATGTTTTTCTGTTGCCTCAATTTCATTCCGTTTCAATCCCGACATTTTTAACGTGTTCCTTGCAGTTATGCGGTGGAGCAGCCACAGGTCCTTGTGCAGGATTCTGTCTCCTGACACTATGTAACATTTTTCCGCTCTGTCTGGACGAAGTGTTGCGGAAAGCAAGTGGCCGCTTTGTGGGACGGTCCTAATGGTATGTCTGATGCCTTCGCGTCCTTCAGCGCTATCTGACTTCGCACGTGAACTCAAACTTATGCGATTCATCAGCAACGTTTTGTGCGGGATATTTTTTGTTTGTATTTGCAATAACAAAGGGGGGATAAAGCTAACTTTTCAGCACCACGCGCAGCACAAAGCGCAACACTTCCTGTTGCGGATTGTGATCCGGAGGCATGTGGAGTGCCATCCAGATGAATGCGGATTGGCCATCCGCATGGGGACCCACATCTACGGATTGTGATCCGGAGGCATGTGGACCGCCATCCAGATGAATGCGGATTGGCCATCCGCATGGACGCACATCTAAATCTCATCTTCCGGACCCCTGGATTAACGCTCTGGTGCGAGAGGGTCGATAGGCGGCCTTCATTCGACCTTGACAGGGTACTTTGATCACGCTAGATAATGTCTTTTCGCGTCTGATCGTTTGCTTCGGAAGGTATATTTGCCGGATCAGTCTTCATCAGCCGAAGGGCAAGGGAGTTCCTCGAAGTCTTTGTACCCAAGGCATCATCTTATCGTACAATGCAGAGAACCTCAAAAGCTCGAAGCATGGCACTCCCGATTCGATGGACCACGTCACGAAACGCTTTGATGAGACCACAAACCGACTATTCCGAGACAAGAAGGAGCTACAATTCGTTCCATTCGGCTCTCCGCTTGACAAAGATCTCTCAGCCGGCATCCATGGATGCCAGCTGAAACTCGATGTGTAAGTAGGCGAACAAACATCCAGTGTGATAACAATATTAATCTTCGATAGCGCGGAGGTGGCAGAGTTCTTCGAGCCTTCTATACAGGCGGCCGGCGGCACACCGAGAAAGGTTTGCATCTTCCATTGAGACTCATCTTGCCACTCACAACCGTCCCTAGCACCCGCACTACCTCGCGTGCCCAGCATCCTCGAGCTTGTCCACCAATGTCTAGCCGATGACAAATGATCCGACTCCGTCGCTTGAAACTCATTTGGCCTCATCGGCGACCTCGCAGCACTCGTGACTTTTGCTCTCCACGACCGACCACGCCCTACGAAACTTTGGTGATGTGCGGTCCTTTACCCACTTTACGTCCTCTCCGAGGTAGCCATCGCCAGCACCGATCTTGCTGAGCTCCTTGGCTTCGCAATAACGCTCACTCTTCTCCTTCCGGCCCTTCCTCTCTGGACTGATTGTCGAACATCTGGATGGGTGGTTTACCGTGTACGGCGTCTGGGCAAAGGGTGCGTTTCCCGACAACACATTCACAGGGATTTGCTCAACTGATGGGTAAACAGCATGAACGCACAAAACGTGCTCCTTACGCACTTCTAGCCGCGCTACCCCATGATGCCGCCCTCTGTATCTGAGCGTCAGGCTGTATCCGACCCTGTTGCTTGCACTCGCATTCGACCATGCTAATATCAAATGGTGGGATGGGACAATGGAAAAACATAAACGGTGCGATGCCTTCCTTCGGGCAGGTAGACTTGGGCCAGCGATCGAATCACACCGATACATAATGGATACGAACCACGAAACTACGAAGGCGAGTAGCCTTGATTGGTCCACTGGCAAGTCTCAGTAGTGTCGCTCGAGCTACGTCTCACCCGCACTTCACCGTCGTGCTCGCCCTGTCGTCGATGCTTTCCTGTCAGTTCGTCTTGCTGTTTTCACTTGCTCTCTTGATGACAACTTTTACCTTCTTCCCCATCAGCATGACCCCGCTGGCACTCCCATCACTGCATCGCCGATACCTGGTGCTAACTCTGCTGATAAGACCAACTCCGCTGCGCCTACGAAAGGAAAAGAAAAGAAGTCGCGATCAAAGCCGCCTCCATACCAACCTTTGTTGACATCCGGTCAACTTCAGTGCATAGAGAATCTCAACAAGATACCGCAGTTGAAGAAAGAGCGAGCTTTCTTTGAGGGTGTACGCAATTCTCATGCAATGATAGTATGTCGTGACCCCAAGTTGTTCAAGCATCATTTAGAGGGCGAGGGCGTGTTACGACATTGGGCGGATCACTTCGAGCTGTAGCTTTTATTGTGTTCTCGTTGTATTGGTTACTTATAAGTTACAGGTAGAGGGCATTTACAGAGACAATACTATCGACTTAATATATTTACGCTCGCGATGGTGCGTCACAGCATGCTGTTGTTCGGGAGCTTTTAATTTTATAATTCTTTGTCTTGTGACTTGCGGTTGTCTGGCACTGTCGAATCTCGACAATAAGTCGTCGCATAGCGATCATGAAAGGGCTTTCAGCGTCGGTTTTCTCGCGTCTTTGTTTGCACAGGCTTAAAATCTACGCGACTCACCATCTTTTGGTCTACTTTGGTTCTCCTAGGATCCTGGAATCTTGTTTGACCAACATGCCCGCCATTCGACGCGGGAGTACATACCTCGATGTCTCCACGACAGCACACACGCCTGAGGGGCGTCTGAAACTCGATAAACTTCATGCTAATCGCAACCTTGCGTACCAGAATGGTGAGTGTCATTTTTACTTTGACCCTGACATGTCGTGAATGTCTGTCATATAGCTGTCTGTACCGCTTTGCTATTCATTTGCGATGAAAATCGCGACCTTGATCCCGCGGATACCTTAAGCGTATCCTTTAATGCTTTCCAGACTACAAGTTCGTCTGTTAATTTCTGTTCTGTGTTCACATCGCCTCATTGTGGTCCAGTGAGAGGTCGGGCAAGCGCTGCTGATATGAAAATGGGCTCTGGCAAGCATCCTCACTTGCGGCGGCTGCTCTCATTCTTTGTAAGATGTCTCCCGGTCGCGTGAGACTTATATTATTACTGAAGACACACGTCCTACTTTCACAGTGGGAGCATGGGCAGATTGACTTGACCTTTGCCCACAATGGCCGTCAGCGGAACGTGGTCCAAGAGATCGATATTCAACCAAGTTTCCGCGAAATGCAAGTGCTCGTATATAGTCAGTCGAAGTTATGCACTCATCAGTCTTCTGCTCTGTCACAGTCATCATTGTCACCTCGTGAAAAATTCAGGGCATATATGCCGCCTGCAACCAGTTGGTTGCAAGCGGTGTTCGATCCTTTCCAAATACCTTTTGGAAAGGATCGAACACCGACTGTGCTCGAGGTAGGGCGAACCCACTCGGAGTCTAGAAGCCCGGCTAGAGGACCAGAGAGGACCAGCGGCCGTCTGCCCTCTCTGTAGCGGAGCAAAGCAGCGCATCTGTGCTTCACGCAAGACGCTGCTGCCTTCCTCTCTGAGCTCACGGGACTGTGTCGTTCTCATCACCGGTACTACAGGCATCGTGGGCGCACACCTTCTGGAATGCTTGCTCAGTGCATCACACATCACTCGTACATTTCTTCTCAACCGTGCTAAGCCCGGAACTCCGACCATGTTGGAACGTCGAGAAGAGATTTTCCAGACATAGTCCCTCGACTCGACGGGACTGAACACATACAGACCTCGTGTATTTGGAAGGCATTTTGGACAAGGATTACTTTTGGACTGTCACCTGAAAAAAGACGTGAGCATTTCCCTTTTCATAAAAAAGCTTACCAAGGTTCATCTTGTCTTAGATGTCTCGAAACGTCACCCACATTGTGCACGTTGGTGGGGAATTTCTTACGGTCATTCTCATTCATACTGAAAGGCTTGTTAGGTATAGCGTTGTCGAGCGCCGTAAAGGATGGATCTTATTCATGATGGGTTGCAGAACATGTCTTGGCGGCTGCTGCCGATGCCACGCGACTGAAGCCAGCTATTATTCGCTGGGACAACTCACTGGTGGGCGTACATGCAACTGGCAAACAACGGAATGGATCCCATCCATGATCAGTTCAGTCCCAGGCTTGGTTCTTTGCCTAATCGTTCTGATGTGGGTTATCTGGATTGCCGTTCAACTATCGCTGACCTTTGTAGATTGTCAACTGGCTTCCGACTCTCAGATCTCATGTTCTGAGTCATTGCGAGAATCTCCGACGATGTGATCAATTCTTTCAAGCCCGTTGCAACTGGAAACGAAGGATGTAGCTAAAAGGATACTCATACTGGCGCAGCGTTGGCTTTATTTCCATTTGATTCAAATTCAGCACCCTCCCCAACAAAGGTCGTCGAATAATTCAGAATATGCGTGTAATGAAGAACACTCGAGGGCGAAATCACGCTGGAGTACGGTGCAGAATTACCGATCTCTCCGCGAGCGAATGCGCTCTCCAAATCGTATTGGATATCTCCAGATTAATATAGGCGGATGTCGGGCAGAAACCTACCTGGAGCCATCGATGTTGAGATGTCATTTTAAAACTCCGTTATGTTCGGATGTTGTATTGTGGCAGGCATTCCATCCTTCCTTATCCTTATCAACCACTGGTCTTTGCTCATCCAATGCAGTTAATAAGGGCCTTCCGCTATCAAACTCATCTTACTCGGGCCGCCATCTGCAAGCACTGCTTCCCTGACTTGCTGTCGTCGTAATCGCGTAATCTGCCAGTCAAAGATGGCTTCTGTCACCTACCGCGCATCCGGTTTCTGGTCGGATAGGATGACCTACTTTGGGGATACGGAACAGGGCATGGACGATGTTGAGGCCTCTTTGGACATTGAGTGAGTCGGGATGGGTACGTCGTGTTCTCAGGCTTTATGCTCACATTGCGTTATAACATAACCCCTTCACAGCGTGTCCTTTGCGTGTCCTTTGAAAGACATAAATACACCGGAGCTGGTTCACCAACCAAGTACCAACTTCTCTTGTCACAACAATATCTGGTCGTCCTTGTCGCGCCAAATCATGGCTTATGGCGTCCTCCCTGTCTCTGTTTTTCCTTGCTTTCTTTGCAATCATTTGTTTCTGTCCCGCTGTCACAGCGAATTCTAACAGTGAAAATACGGTACGGTTATAGGCATAGGTAAGCGTACCTACACTACGTCACTCTCCCACTTACGCTCTCCCCCAAACCCGCAGATCCCTCGCAACTTCTACTCTCACACCAGCAATCTCACCCGCTTCAAGCGCTCGATTAACACCAGTATCGTCTCTTCGGCCACTTCCGAACACGCAGATATCGTCTGCGTCGGCAACCGAACAGAACTACGATGTTCTATCAACAGCCGCTGCCATCCTTTTCCTCACTCACTTCCGTCGGCTGGGCCAGTATTCTTGTCAACGTCCGCTCCTTCCTAGCAGTTTACACTTTCGCTCTCTGACTCTGCTTTGCCCTCCTCATCACACCCAGTTACATGCCCTACAAACAGCGCACCTTCAATCTCGATGGCCAAATTAATGCTCAGTGGTCTCGCGAACTCGGCGCAGACAGCCGTCTCAGGATCCAAAACAAGTTCCATTGCTGCGGATATTACTCACCCTTCTTCGAAGCCACTATCTCCCAAACCTGGTACGCCCGCTCCAGTTTTCCCAGGGTGCAAAGAAGCTTACATCGACTTCGAGAAACACGTCTTGTACCTTTGGTACACGATTGCTTTCTCCCTCGTCCCACTCCAGCTCGTCATCATGCTCGCAGGACTCTTGTGCTCAAACCACGTAACCCACCGCTTCGGTAAAGGCACCCTCCCATGGCAGGTACGATTCCCTGGAGATGAAGTCGCCTTCACCGAGAGAATATGAGCGAGGGACGACAGATGGATGGACTACTTTTTCTTGTTCACTGACATACCGCTCTGATACGTTTTAGACTCTTGCTTTCTCATTTACCCAGATGGCGCTAATCGTCTGCTGCTGGCTGCACGTTCTTACTTACTTACTGGTCTCGTTCGTTCCTGCTGTGCTTAGTGCGCGTTCGTTTTAGTGCGCTTCATGTACATGCATATTCAATGGCATTCTTTACATACGAGCAGTGAATATACTGTCATGGATTCAAGCATTTCTCGCGTGTTCGGATGCAGAATGAGTCGATAAAACATCCCCGCGGATTTCCTCGTATTAGATCTTCAAGGCATTCAAGGTAAAGTAAAAGCACCACGGTGGGAGCGGAATTTGGAGGATGGAGAGGCACGAGGCACGACGGGAGGTTGCAGGGAAGGGCGGTGCGAGATGGGAGGAGGTTAGTCTACTATCATAGGAAGTAACCGAGTAGTGTAGGCTGAACAGGTAAGATGGTGTCTACAACCAAGTGGATAATGGATAGATGGATGGATATGCACACATTAGGATGCAGGAAGTTCTAAACTTGTCACCCAGCTATTAACGGCTTCAGTGATCTTCAAGCCAGGCTCGACTAGATCCCAGATTATCTCGAACACCTCTCTATGAATGCGCTTGTTTTCTGACCGGCATTGGTCGATCAACTCTGTCATCGTAGGAATGACTTCGCGCGATATAATACCCTGCACCGCATCATCAACTGCTCCACGAAGGTCGTCATACATGACTTTAATTGGTGGTTCGGCAGGGGGTGGAGTGCGTCGCGATTCAACAGCCGCCTCAAGTGAAGCCTCGAGACGCTGAATGGCTTCGGTTTGTTCTTGAATCAGTTTCCGATTGGCAGCGGACGCCTCTTTGAGCTTCAAAAGAGATAAATGAGAAGTATCAAACATAACTGCTGAAGATCTACCTTGGCTATCGACTCTCTAAGTTCTTCGTTCTCAGTTCTGAAAGAAGCCTGCGTTTTCTGCACCTCGTCTTGATGAACGAGTAGCTTTGCGATATCATCGATAGGCGCATCCAAAGCTGCGCTCAGCTCCGTCGCTTTACGAGAAACTTCCTCTATGGCGCCAATCGCTTCGGGTGGTAAGTCAACCTTTGATGGAGGCAGCTTAGCTTGTTGGGCCCTGGCCTCCGCTCGAGCATCGCGCAGAATTTTTATCTTCTTGTCGATTCTGTCGTTGATAGTAGCCATAGGATTCTTCAAAGATTCAAGCGTTAGGGCTGTTCGCAATTCCTCGGGTAGCTCCTCCTGTTTGTTCAAACGAGATCGCACTGTATCCAGACCGTCTGGAATAACAGGTGTTACTTCAGGTGGTTCATCTTCATGAGGAGTGGCTTGGTTCGCGTTCGGGGGGTGTTGGGGAGTGTTGGCGATGAGCAGCGGGCGGATGTCTGACAACCAAGCCCCGACTTCATTTAAGTAGCTCGTCACCTCGTCTCCAACATCGTAGCGTCGGTCATAGTCTATGCCGGATTTCAACTTGTCTCCAATCTCCGCTAGTTCCCTGATTGCCTGTGATAGCTTGTCTGAGTGACCGACGCAAATTTTCTCGAGCTCTATCCGATGACCATCCAGGCGAATGCGGCCAGCTTCACCGATGTAGGAATAAGTAGCAGACTTCTGCGCCCTTCTCCAGTTTTGACGCTCTACCTCTGCCTTCGCGAGATCTACTTTTGCTCGAACGGCGCGATCGCATAATCTGCATTGTTGTTTTAGCGTAGCTCTTGTTGAAGATGTTCGACTTCACGCACCTGATAAAATCCCCCCAGGTCTCCTGCCGCTTCTCGAGATCTGAGCCTCTGTGTTTCCTCTTACGATTGACAGTTGATCCTGTCACTATCGATAGAGAAGGCGACCCGCCACGAGAATCAGATCCTCCTCCAGTATCGCATCCCAACGCCGAAGATGAGTTATATGAATTCACCGGTGCAGATCCGCGCCCTCTTCCACGAGTAAATGATCCTCTCGATTCTCCCTGAGGAAATGTTAGTGAAAGAGATTGCCGTAGGCATACCAAGGTTCACCCACAAAACTTCCGCCTCTGCCCATTCCGTGACCTCTTGTAAAACTGCGAACGTGGGCTGTTTCCCAAGCGGGGTCGTCTGGATGAATGAAATTGCATTGACCTGCTCGGTAGCAACCTCCATTGTGAGGACTGCCATTTTCATCGAAAAACTAAGTTGTCACTGTAAGTAAAACGCACACATTGACAACTCAGGGGAATTAAATGGGTAATTCTGAAACGCTAGAGACAAGTGGCACGTTAATTAACTCACCCTACAGCGCGCCTGAGCCATCGCTGGGTCGAGAATTGCCTGGGCTCGCAAAAACCCCTGATGAGTCTGTGGCAGGTGCAGACACTCAGGCTTGCTAGTTGATGATGGCGAAATCTAAGGATGTTGGATGGATACTTCGAGTAGTGAGACTCAGAGTTGAGTTTAGAAAACCGCTAAAGTTCTCAAGTCTGCATTTTTTGGCAGATTTTTCAGAAAGTCTGGGAATCCGAATTTCCGGCAGTCATGACGAGGGCTTACAGTAATTTTTTTTGGGCCTTAAGAAATTACCACATAGATCTATACCACACCCTACCACACCCTACTTAATAATGTCTTATATGCCTCTACAATTGTCTTGTATGCCTCTACAATACGTCTACGTCGTACGCAACTGTCTGAAATATGATTTAAGAATAAGTAATGCTATATTCCAGGTGTTTGTGTAAGGCTAACAGTGGTACTACAGTGATATATGTACTTGATGGGTGCGGCAGTGATGCGGCAGTGGCTGTGCACTACCGCACCACTGCACCGAGGTCCGACACCAAACCACCCTTCTTATCAAGTTCACTTGCAGCACCGTTATGAGCAGCTGCGCGAAACTTGGTGAAACCACTCAACGACCCCTCACACAGGCTCACGCCTGTCAGGTTTGGCGTCTCGATGCCTCCGCCTATCATTCAACACCTGTCTTTGCTGGTTGCATGCCTTGCCTGACTTCGCTGTCACACATCTCCTCGACCACGTTATGCAGCAACCTGTGCAAACGGATACCGGGGCTTTAAGGTATGTATGTCATATCTGTGTGGCCTTTCGTCCTTGCAAACTGAGTCTCGTTCATTTCAGAGTACAAACTACTACTACGAGGCCCCAGCCTATGAAGCCTTGTGTATCTTCCTTGGTGGTGGCCGCGGTTTGTTTTTTTGGTGTGTTTCTCTTTCTTCACTACGTGATACTGCAAAGATCGATGTCCATCCCTCGATATTAGTGGCTGTGCCATTGAGGTGGTGCGACGTGCACATGGTAATATGGAGCCTGTCAAGGGAGACAGGTCGTTGCGAGGTGGGTGCTGTAGACAGTCTGAATGTTAGTGTCTCAGATGGACGACTTGGAATTAAAGAAGGACATGAAGCACTTCCTCGATTGGTTGCAAGGGCGAGACGCGTCAATTTGTGAGTATCAAGATCAAACACTGAATATTTTCAACTGACTGTTCCAACTCCGGAGGAGATCAGCGCCATGATCTGTACAAAGATGAAGGAGACGGCAGAGGCCTATCTCGGCGAGAAGGTCACCCACGCAGGTAGTAACGGTCCCTGCATGTAAGCCTATAACATTGATTTCACCATCCCTCGCTTATGAATATTGTTTCAAGACTTCAATGACGTCCAGCGTTAAGCTATGAAAGATGCCGGAACGATTGCTGGGTTAAAGATTCTCCGTATCATCAACGAGCCCACTGCTGCCGCTATCGCCTATGGTCTTAACAAGAAGGGCGGGGAGTCCCAAATTATTGTCTATGACCTTGGAGGAGGAACTTTTGATGTCTCCTTGCTTTCGATTGACGACGGTGTCTTCGAGGTCTTGGCAACTGCTGGTGACACGCACCTTGGTGGTGAGGATTTCGATAAGCGCGTCATCGACCATCTTGTCAAACAATACAAGAAGAAGACCGGCACTGATGTCACCAGCAACCTCCGCGCCATGGGCAAGCTGAAGCGCGAGGTTGAGAAGGCCAAGCGCACGATGTCCAGCCAACAGTCGACCCTCATTGAAATAGAGTCCTTCGCAGACGGCAACGACTTTTCGGAGACCCTCACTCGCGCGAAGTTTGAGGAGCTTAACATGGATCTTTTCCGCAAGACCATGAAGCCCGTCGAGCAGGTACTCAAGGATGCGAAGATCAACAAAGAGAACATCGATGAGGTCAGGCGTTTAGCATCCCTTATTTACACTGTCTAACAGGGTTACAGGTTGTCCTTGTTGGTGGTTCGACTCGCATTCCCAAGGTTCAACAGCTCCTGAAGGAGTATTTTGGCAAAGAAGCGTCGAAGGGATCAACTCCGATGAGGCTGTCGCTTATGGTGCCGCTGTCCTGGGCGGTATCCTCTCTGGCGAAGAGGGCACCTTCGGAGGTGGTCTTGGTGGATGTCTGTCCTTTGACACTTGGTATCGAGACCACGGGTGGTGTTTTCACGAAGCTCATTCCCCGCAACACTGTTATTCCCACACGCAAGTCACAGATGTCAGTGTCCATGTTCCCGCGCATCAATGCATCATACTGACAATCTGCAAAGCTTCTCAACGGCAGCTGACAACCAGCCCACTGTCCTAATCCAGGTCTTTGAGGGCGAGCGCTCGTTGACCAAGGACAGCAACCTACTGGGCAAGTTCGAACTCTCGAGCATTCCCCCTGCTTCTCGTGGTGTTCCTCAGATCGAGGTCACCTTTGGTATCGAGTTCACTGGCAACAATTGATTAATGTTGGTCATTCCGGATTCGTGGGTGTCATCAACTTGGATAGTCTGTGCCAGCGCTGCGCCCGCTAAGTTGGCAAACCAAAGGTCGGAAGAGGGGTGGCGGAAAGAAGCTTTTGCCACCTGATACTCTGGAGGGCCTTGGCATTGGCTCAGCTGCAGCATCGGTCGTTGGAGACGTTACGCCTTCGGCATCTAGGCCTGTAACTCCTGCACTCACTGCAACTTCTGTCGTGTACGAATTAGACGAAATCGTTCCTCCTCTCAAGCGCGATAAAAAGGTTGATGAAAATGCTATGGCCAAACGCCTGAAGCATTTAGAGGAGGCTCAGAAGAAAGTTTGGACAAACATTGCTCGGAGAGACGTTGCTAAGGTATGGACAAATTTTTCATTACGTGGTGTTTGCGTTCTCATCTCATTGCACAGGTGTATAAGTATGCCGCGATGGGCTACCAAGCCCGTCAAGGTCAGCATAAGCGCTTGGCCACACTATCACCCATTCAAGCTTGTCGGCCTTTCACAAGGACTGCAAAAGTTCATTTAGATGTTCAAGCAAAGGGCAGACACCTGATGCGTGAGATGCTAGTCTTCTGGAAGAAGAATGAGCGGGAAGAGAGAGATTTCCGAAAATGCGAGCAGAAAGAGGCTATTGATAGAGCGAAGGTCGAGGAAGAGAAACGGGAAGCCACGCGCCAAGCACGCAAACTTGAGTTCTTGATCAGCCAAACTGAGTTGTACAGCCATTTCGTCAGTAACAAGCTCAAGAGTGAGTCCTTGCAAGGAGATATTCCTGAAATTTCGGCGCCTGTGGGTGCTACTCTTGAAGATGTTGACCCATCAGTACTTCAAGAGATTGGCTTTGATGACGGTTAGTTTCCTATACCTGTATTTTGACGACTCGGAGGCTGAACTTGATGATTAGAGGACCAAACCAACCTTCACCGACATGCGCGGCATAACGCTCAGGAAGCTATCGCTCTAGCCAGACAAAGGGCTCAACAGTTTGACACTCAGGCTGCACTCGATAGGAAAACGAACGAGGCTTTGAAACTTGCCAAAGCTCAGGCTCACATCAGGGACGATGACGAGTCGGGGCTCTCAGGCGCTTCGAATACGCCCTTGGTTGACTGTAAGTTCTTCCTGGATACTCAGGCTAAAGAGGTTAACAACGGTCTACACACAGTGGACTCCGACGAGCTCAACTTCCAGAATCCGACGTCACTCACTGGAGAACTTAAGATCAAGCAACCGAATATCCTCATGGCGCAGCTGAAGGAGTACCAACTCAAAGGTCTGAATTGGCTTGCTACTTTGTATGAACAGGGTATCATTGGTATTCTCGCTGACGAGATGGGTCTTGGGAAGGTGAGATTGATTAGAATGCCACACAGCTCACCTTACCCTCCATGCACCTCAGACTGTGCAATCGATACCTCTCCTTGCCTACCCTGCCGAGGTACACGACATATGGGGACCATTTTTGGTTGTCGCACCAGCCTCTACATTGCACAACTGGCAACAGGAGATTACTCGCTTTCTGCCTGGTCTGAAAGCCCTGTCTTATTGGGGGAACGTCAAAGACCGAACCACCTTGCGCAAGTTCTGGAGCAAAAAAGGGATCAGCTATGACAAGGACACACCGTTTCATGTCCTGATTACAAGCTACCAGCTGGTCAGTTGCAGTTGCATAATGTTTCGAGCTGTGCTAATTTCTGTATAAAGTTACTCAAGACCAGCAGTACTTCCAGCGCGTGAAATGGCAACTCTAGTGTACGGTGGAAAACATTGCCGAGATTCCAATGTCGCAATCGTTTGCTTTTGACCGGCACACCAATCCAAAACTCCATGCAAGGCGAGTAAGATAGGGCAGCAGCGTCAGCAGTTGCTAACCTCCACATAGAGCTCTGGGCATTGCTCCACTTCATCATCCCAGTCTTTTTGACTCGCACGATGAGTTCAATGAGTAGTTCTCCAAGGATATCGAGAACGCTGCAGAGAATAGGGCAGCAAGCTCAATGAACGTCAACTACGGCGGTTGCGCACGATTTTGAAGCCTTTCATGTTACGGCGAGTCAAGCGACATGTGCAAAACGAGTTGAGCGAGAAGGTTTTATTTAATTTACGCACGGAGAAATGATCACTCACATATTATCTTCAACAGATCGAGGTCGATCATTATGTTGATCTGTCATCCCGCCAACGTACTCTCTACCGTGCACTTCTGGCGAATGTATTTGTGGTAGATCTATTAGAGAAGGCCTCTGACATAGGGGATGCTGATTCTGCACGATCGTTAATAAACCTCATGATGCAGTTCCGGAAGGTGACTAAGATTTGGTCTTATCATTTCTAAATATTGACTTGCTCCCTTACAGGTTTGCAACCACCCCGAGCCCTTTGAACGTGCAGATGTGGTAGCTCCCTTCTCTTTATCTCGCTTTGGTCAATCTGGTCCTCTGAACCGCGAAGACAATTTTATTGCCCTTCCTTACTCAACTCACAACCCCATCGAAAACCAAATTCCGGCGTTATTCCACCAAGATGGTGGGCTTATAGATGTTCCATGTGAAAAGCCTGGATTGCGTGTGCGATCGGACTGCACGAGTGCCCTCTTCAATATCTGGTCAACGGGGTGGATATACCGTTCGACGCTCGATAATGTTGAAGGTGTGTGATGCTGCTCGAATGGCCGTCCCTTGGATGTAACACGTTATAGGTTCACCTGCCTTCGCATTTCTTCGACTCCTGAACACCACTCCGAGTGACGTCCATAGCTTTAAGGTATCTTCCTTCATGCGCAATTGGCTTCGGGCACTTGAGGAAGAGAATAGGATTGTTGAGGACAGGGATTTCATAGTAAGCTACCCATGATTATTTTTCCAATTTCCGATCAACCGTTTCATAGGGAAGCGGAATTTGCTGCTCATGCAGGCGCACATCCGTTCAGCATAAGCCCCCGTCTCTCTTTGAGCCTGGATACCGCGGAAGGCCTGCCACATGTTCTTGATATATCTTCAACAGCCTGGCAGGCGTCGAATCTACGTCGACCAACCTTGAAGTGGTTTGTGCCGCCGGCTGTAGCACCTCTGATCTTTCTTCACTGCACAGATCGGACATTCATAGAGCATCAAGTACAGTTGCTAGAGGCACCGATGGAATCATTGGCAATATACGGGCTCCCTCAGCACTTGCGGGATTCGCCTACCATTGATCAGGCGTACCACACCCTAGTTCCTGCTTTGTCTTCGGCAGGACTTGTCGGAAGTTCCCCTGCAAGCCAGCTACCATCTTCAAGCATGCAAATACCAGAAGCAAATAGACTGATCTATGACTCTGCTAAACTCGCTCGGTTAGACGCCCTCTTTCAGGAGCTCAAGGCGGGCGACCATCGTATCTTGATATATTTCCAAATGACTCGTATGATGGACCTTATGGAGGAATATCTGGTCTACCGCCAGTACAAGTATTTACGTCTCGATGGCTCATCGAAGTTGGAAGATCGACGAAATATGGCGATGGATTGGCAGACATGGTCAGTGCTCGACTTAGGTTGAATGTACTCGACTCTGATACATGTTCTCTAGCCCGGAGTCCCCGGACATCTTCATATATATCCTAAGCACACGTGCAGGTGGCCTCGGAATCAACTTGACATCAGCAGATACTGTCATCTTCTACGATCACGACTGGAATCCGTCAAACGATGCACAGGCCATGGATCGCACTCATCGTCTTGGACTCTTGGTCAGACGCGCCAAGTGACTGTCTATCGCCTGATCACGAAAGGCACGATCGACGAGCGTATTATTCAGTTAGCTCGTGTCAAGAAAGATGTTAGCTATTTGTATTCCTGTAATGCAGGACGTTCAATCGATGTTTCTCCAGGTGCAAGATATTGTGGTCGGCAACAAAAACTTCACATACGTCACGAAACCCACCGAAATTGTTCAGCTTCATTCCCACAATCTGCTCCTGGTTCATCTGCTGGGGATTTTGGGGTTGGAACGTCAACTCCAGTGCGATTGAGGACCTTGTTTGGATCGCACAGTCTCCACCGCCGCTCGACCACTGCGGCCTCAGTTTCATCATCTCCAGGTAGCTAGGAGGGAGGATTTACTCCACGGACTGTGCGCATGCGCCGCAACCCTTTTTTGTCACGACTCACCCCCATGACACCGGATACTGGCCTGCAGAGTTCATGATCATCAACCCCATACCGGATTGCCATTGACTGACTTCAATTATTGTACAACTATTCTTCGCCGCACATCTTATCATACCAGCGTCAATTCATACACTCCCTTTTATTTCATTCTTATTCATTGTCTCATGTCGCTGTGGTCGTCATGTACCACGACATACATAAGAATACATTGATCACAAAGGCGTTGACTCGTCAAGTGCACGTGATCAGACCAGCTCAGTCACGTGTGGACGGGCCGGCGCGCCCTGTTGGCTTCGTTTACTTGTGGTCCTTTCATCATCTCTCCATGAATATCTCTTAATCCATGGATTTAAACAGCTCCCCTCGTAAACAGACTCCATTAGCACGTGGGGACGAGACACCTCGTAAACTTTCTACTCCATCTCTAACCAGACGTGTCTTCTGTTGCGGGGTTGTGGTTGAGGGATGTTATAGTGGCAGGAGGTTGCCCGAAGGTGAGCGGTGGTGATGAAGCCTGAAGATTACAATTTGATTTGTACAGACGTCCAAGAGCTAGTTCTATAGGAGACCCCTGGTTGAGTCAGAATGATAGCCACATTCTGCCTTCCGCAACAGACACATCGTTCTCAGAACACAACCAGCCAGTGAGTAGTACCTGCTAACATTTGTCTGCAAAGGCGAGACGCTTCGCTTGCTCACACTCAGATTTGGTCGTTCTCCTTCGTGTCTTAGGATGGATTGCAACGTAAACGCGCGCTTACAGATTCAACGGGGAGCTTCCTGAAAGCTTATCGAGTCTTTCAAGCGAGGCTGGATGGCGCATGAAGAGTGTGCTAAAGTAGTACCTGAGACTTGGGTGGATGGGGTTGAGACGGAGATGTTCATGGAGAAAAAGGGTATTTGGTGTGGATGCGATCGTGAGAGATCGGTGGAATCTGGTATGTTCCAACATACACCTCACACGTTTAGCTAACCTTCGCGTATAGAAATGTGCTGTTTGTTCAAAGGCACGACAGAAGGCCCCTGGTGCACCCATCCAGTGCACTAAAGGCAAATGTGCGAAATCCTTTCATGTCGGCTGTGCGAGAGATGGAGGGATCAGCGGCATTGTTTACTCGATACTGCGCGAGGTTGAGAAGGAGGTGATCCTAGTCTACCCGTCGTTCAAAGCTGGTGTCATTGGTCCTTCTGGTTTCCCCACGTTCACCGTCAATCACTTCAACGGCCCCGTCGCCTGCTCTGCAGAGGGCTTCTTGGACCGTAACTTCGATGCTCCCAACTTTTATTTCGTCTCTCTTTTCGGTGGCAACACAAGGCCACCCCAAGACACTTCTCTTCGGGACACTAGGCCACACCTGGACTTCAAGCTACGATGAGCAGTTGTAAGTTCAAAGTCTATTAGTCGACTCAGTGGTACTGACTGTAGTTGCTTACATTCCAGTTTCTGAATCTCGTCCGGCCATTCCTTCCACTCCTGCCAGAGGTTTCTTCGCCAGATTGTAAAGTATGTGCTATACATACCTTTGTAGGTCATGACATGCAAAACTCATCAAGTTCTTTCGTTTTCAAGTTCCTTTCAACCAAAAGCTGCTATGGATCGCCGTTACGCTACTCATTGGCTTGGTCTGCCGTCAAGTACCACTGTATGGCATCATGGCTTCGGATTCCTCTGACCCTATGTGCTGGATGCGTGTCATCCTTGCTTCCAACCTTGGAACCCTCATGGAGCTTGGTATAAGCCCTATCGTTACGTCCGGAACGACTATGCGACTACTGAATTTAATCGAGGTCGACTTCAGCTTGAAGGAAGACCACACGCTGTTGAGACTTGCGCGTTGCGGTGGCCCGGCAAATTGCCAACCTTCCGTCTGTTCCAGACGAAGGCTAGTCACTTTTTCATTTACCAAAGCTTATCTGACGCGGTTTACGCGAATATCACAGTTGTTGCCGTCAAATGCACCCCGTTTAACATCGAAACATTCCGGCAGGAGACTTTGGTGAAGTTTCCGATGTTCACGCCACCGCCATGCAACACGTAAACTTCCTGTCACAATGCAACTCACCCCAGACTTACGTCTAACATATCATCGGGACGACGGCGATCTCCTCGACAACCTCATCAGGCGAGCACTGACTCGCCTGCGCTTAGAGCGCCGTATTGCTGTGGATTGCCATCCGCAGGCACGTGGATTGCCATCCAGAGCACGGACTTCAGCGCAAGTCTCGCAATCCTATCTCGGCAAAGTCAAACTCGAGCTCCAGGACCAGTCCAATACCCTGTCGAGCATCCCAAGAAGTTCCTTTCGGTGCGCGGCGGATGAAAGCAATCAAGGCTAACCAGAAAAACCAGGAACAAGAACAAGACCTCGCGAGTCGGTCTGAAGCTATCAGGATTCATGGGCGGGCCATGAGATCATCGACGTGGGGGCGGATTTGGAGGTGGGCTGGGGCAGGCTAGGTATTTGCTGCCGACTTTCCGTGTATTTTGTTGCTGACGCTCAATCTCAGGGCTGTAAGGGGGGGGGGGGGGGGGGGGACTCATCCATTCCGCGGAAGTCTCGCAATCCTACCTCGGGGATGGTCCTCGTGAGCGATACTGCGTGTGGCACGTCCCGCAGATGGATGTTGTTTCGCCTGTGCCAAATGGCTATGGTCGATCGCACGACCCTGCTCGTCTCCGACTCATGACGTGAAAGGTTGTACGGCGGGGGACAGGAAGACAGTAAGTATTTGATTCGAGATGACGGTCACTTTGTACGGTCACTGTTGTACTGTAAGTAAATAGTACCTACGCAATGACAATAACTGGGATATGAGCCGCTCACGATGTGGTTTGGTGAATCCGAAGCCATTGTTAGTGATGTATTCGACAAGGCCCATGCTGCCGCTCCTTGTGTCATTCTCGTTGGAATTCTCGACCCGTTTACCTACATTATTTTAAATATCATCAACATTTTTCTGACGTCTGTATTTTAAATATGATCAATGTTTGAAACAAAGAAATTGTGCTGACCACATTTTAAATACAAACACACTTCTGACGCACTGTGAACTTAATGTATATGCCACCTACAAAGTTAATAGATTTTGTGGCTCTTAGATTTAAAATTTGAGTGCCAGAAATAATTTATTCAAATGCTGGACAAAAGGTAGACTATGTTGACGGACAAAATGATAATCTGAGCTTGATCACAACATTAAATATTATCTGGTTGCAAAATTCAAACTTCGACTAGCATATTTTGGTGACAAAAACATTGGAAAAACGGTGAAAAAAACACCAACCTTTGTGTTGGAACAAAGGATGATAGAAGTTTGGTTATGAGCATGGCACAAAGTCAAAAATTTATCTAGGTTTGTACTGCAGAAAAAGTGTTTGAATTGTTGAAGTATATGTTGATGCAATATTGTGGACGAAATCTGACTCAATATTTAACTTCGATCAATGTTTTTCATCACGAAGAAGTGGATAAAAAGTCCAAATTCTGTCAAACATTTTGATTGCCACAAAATTGTAAAATTTATTTTAACCTTTTTTAGCATTTTTTCAACATTTTATGCTGCGAAAAAGTCATCCATGCTTCCGGTGATCTAAGGTATCACCGGTCTACCTGACCCACTTACAGCAGGACAATTGGGTTCAACAAGGTTGTACCTTCACTATTTTTAGCTGTGTGTACATAAAGACGAGCGACCAAAGCTGAACTGAACCACACTTGCGAGTTCGTTTACTGGCAAGGATTTCAAGTTCTAAATATCACGCTGCAGCAACAATCCTCTTCTTGTGGAATAATCACGGTTTCAGTTCGAAAATCCACATTGTCCTTACTTGCTGAAGCCCCTCATCATCACAGAATTTACAAATGCTACCGCCAGATACTACAGTTCCATTCATTCGTCATACCTCAGGAGCTGATTATAGCTCGGGGGATCTGGAACTAGGCCGCACCGCTGTTCTCGTTGGTTTGGGAAGGTATATGCGGGTTCCATTCGATTGCCTAGTGAAATGCGTTGGTGCCATGCCCTCTCAGCAGGATCTGCAGCGGATACGCAATAACTTGACAGAGAGCAAGATTCTCACCGACGACGAGAGTGGCTTGCGATGGACGGACTTTACCCCACCTGCCACATCGAAAGTGTCCGAAGAGAATGTGTTCAAACCCCTCGGCCGCATCATTGCTGAAATTTTGCCCGACTCGGACTCAGAAGTCCCGAATCGTGGAGTGTCCTTTATAGCGAACCCAAACGTAGCTCCCCTCTCGCAGCGCAACAATACTTCCAGGCCTGATGGGTACCTTGTAGTTAGCAACAAAAAAACCCAGCCCAAGATGCATTGGTTCGATATTGCTGTGCCATTCGAGTTCAAGAAGGAACGAGGTATTGGGTCTCTCCGAGATGTAAGTTGTTACAGATCTTGTTGGCATCCGCTCACAAAGCCTGCTCTAGGACGAACAGAAGATAATCTGGAGCCTTCACAGTATCATGCGCGAGGATCTTCTTCGTCGTTTTGCGTTTGGTATCACAATCGAGGACACGAAATTGAGACTGTGGCTCAGCAATCGTGCGTTCCTTGCGGTTACAGAACCTATCAATTTCTTTGAGGTACGCAAACATATCATGCTGTGTGTCAGGGTGCTAAGAGGCATGGTACATCTAGAACATCGATGGTGTTATCTCGCTCTTTTACGCTCTTGGATCTGTGTCTGCGTCTTCTACTATGAAAGGACTCGGATGGGACCCCACTGTCGAGCGAATCCGTGATGGGGAGGGTTTCCAATACAAGTTCACTATCGGGGACGAAGTGTTCACCACGACACGTGAACTTGCAACCCATGGCGCAGACTCTATGGTTGGGCGTGGAACTCGCGTGTACGAAGCTACGGACGCCGAGGGAAAGAAAGTTGCCGTCAAAGATTCATGGAGAGAAGCTGGACGTCAATCAGAGGGCGAGATCCTAGAAAACATCTTGGCTTCCTGTGCGGAGAAGCTGCAAGCGGAGGAGTTGGCGGACGCCAAGAGGCACTTCGTTGGAGTCCGGCTCTGGAACGATGTCATAATCGACGATACCCTAGACGAGACGCTGGACCCGATGTTCGCAGAAGAGCATAATCATACCTGGAAGTGGGTGTCCATCGACCTCTACTCGACACCACATTTACCTAGCACAGGCGACGTACCCGACTCTAGTCAGCCGTCTACCTTTCTTCCCACACAATTGGGCAGTATTGCGCGACAAGACACTGGCATCCCGCGCAGAGTCCATACTCGCACTATCTTCCATGATGTCGGAGTAGTTCTCAAGGATGTCACCTCTTTGGCCGACAATCTGAGTTGCTTGTCCGGCGCACTTTTGGGTGAGCAAACCGCTGTCACTCTCCTTTCCTCAGTCGCTCATTCAACTTAGCCTTGCATTATATGCATAAAGCAGGCTGGATCCATCGCGATTTCAGCGTCGGGAACGCAATTTGGGTCGGGGGTGTGGGGAAGTTGGGTGACTTCGAGTACGCGAAAAAGATAGATTCAAACACTTCTCATGATGTTCGAACGGTAAGATTTTTTGAAGATGATCTCTTTCACTGTTAACTCGTCGACAGGGAACAATGCATTTCATGGCGGCAGAAGTAGAAAGCCAGTCTTACCTTTTCTTATCACGTCATGCACGCCATCTGGAGGACCAACCTTCATTTCGCATGAATTTCCTGCACGACATTGAATCCATATGGTGGGCATTCACCTGGACTTTATTTTACCACACGGACACGGACACGGCGAACGCTGACCATGCCTTTGATGCACATGCTCAGTTGAAAGAATACCATTTGGCCTTCCCTGGTATGGTCGGCCAGACATCACGCTATTACTTCTTCCTCTACACTGGACGACTCCAAAAGAAGCTTGAAAATATCCTTTCAAAGGCGTGCTTTAATGTTTGCGGCCCCATTATTCCTGATTTCGCAGACGCTCTTCATGATAGCTATGAAAAGGCGGAGGCAAAATTTCCCTTGCTAGAGCTTGACGATGCTCTTCTGAAAGATATGCACACAAAAGCGGCAGCATATCTCAATGATGCGCAACGGCGTGCTAGTGGCATAGAACTTTGTCCGCTCTCCAACCTCCTGAAGCAGAAGAGGCCTAGACCGGGAGATGAAACATCGCTTCCGCCAAAAAATCAAGGGAAGAAGGCTCGATATGCTTGATTTTTGATTGTTGGTATGAGAAAGTACCAGGAGATGGTAGCTTGGCGTCTCGTAGCTGTTATCTCGTGGTTATTAATGACGAGGGGCTGTCGGAATGTATTCACGCTTAAAAGATACGAGTGAATACAATGTAAGCTTGGAGAGCGACATTTCCTAGAAGAATCAGGGAAATCACCTGAGCGGAATCTGGCGATACGATAGCTACTTCCTTGATAATGGTCGAATGTTCTGAGCCTCAAGAGTGTCTTGCTTTCAGAGGATATGCAAGAAGATTGTATTCACTGTGCGTACAGGCTCAATAAACGAAAATGAATGAAGGGGGATAAAATATATCAATGAAATAAACATAAATCGCAGAAATGTGTCCGTAAATAAACTAAATGTACAGTCCATGATCGTACCAATGAAGGAGAAAACAAATCAAAAGAAACTTGTAGTATGATAATTGGTGGGTAGTGAAGGAAATCCGAAGAGACCAAGTTGGTCAACTAGACGGACTATGCGGGACTCTGAAACAGTAGGCGGTGGCCTTCAACTTCCAGGTCGCAGTAGACAGTGAAGGAGGCCGCTTTGTCGTTTGATGCGTCGTCGGGATTTGGTCGTAGGGGACCTCTGACTCATCGGAGACTTGCGATAGGTTGGGTGTATAGAATGTGAGGGCCTTCGACCTCATGGATAATGACTCCATGTCGTAGGGGACAGTGAGGGAGGCCATTAGCAGGCGTCATCAGATTGGTCGTAGGGGACCTCTGATACCGAAGACGTGTTGGATGCGACGATGTCTGACGCGTTTGGTCGTAGGGGACTCTAACAGCGAAACATTAGTAAGGGAGGTGAGAGAATACGGGTAGGCTACTTACCATTCGTAGACGTCGCGTGGAGTTTAGCGGCTAGTAGGATATCGATAATGTGCTAGTAGTCGAAATTTTGACGACTGTGAGGGACTATCGTGGAGAATAAGAGGTTCCACATGTCGAAGTATGGCGTTGATAGCATCGTCGTGTAGGGTGAGTCGTAGTTGAGATTCCGAGGGCTAAGAACAGCTAACATGAGTGCTGGTAGTGTCGTCTTGTAAGATGCATCGCGGCGTAAGTGTCGAGGACCGAGACCATAAAGGGGGGTATCGTCGAGAGTAAGCGTTTCCATCCTTTGGAGTAGATCGTAGATAGTGTCGTCGTGAAGGGTAGTTAGAGCGTCCGAGTTTTGCAGTAGAGCATTGATAGCGTGGTTGTCGTCGAGAGTCAGAGCTTCTGTGTTATCAGGCAGCGTGTCGATAGCGTGGTTGTCGTCGAGGGTAAGAGCTTCTGATTTTTGCGGTAGAGCGTCGAAAGCGTGGTCGTCGCCGAGAGTAAGAGATTCTGTGTTGTCGATAGCGTGGTCGTCGTCGAGAGTAAGAGCTTCTGGTGTTTGCAGTAGAGCGTCGATAGTGTCACTGTGGTTGTCGTCGAGAGCAAGAGCTTTTGTGTTATTGGGTAGCGCGTCGATAGTGTGGTCGTCGTCGAGAGCAAGAGCTTTTGTGTTATTGGGTAGCGCGTCGATAGTGTGGTCGTGTAGAGCGTGATGCGGGCGAAGTTTCGATAATTGAGAAGGAACCTCATCGAGAGAAAGAGCTGCTATTTTTTTGATTAGATTGTCGATAGAGTGGTCGTGTACTAGAGTGCGTTGGGGCTGACATTTCGATGACTGAGGGGAACCATTGTCGAGAGGAAGAATTACAGGTAGGTTGGTGATAGTGTGCTGAGATGAATCAGGTAGGATGTCGATAGTGTGGTCATGTAGAGTGTGATGTTGTCCAATAGTTGATAGTTGGGAGGGTACATTGTCGAGAGAAGGAATGGATAAATGATAGGACACATAGTCCGGGGAAAGGGTTGATAAATGAGATGTTACATCGTCGAGAGAAGGAACGGATAAATGGGAGGATACATTGTCGAGGGAAAGAGGGGATAAATGAGAAGATACATTGTCGAGAGAGGTGGATGATAAATGAGGGGATACATTGTCGAGAGAAATGGCCGATAAACGAGCGGGTACATCGTCGAGAGAAATAGCTGAAAATCTTCTGGTCAGGTTGTCGATAGTTTGTGGGTCGTATCCAGCGTGCAAGGTGTGGTCCGGTTCATCGTCTGCAAGGCAGTGTGCTGTAGCCTGGCAGTCGTCCTATAGACCCAAGGATTAGTAGACGGAAGTCAGAAAAATCACGCTGCTTCCTACCTCGTAGAAAGTGCTTTCGTCAGCAAGCGACTCGACGTCTAAGACACGGTCGCAGCAGAACACGTCCTTGGCTAACTCCTCATCGTCGGCGATGAGTGTCGTGTCAGAATCAGCCGTCGATAAGCCTTTGGTGGGAGCCTCAAAGCTGGGTTCGGTTGATTCAATCACTGCACGCGACGAGGATGGCCGAGCTGGTGTTCCGAAAGCCTTGGTTATTGAGATAGCATCCAAAATGTCGCCTTCAGCAAATGGTGCGTTGAGCCCAGCGGTATGGTCCTTGAGAGCGGGGACGCGTTGGAAATCATCGCTGAGGAATTGTCGAGCAGCTTTGGCGGAGGCTTGAAGAAGGACGGCTGTCGAGAAGCAGACAGTGAATGTAACAAGGCTAACGGAGACCTCCTCTGATTCGGACACGACCTGAATAGTGTGGTCGATGACGATTTCTTTGAAAAACGAGGCTGTCAGATAGCCTTGCATAACAACGCGCGCGGCGTGGGTCATGGTAGTAGAAGAGATCATAATGGCGAGTAAATGGAGGGGTCGTGAAGATATGCTGATGACGGTAATGGCGGGGCTGACTGAGGGATATTGCAGCAACAAACGCGCAATACTTATACTCCCAGTTTGAACCTTATTTGTACGCCGATAGACTTTATCAACAAAGCCGATCGCGACGCGTTAGTCACGTGTTCAGAAATCAACCATATATAAGTTCGGGACTGCGATGAACATCCTAAGTATTATCCCCCCGCTAACATGATAGGAATAGACTACGTACCAAAGACAAGGTGGGCTTGATTTAGATTAGGCTTGGTACTTCGTCAAGAGGAAGCTGGATCGATACATGATGACTGAGAATGGTCGTGATCAACGTACCGCCGTTCCACATACCATAGCTATAAGTCCTACAAGCCTGAGCGGAGTACATGCTTGAGTCAGAGTGGAATCTCAAAGGGGCTCGAGTGGAGCGCACACATGGAGTCAACGCGAATTGGTTCCACAGGATCAAACGCCTGGTCCTTACATATGGTCGATGTATTGTATAGTTCCTACCGCTACCATATCATGGACTTATCAATTCACTAATGTCTACAATGGTGGAGAGTGTAAATTAGTAGCCAGTACACACAAGAAGTGTTCACACACACCAGTCTGTTCGGCGGTGGCATATGTGAAGTCATCTTGCTCCAAAATCACTCATTACCAGTGATCCATTTGTCCATGTCACTCCAGAGATTTTGTCGCATCTTTGTCCAGGTAGCCCGTCTCGACTTGATACAATACGAGCACCATCCTTCCTCCTCCCACGGAATATCAATCAATGCCTGCGCACCGCACACTGGATCGAATAGGAATTTTGTGTACAGCCCTGAATCATGGACACGTTCATCCCAGGTGGCTTGTTGGATGGTTTGGGCTGGACATTTCTCTGATGCAGATGGAGAAAATGGATACGCGTGAGAGGTGATAAATAAACAGGGAGCAATACAGCAGTACCTCGTGGTAACTTCTTGCTTTTGGCCAGGGAAGGGGGCGGGTCAATGCAAGGAAACGTGACAATTCGCACAGCGACCTTTGACCAAGTGGTGACGAAGAGCTCTTTCATGAGCTCCACGCACCTTTGGTCTGTACGACCAAGTTGCTCGAGCCCCGGCTGCCCAAGAACATCATTGTCATGTAGGCCAACCTGCTGGGTCTTGGCGAGTTCGTACAAAGCACGTTTCACACCACTATTCACACCGCATGAACGTGCAAGAAGAATGACATCCGCAGCATTTTCCTTCTGCTCGGGGGTCAAATCCGCGAGGGACGGCGACCATGTCATTTCGAGAGCTCGAACTGCCCAGGCACGATACGTCTCGAAGCGCAATGCAGTCGCCGCGCGGAGAATGGGGGCGATAACTGAGAATGGGGGAAGAGGTTGGAAGCAATATTCGCTAAAGATAGTCAGATCGATTCATGCAAGGGCAATAATAATAAGGATTACGTTGTGTTATCATCAAACTTCAAGAGAGCCACGAAGTCGTCCACCGTGATGTTGCTGAGGTGGTATACCGTCATTTTGCCATCAATTTCCACCCGCACATTATCGTTCGGAAGTTTACCATTGTCTTTACGTTCAAGAAGCTGGGCGAAGAATGATGACTTGGTGACCAGTCTCGAGCGATGAAGCTTGAACCGCACTCCATCAACCTCGATGACAGTATTGGCATCCGAGATATAAAAAACGTTGTGTTTTCGGGCAGTGACACGATCAGATTTAGCCCGCTTGAGAGGACGTCCTTTGCCAGGATCGTTGCTAGTCGTTCCGGGGGCTTTCCTCTTTCCCTTGCCATGGGTCTTCGCATCATCTTTGTTGACGCATGCAGGCGTCGTGGAGTCATTCGAGACCTTCTGAAGAGCGGTAAGCTCCTGCTCGATTTCATTAATGTTGATCTGCGAGCTCGAAGGACCGCGCACTGATAGGCATATGCGCTGTTCCGGTTGAATAGGAAATTCAGCTGCTTCGAATCTAACTGCACTTGCACCCGGGGCTACACGAGACTGTGGCGATTCAGGTAACAGAAGTTCAGGTGAGCTAGAACGTTCGATGCTTGGAACAACTGTGGGCAATGAATTGAAAGATGACATTAGAACGGACTGTGACCCCCCACGAATTTCCGAAGATTGCATACCATCATTGAGAGATTGTGAGCCAATGTGCCCTGTGGAGGGTCCGGGAGAGCTGGAACGAGGAGTCGGTGCATCGAATTCATCCGGATGCACTGGAGAAAGGACCCGGGCCTTCATGCGTCTGCGGAGCCAGCGCCTCCTTGAACTTGAGAGCCCAGGTGGAGATTCGTCTGTAATCTCGGGTTGGGATGGAACACTGCCATGGCTTTTGTTGGTGGGGACTGTGTTGATGTAATACTTCAGATAGTTAGCACTTGGCAAGCAAAATGAAGCCTGACCGAGAGGTGTTCCTTCTGCCTTGAGCGACGGAACCTCAGGACTCCCTAAATCGTCCGACAAACCGGATTCCGAGGAGGAGGAAAGGATCAAATTAAGGAATGCAGACTCGTACATTGTAGCTGAGTTCTGCAGTCGGTAGGGTGACCGTGGTGGTGCCGCCAGAGCGTGTTACGTCACGTGCTAATTATTTGCACGTATTACAATCATCAATGCATACACTTGTCTTCTCGCAATGGTGTAAAATCATCTTGCTCCAGAATCACTCATTGCCAGGGACCCACTTGTTTATGTCACTCCAGAGGTTTTGTCGTACATTTCTCCAGGTAGCTCGTCTCGACTGGATACAATCCGAGCACCAACCTTCCTCCTCCCACGGAATGTTGATCAATGCCTGAGCACCACACACTGGATCGAACAGGAACTTTGTGTACAGCCCAGAATCATGGACACGTTCGTTCCAGGTAGTTTCTGGGGTGCCAGTCTTGAGTGTACATGTCTCTGATGCAGATGAAAACAAGTGATACGTGTCAGAAGCATCAAATAACCAGAAAGCAATACATCAGTACCTCGCGGTGGCTTCTTTTTTCTGGGCCAGGGGGAAGATGTATTAAATTTTCGCGCATGATCCTCCTGGCAGGAAGATGTGCCAATTCGCACAGCGACCTCTGACCAGGTGGTGACTAAAAGCTCTCTCATGAGCTCCACGCACCTTCGGTCTGCGGGACCGATGTGCTCGAGCCCCGGCTGCTCAAGAACATCATTACCATGCAGACCGATCAGCCGGGTCCTGGCAAGTTCGTACAAAGCACGCTTCACACCACTATTGACATCACATGAACGTGCGAGGAAAATGACATCCGCCGCATTTTCCTTCTGCTCGGGGACCAAATCCACGAGGGATGGTGACCATGTCATTTCAAGAGCTCGAGCTGCCCAGACACGATATGTTTCGAAGCGCAAGGCAGTCGCCGCGCGGAGAATGGGGGCAAGAACTGAGAATGGGGGAGTTTGGAAGTAGTATTCACTGAAGATAGTCAGACTGATCCATGCAAAGACAATGATAGGTATTACGTCGGGTTTTCATCAAACTTCAACAGAGCCACGAAGTCGTCCGCTGTGGTGTTACCGAGGTGGTATACCATCACCTTGCCGTCATTTTCCACCCACACATCGTCGTTCGGAAGTTGAACTTTGTCATGATGTTCAAGAAGCTGGGCGAAGAATGACGACTTGGTAACCAGCCTCGAGCGATGAAGCTTGAACAGCACCCCATCAACCTCAATGACAGTGTTGGCGTCCAAGATGTAAAAGTCTTCGTGTTTAAAGGCAGTAGCGCCATCAGATCTAGCCTGCTTGAGGGGACGTCCTTCGCCAGGATCGTTGCCAATCATTTTGGAGGCTTGCCTCTTTCCCTTGGCCTTGTCACAGCTCGTCGCATCGTCCTTGTTCACACATGCAGGAGTTGCAGAGTCATTCGAGACCTTTTGTAAAAATGTCGCTTCCTGCTCCATGTCACCGATTTTCATTTGTGAATTTGACGGTGGCTGGGAGCTTGAAGGACCGTGCATGGTTAGGCCTGTCTCCTGTTCCAATCGAATAGGAGATTCAGCTGCCTTGGCTTTCACTGTGCTCGCTTGCGGGGCTACACAAGACCACGTTGATTCAGGTAGCTCGACACTATCAAGTGCGGTAAATTTGTCGCCGAAAGTGCCAGTCTTTGGGAAGAGCGTTGCAAAACCTCTAGGAATTTCTGGAGACTTAGGGGTTTCAAAGTCGAACACGACATCACGTTCAGATTTAGAGAAGAAAGCCATATTACCGTGACCAACTGGTTATACCTGTGTGAGAGGTTTTGTAATAATAGTGAACAAGTGCAACTTACACTTGTAGCTGAGTTCTGCAGTCAGTATAGGTGACCGTGGTTGTGCTCCAAGAAGAGTGAATATATTACGTCACCATTATACGGTGCTAATTATTTGGACATGGTACAGCCTTCACATCAAACGTTGATGGACTGCATCAATCAAAGAGCGCAAAAATAAAACAACTTTCCCATCCTTGATGAACGTTGCCTGAGGTGTGTAGTGCCTATCTCCATCCATGTCTCTCTACACTTCCTTCGCAGTTGCAGGTGCAGGCCCCACAATCGGTGGCCGCATCGTCAAGGTAGGATTCAATAAATATCGATTCGTACTTCCCCAGTTTATCTGGCTGTTTGATAGGCTTTGCTCGAGCGAGGCGCGTCAGTAGTCGCTCTCGCTCGACCGTCGAGTACATCGACATCGAGCCCACTCCTAGAGGGCGCTAAGATTGCCACGGCTGACTATGCTGATGTCAAAGCAGTTGCCTCCATTCTCCGCGAGCATAAAGTGGAGGTCCTGATTTCTGCATTGGCATACGGCGCATTGCCTTCCCAGTCTACCATCGCCGATGCTGCCAAGGAGGCTGGCGTTAAACTTTTCGTTCCCTCTGAATTCGGCTTACCCACGGAGGGAGGGAAGGGTGGTCACCTCGTGATCAAATCACAGTTCGCTGGTGAGACTTTTTTGTTTTGTGCCTGGTTTGGTTGCAAGTTGTTGAACGCTCGCGGTATCGTAGACTACCTGAAGTCATTGAGCATTCCTTCATTGCGCTTCTACGTAAATGCCCGTTACCCTGCATATCCTGCAGAGCTATTAACACCTTTTAACATAGACCGGGATGTTCATCGAGTTCATTCCACAGTTTACTGGAGTTGACACAGGAAAGTTCTTGGTTCTGGGCAAGGGCGAAGCATCTTTTTCTACCACTGCCTTGGACGACGTTGCGGGTATTGTGATTGAACTTTTTCAATGGATCATAGTGACATATCACACGATCTAGGTTTTACCGCTCACGTTCTTACCTCCCTCCCGCCGGCTAAACTCCATGATGCGACGTTCCGCATCGAGGGAGAACGCACCTCCTTCAACAAAGTTGGCGCCCTGTATGCATCCAAGAATATTCCAGTAGAGCATGTCACCTCCCTTCCCGAAGGATACGTCAAGCAGACACTTTTACAAGGCTTGTTTGAGAAGGGTCTGGGCAGCTCCGGATGGGACAACTACGCCGACAAGGACTTCCCGGAAAACGCTAATAGCGGTAATGCGGCCTGGCCTGGGCACCAGTGGAAGAGTGTCAAGGAGGTGTTGGAATTGTAGGCTTGAGGGCTGCTGTTGGTTCATCTGCATTTTGAGTCGCTGTATCACGAGTCCTCTCTCTCTCTAGCCTGAGGTGCGCTCAACCGTCACCTTCACTTTACGTTCAACCGTTCGAGGTGCATCATAATTCTCTACACAATAATTGTTTAGTGCGCATGACATCCGAGACGGTATGAGCACGCCCAAAGACTCTGCACAACTAGGTAGCCACCAGCCCCCCGCTCTGCTGTCCACATTGGTTACTCAGGTAAGATGGTATTTGCAGCTGCTGGATTTGGCTCGGTAGACTTGCAAACTGCATCAGCATCCCTGCAGCCATGTGCCAGCCAATATGACAGTGGAACGCCCAGAGCCCTGGATTGTCGGTGATGAAGCGGATGGCGACCCAGCTGTAGCCGGGAAGAGTCAAGGTGTCGCGTCTCGGGGGGTTGATCGTATTGAACTGCGACACCCCGGGCACGTAACTGCCACTACCTTCACCAATAATCCAAAATACGTGTCCATGAAGATGGAATCTACATAGGGCGTTCAAAAGATATTAGGACTGGTAATCAAACGGTGGCACGTACGGGTGGCTAGAATCATCGTAGTTATTCAGGATTAAGTCAACGACAGTGATATTATCGTTGACGATGACAAATTGGTTTGAGTCGAAGGCGGTCTGAATCCCGGCCTTTGACATCTGTAGCAGAGTAGGATTTGTGCTATCCCCCAGCCAACTCGTATCGTTCATGAATGCCAACGTTTGCGTTCCGCCAGATTGAATTGTTTGCTGAAAAGACGCGAAGACTACAACGGTCTCCGTGCTGTTGGGTGGGTTCATGGCAATTTGGGGTACGAGCATCGTGCTGTTGAGGTCGAGACAAAGAGCGGGGAATGCGTCTGACCAGTCTTGGGTGTTCGGTGTCGTTGGCGAGGCACCATATGTCATCGTAGCCATCACCATCGTGTTGAGGTTGGGATTACTGAGTTTGTAGCAAGTGCTCTGCATCTCGGCGCGTACGTTGTATGATCCTGCTGTCTGATTTGTGGTCAAGATAACCGAGTAGCGTTGTGCGACGTGTATGGGGACACGGTGCACATTCACAGGTGCAAGGGAGGTCCCATCTGCTTCAACCACGCTGAGCACGTGCGAGTCTACGCTAAACATGAACTCCGTCATCGTGCCCATGTTGATGAGACGAAGTCGGTAGCGCAAATTTGGTTGAAGATCCAACGAGGAATTGGTCATCTTCCCGTTGATGAGGCCGCTGTCCGGAGGAGGCTCAGCTCCAGGATTAGCCCCGCCGTAGTTTGAACCATCAATACCAGCAGCGCTCAAGTACTGAGTGAGCAATCCGGAAGACATCACATGATACCAATCTAAAGAAGAGAGTTAACCCCTGAGAACACAGACAAAAATAGAACATTGATACGAACCCGAAAGTATGACGAGAACCTCGCGGTCATACTGGCCGTAAATAGGCTCACTGGGAGAGTGAATTACAAGCGGTCCGTAAATACCATCTGTGTACCTTGTTTTGTTCGCATTAGTCTCAAGAAGAAAGTACCATGTGCTGCAGACGTTTACTGTGTAGATGCATGAGCATGATACCAGAACGTCCCATACTGGTTCGGATTAATGGTAAAACGATAGGCTGAATTCATTAGACACATAGATCATGGTCGCAAGAAACAAACTTACTGAAATTCATGCCCGGAGGGATAGGGCACTGTGTGATACCGTTGGTGCCGTCCATGTAGTTGGTCCCGTTTTGAAGTTGACCATGCCAGTGAATAGTGGTGCCGTTGGGCAATTGATTGAAAACGTTAACCACAAGCTCATCACCGCTATTCACCTCAACAAGAGGACCAGGGAATTGGTCTAGAATTCAGAAGTCAGTGGGTCCAACATCATGAGCATGGGGCAACGTTGCGTACTGTTCACAACCAACATAGATCTCTGGATACCATCAGGTGAACCGACTGCTTCAGATATGACGAATTCGTAGTATCTGGTTGTCGGTGTACTCGTAACAACAAAATTCGGATCGAGGAGAAACGAAGAGTTTGTCGTGACATAGCTCGAGCTTGACGTCTTTTTCAACCCCAATCCGAGCCCCAAACCAAGAGCCAAGGCAAGCACGACCAAAACGGCACAAGCTATAACTGGGATTATGAACAACTCGACGCAGAAGACCTTTCGACGACCTATTTGAAACTCTAGTTGGAATCAAATTATAACGCAAGTCTACGAACCTCGTCTGGTCCGGGTCTTGTTTAACGACAGACCTTCGTGCTTGGCTCTTGTTTCGATATCATGATCGTTCGAGCTACCCTCTTTCGATGGTGACATCAGGGTAGATATCGCCGTGAAAAAAGAGGTTGGCCCCTGGTATACAGTGAGGCGCTAATATGTGCCATGGATGCACGTTCGTAGAATCATTGACACGGGGCAGGGCACGAATCAGTGGTAAATCCATCTTTACGACGGGATTGAGGATGATCAAATTTAGACCGTTTCGCACACAATACGAGTCCAGCGACTTCCAAGTCTTGCCAAGTGGGAAAGACTTGGTCCGGACTCCGACGTCGACGAGCTTCAAGTTCTTGAGTTTTCGGCAACCTGTCGAATGCCGATGAACAACTTATGGCTGACAAGTCAAGAAAAGTGCTGTGGGCCAAGGCACGGGTGGCACGGAACAAGCATGCGATCATAGCATAAGACTGGTATTGCACAGAATGCAGGTAAATGGCAGATATAATCAAAATCCCATGCAAAACCCCGTCATCGGTCACTCCGAAAGTAGGCCCACAGTTCAACCAGATCGTTCTGCATCTCTCAGTACTAGGGGTTTCACAACGCAGTTCCAGTTCTCTGACCAAGAACCCCACTCCCAGCCAGCACCTTCTTGGTGTTCGTGATTATGGACACGATGCTCGACATTGAGTGGTGCATGGGATGCACGTTGCAAAGATGTCCGTAAAGTATCAAGTGCAGGTGACGAAGGAAAAGAAGTGAGCAGTGTCTATGGTACGTAGTCAGTCTCCATTGATGTCTTGGGGAGGATGGATCCTACCTCCAGATGCTCTGCAAGCTGAGACGCATTTTTGAAAACCAGGCCATTAACACCGTCTTTGACCAGTTCTGGAAGGCTATGATTGCGGCTATCAATATGACAAAGGTTTATGCACGCAGGTTCTCACCATGCAAAATCGAGGGCACAAACGGGGAGTCCGCATCCAAACATATCAACGATTTTCATTGGTAAGTCGAGCGCGGATGAACTTGAGTGTAAGGAGACACCCAAGTCAGCAGAGCCTAGATAATATTAGTTAACGAACTTGCGACCGTGTACAAACAGCTTACCCAGCAACAGGGGATAGTCTTCGGCTTCAAGCCATAAACTCGTGCACCTGACATAGTGCCAGTTTTTTTGCAAGAGCTCCACTTCTGCCATGTATCGTTCTTTGAGCGGCCCTTTGCCCGTGATGACCATCCATATGCGAGGCAAGGCTTGTCGGTCCTTTGGATCGCGTTTTGATAGTAAATTTTCATTATCTGTGACATTCACTTTGCAAGCACGAGCCTCATAGATTTTCAATGCCTCCAAGAGAATGCCAAAGTCTTCATCTGGTGTCCATGACGTACTACTCACTAACAGTGCTGGGCGATCTTTTCGAAGACTGGGCATACTCAGGGAGTTAAGAGCAGATGCGCGAGAAGCCACATACAGTGGAAGTCCGTGTACTTCAGTGAATTGGGTTGAGTAAGGCGGTGAAGCACTGGGGAGAAATGCTGCAAGTGATGGCGATATCGAGCGTCCTAACCGCAGGAAGAGCTACATCAAAGGTGTTAGATACTATTAGATACAGAAAAGTCATTGTCGTACCTCATGGACTTCTGGAGGTGGACACTTGTGAAAGTGGCTAGGTGGACGATCATGCAAGACTGCCTTGTGTCCTCTGAAACCAGTAATCAATAGTAAGTCAATGATGTAGACGATCAGACAAACATTAAGCCCCATTCCTGCACCAGATGGTCTCGCATAGCGTTTGTGACGAAAAGGTGAGCGTACGCAGAACTGCCGAATATCATCTCAAATCTAAAAGAGGATGGTAAAGAACGCTTGGCACAAATAACGATGAGCATACCGTTTCGCAATTTTGACGAGCGGATGCGTCTGTCCCAATTTCAATGCGAGTATGCTATAGCCGAGGTTATGCCAATCGATGATTACTTTACTTCCCATTATCCCTCCGACAAACCACACTAGGGCAAGAGTGGGAATACTTGGGGGATTCTGCAAAAAAACATTCGAGTGCTGAACGTTGCAGCTATGTTATATCCATACCTGCACCATGATAAACTCGGGCGGACGGGGTATGCCAAAGACTAGCGTGTATAGAATGGTGGCTATCTGGTACAAAATTTTGATCGGAGCCGCTAGAACGAAGGGGATCCGTGCAACAAACGGTGGCGGTTCTGAGAGGTAGGACAACCTGATATGTGGGAGGGAGGTTAGCGAAGGTATCGGCTTGGCGCCTGACGTGTCGAACGTCAGTCTGAACAGATTCAATACCAGCAGTTCTCACCTTTGTATCCAATGAGATAGGTGCTAAACTCCGTTTTAGCAAAGCTCTCTGCATGATACATCATTCGCGGGCTGCGTCCCACATCGCCTAACACGAGAATGGCGACCGAGCGCAATTTCGGGGTTTGTCGCACCTTCTTGAAGACATTGACGACAAGAAATACTAGGAGCACAAAGAAAGATAACGCTGCGAATTTAAAGAAGTAGTGAAATTCACGATTCTGGTCTGCTATCATTGCATTTGGCAAAAGGACATGGATGGCACAGCCACCAACAGCTTCATTCACGACCCCAGAGTACACGGATAAGTAGCATTTGTTGCTTACATAATACAAGATGGGGAGACATGCTTGCATCCATAAACCCTGTCTATGATACAGACAATAAGATACATTTTATAAGATATCCGTATGAGTGCAATGAGATGATGAATAGGAAGCATAGCAAGTGTGAATGTGAATGTGATTACGTGAATGGGTGAGGATCAGTGATAGAGTCAGAGGCTGTATGGTGAAAGGGGGCGGGGGAGGTCAGCTAGGTATGGGAGCGGATGGGCAGACGAGTAGGCGTGGGAGATTGTGAAGAGTGGTGGCGAAATGCGATGGGAGATGCGGCGAGAGACAGGGAGAAGCGGTGGGAGCTAGTGTGGTTGAAGGCGGCGGGTGGGTGCAACATGTAACGGATGGGGTATGGGTATATTTGCACTGCGCTTCCGACTGAAATCATAGGCTCTCTTCCCTTCAATGTGCACGTTGCTGAGCACACGGGCGCTAGAAACACTCAAACAACATTGAAGAAGGGGGTCGATGTCGATAAGCAGCACATAAGCGGCAGCTTCAGGCTCGCGACGGAGACGACTATGGAGCTCGGAGATGTGCCTATATGGGCATGTCAGGCGCCGACTCGCGAAAATCGCAAACAAACACACCTGCGCAAGTCTCTGTCCCTCGGATAAAACAACGAGGCAAGACTGCAGACCCTCAAAATACCACTGCCTTTCGAGCCAGGCGAGGAGGTGATGATTCCAAAAGCGTTTAAATGTGTGGTTGAGGCTGTCATCCCATGGGCTTGGAGCATGCGAGAGATGGAAGGCCCAGTTTTGACATGAATAGTTGAGAGCGCCAGATGTTGGTTGACTCCGTTCCCGTGCGTCTTGTGCGAATGCCATGAAGGCTTTCATAGCACGTAAGATCTCCGTGTCTGGCGGAAGACGACCTTGTGGTAATGCAGAGGCGGAAACAGAAGTGGAAGCGGAGGCGGAGTGATCTTGGGTCCTTGATGCCAGAAACGCCGGAAACATCAAGAAATCGGGCAAGCTCCTGAACAGCTGGATTGCTTGAAAAGCAGGCAGCGTGTGAAATTCTGGAATGATTGTGTACTCTCTGATGGCTCTGAATGTGCTCGAGAATTCTTCCATTGTTGCCCACACAGACGCTTCGGGAGTCGACTGCCAGTCTCGACCATCCTGGGTCTGCAGCCAGGCACGCCCGTCTTCGCTCTGTAGCCATTCTCGCCCACTCTGGGACTGAAGCCAGTTTGGCGCGCGCTGCCACCGGACATCGCTGAGCTGGTTCAACCTCGAGGCTTCCTCGATCAGAAACAACCTCGCGGCTTCTGCCATGTGGTCCTGCAGCCATGTTCGCCTAGCTTGATTTTGCAGTTGTGTTGGCCTAGCTTGCGTCTGCAGCCACATTTTCCCGGGTTCAGACCGCAGCCACGTTCGCCCAAGGTGGGACTGTAGCCACTCCTGACCACTCGACGTATGTAGCCATTCTCGCCCACCCTGGGATTGCAACCACTCTTTTCCGCCGTATGACTGTAACCATATTTGCCCGTCCTCGGACTTTATCCACTCTCGTCCCCCCGGGGTATGCAACCACACTTGCCCAGGCCGGGCCTGTAGCCACTCTTGCCCGGGGTGGGTCTTCAGCCACTCTCGCCCACCCTGTAGGAGCAGCCACACTCGCCCTCCCTGGGTCTGCAACCAGTCTTCTCCACCCCGGGTCTGCAACCAGTCTCCTCCACCCTGGGTCTGCAGCCAGTCTCGTCCGCCCTGGGCCTGTAGCCAGTCTTGCCCATCCAGGGTCTGCAGCCAGTCTAACCCGTTTTGTGTCAGAAGCCAGTATCGCCCGCCCTGGTTGCGGAGCCAGTGTCTTCCGCTCTGGGTCGGGAGCCACTCTAACCCGTCTTGGGTCTGCAGCCATCCCGACCCGTCCTGAGCCTGTAGCCAGGCAGACCCGGACTGGGTCTGCAGCCAATCTTTTCCGTGCTGGGTTTGCAGCCAGGCACGTCCGTCCAGGGTTTCGAGCCAGAACTGTGAATCCGAACTGCGATCTCCCCGGAGCCATAGCAAGCTTTGAAGAACTTGCATTGGCTCCGGTGGCTGGACAACAAAGGCTAACGATTGTTTTAAGCTCTGGGGGTCATGGGGTTGCATAGCTTGACTTTGCTGGCTCAATGCTGAGAGGGCATTAAGGAGGGTCGTGCTTTCTGGAATGTCTTGCATCATCAAGCGCAAAGATGACTGTGCGAGTAGGGCGTGGGGTGGAATGATATCTTGTACTTCAGGAAGGCTGCAGTTTGAGGGGTCCGAAGCGTAGTCACGAACGGACGAATGACAAATATTCACAGGAAGGTGGTTGTCGATAGGAATTTCCATGATTGGCCGTAACTGCACTAGTACTTCCTCAACATCACTGCCCTGACCAGGCCCGAGAAGTTTCGAGAGTTGTGGGATGGATAGAGGGTCTTTAAGGGTAGCAACAATGGACAATTGCTGATATGCCCGCTTGGGGTTGGCACATGTGGAAAGGATAAGGTCGTATAACTCGTACACCTCCGTTCCTGGTAGAAAGTCGCATTTTAACTCGAGGATGAGCTGAAAGCGATCACGGGGGTCTTTGTATCCATCGCAGACGATAAACTTGATCATCGTAGATGCCACGATGAAACGTCTGCCGGTTCGGCTAACAAGCCGCGCAAGTTGATCCCTTGTTGGTGGAGGGAAATCTAGATAGCGAAGTTGCAACTGTCTGAAGGAATAATCCAAGAAAGTATAGATGTCTTGGTCGACATCTGTTCCGTCTAACGAGATGATGGTGGCCCCCGGTATCTCGTCCGCAAGCCGCACCTCTAATTTCTGGATGGCTTCACGGATATGTGCTTCCAAGCGACTTGTGAGTAGAATGTGGATTACGGGGAGATTAGGTTCACGAAGGGCTTGACCAAGCAGGGAGATGAGATCAGCAAGCTCGGTTTCGGACGTGCATTCATCAATGGCGTCAATAACAAATACCAAGGACTCCTTTAGTCTGAAACGAAGTCTCCGGAGAGGTTGCAGAAACAGCGCATTCATCTGTTCGCGAAGTGACTTGTCGGGGCCTAGAAGAGCGGGATCCTTGTGTATAGATCTGTTCACGTCCTCCCGGACGCTTGGAAAATTGATAGCAAGCTGATAGGCAAGCGTCGCAAAAAAATAACCAGTCGTGCACCGTGTGGTGTGCTTGCGCGAGAAAAAAAAACGATCCAGCGAGCCGCCTCTCGTTAGTTGCGTGGTCTGAAATGAAACTGAGAGCTCTCATCCTCTCAGCCACGGTGAACGCGACGGCAGACTTTCCAATGCCTGCCATGCCATGCAACCAAATAAGTCGGTTCTTCTCCCGGTTGTCTAATAATCGGTGGATGTTGTTGAGAAGGTTTACCCTGGTCCCTTCCAAACATTTCGGATGTGGCTGGCGTTCGGGGGAGTCATATTCAGCACCTTTGACAGCGACCTGGGACAGCTTCTCCAACGTTTCTTCAGATGGAACTATTAATGATGTTAGAGAGCAGGAGATGGGCCCCGGATGGGGATAAGAAATAAAATGCTGACTCATCAATGTACGAAAGTGACCGAAGTAAAAAATGCACGTGACTAGGCTGGAAATGTTGCCACTGGCAGTGGCAGACGCAAAATTAATGTGCGTAGCGCCCGTCTTCAAACGTCTCGAAAGGTGCAGCTGCACGGATCCTGATGAATAACAAGGATAAGAACGAAAAAATGAGGTTGAGTATGTGTATGAATGTTTCAAACGCCTCTCCCGTGAGGATGACGGGGTAAGGTAGCGGCGAACGCGGTCGTAGTGGTCCTAGGTCACCTACCGGGCAGCTATGGGCAGGAGGTTCAACAATCAAAACAAAAAGGAGAAAACAAAATTTGATGGAAGGTTAGAAAGGCCTAGGACAAGTGGGGTATACTCGGATAGCGTATACGGGGCTGGAGTAAAAAAGGGACTGTAGAGTTGATCTATAAGACTGAAGGGACGTATAGTCAAGGATTGAAGGGACGTATAGTCAAGGACTGAAAGGAGGATAGGAGTTATTTTTATTCCATCTACATCTGGAGCTGAGTAATCTTTGGAATGTACGGCAAGTATGTATCCCGGACGGGGCATACTGTATTACTGGTATTACTCTATGTACCCGGGTACTTGTCAGTGAACTCCCGCGCACGAGCCACTGGCATAATCAAAACAGACGCCGACTCGACAGTACTAGTGCACCTAACGGCCCGGTCACAATTAACCGCTGTTGCAAGCTCGACACGACTACTATGTACATACTAATTTTGTGTGTAACCTACAGGTCTACCTATAGGCAGACTTCGATGTACTACCTCATACTACTGTCAATATTTGATCAAATCATCACTCCATATGTAGACAAATCATCACAAATTCCACATCTACCATATGTAAGGACCAGGCGTTTGATCCCGCGGAACCAATTCGCGTCACCTCCATGTGCACGCTCCACTCGAGATTTTCCACTCTGACTCACGCGTGTACCCCAGTCAGGCTTGGCGCTCCAATTGTGCCCCTTTCATGCCCTGGTGCGTTGTGATCCCTCCCAGTTCAACTTCCTTCGTCATGGCGTCCTGCTGCTCCTTCCACGGCATTGTTGGCATTGTGCCTCTATAGAGATAGAGGACGGTTGCAGCAATCTTACTGTCTCCGTTCTCACTTTCGGTGGTGGAACTGCGCCGCCCGATCATGTCAATATTAATGCTCGCATGATTACCGCAATTGCAGGTGATGAGACCGTCGTCCGCAGGCGAGCGGATCACTTGTAGAACATATATAAAATTTCAAACCTGTTTCTTATTCCATTCGCGTGCAGAGGGCATTGCCATTATGCGTGGACACGGAACACAAACAGACGAACTAAGGGTGTACAGGAGAGCAAAACAGTGGTCCGTTGAGCGTGTGGTGAATATTGGTAGCAGTTATGGAGAAAATGCTGCATTCCCGCCAGTGCAATCGAAACGGGGACGATGAAACAATACATGTTTGTGCCCGTCCGTGTCCTGGGAGCGTTAAATATGCTTGAATGAGAGAAAAATACATATACACGACTTGAAAAACGTGGCAGAAAGAGACTCAATATCAACATAAAACCGACAGCTTCAGACTCGTAACTGGGATCACCTGGGAACCTTGAGATGTTCCTACAGGCGCAAGTCAGGTGCTGAGTCGCAAATACTGTTAGAAACACACCTTTGCAATTTTCTGTCCGTCGGATAAAACAACGAGGCAAGGTTGCAGCCCCTTCAAACACCACTGCGCTTCCAGCCAGGAGAGGAGATGATTATTCCAGAAAGCATTGAATATATAGTGGAGCCTGTCGTCCCATGGATTCGGAGCTCGCGAGAGATGGAAGGCCCAATTCTGACATGCATACTTCAAAGCCTCTGAAGCTGACCGAGTTCTTTCCCGTGCTTCGCTTCCAACCACGGCAAACGCCGCCATAGCATGAACGATTTTCATGTTTGGTAGAGAACGATCTTGAGGAAACGCAGAGGCGGAATGTTCGAGGTGCCTTAACGCCAGAAATGCTGGAAACATCAAGAAATCGGGCAAGCTCTTGAACTGCTCGATCACTTGAAAAGCCGGCGGTGGCAATTCTGGGATGGTTGTATACTCACGGATGGCTTCCACCGTACTGAAGAATTCTTCCATTGCCACCCAGACAGACGCCGAAGGAGTTGACTGCTGTCCTTGATCATGACACGTCTGCAGCCAGGATTTCCCATCCTCGGTCTGCAGCCATTCTTGCCCACCTTCAGACTCTAGCCACTCGTGTTCCCCTCGCCACTGAACATCTTTGAATTGGCTCAACCAGCGAGCTTCCGCATACTGAGTCTGAAGCCACGCTCGCCTGGCCTGAATGTGCAGCTGCGTTGGCCTTACCTCGGACTGCAGCCACGTTCGCCCAGGCTGAGACTGAAGCCACTCTCGCCCGCTCCAGCTCTGCATCCACTCTTGCCCGCTACCGGTCTGCAGCCACTCTCTCCCGCTCTGAGTCTGAAGCCACTCTTGTCCGCTCCGGACCTGCAGCCACTTTTGGCCATCCTGGGTCTGCATCCATTCTCGCCCCCCCTGAGTTTGCATCCACGCTCGCCCAGGCGGGGCCTGCAACCAATCTCTCCCGCGGGGGATCTGCAGCCAGTCTCTCCCACTCTCGGTCTGCAGCCATACTCGCCCACCCTGAGTCTGCAACCAATCTCGTCCGCCCTGTACCTGCAGCCAGTCTCGCCCGTCCTGTGTCTGCAGCCAGTTTCGTCCGTCCTGGGACTGCAGCCAGTCTCGTCCGCCCTGGGTCAGCAACCAGTCTCGTCCGTCCTGAGTCGGAAGCCAGTCTTGCCAGCCTTGGATCTGCAACCAATGTCTCCCACCCTGGGTCTGCAACCAGTCTAACCCGTCCTGAGTTGGAAGCCACCCCGACCCGTCCTGAGTCTGCAGCCAGGCATGCCCGCCCTGGGTCTGCAGCCAATCTTTTCCGTGCTGGGTTTGCAGCCAGGCACGTCCGTCCAGGGTTTCGAGCCAGAATTGTGAATCCGATCCGCGATCTCCACGTAGCCATAACAAGCTTTGAAGAACTCGCATTGGCTCCAACGGCTGGACGGCAAAGGCTAACGACTGTTTTAAGCTCTGGGGGTCATGGGATTGCATAGCTTGACTTTGCTGGTTCAATGCTGAGAGAGCATCAAGGAGGGCCGTGCTTTCTGGAATGTCTTGCATCATCAAGCGCAAAGATGACTGTGCGAGTAGGGAATGGGGCGGTGTAATGTATTGTACTTGAGGAAGGCTGCAGTTTGAAGGGTCCGAAACATAGTCACGAACAGACGAGTGATAGATATTCAAGGGGAGACTGCTGTCAGTAGGAATGTCCATGACGGATCGTAGCTGTACCAATGTCGTCTCGACATCCCTTCCCTGGCCAGGCCCAAGAAGTTTTGAGATCTGTGACATAGGGAGAGGGTCCGCAAGGGCAGCAACAATGGACAAGTGCATGTATGCCAGAGCGGGGTCAGCACACGTGGCAAGGATACGGTCGTACAATTTGTACACTTCCGTTCCCGGTAGAAGTTCACTTGTTAGCTCGAGCATGAGCTGAAGCCGATCGCGGGGATCATGATATTGATCATCGATGAACTTCATCATCGTAGACGCCACGATGAAACGCCTGCCCGCTCGGCTCGCCAGCTGCGCAAGTTGATCCATCGGTGGCTGCGAGAAACCGGGATGGCGATTTTCAAGCTCTGTGAAGGAGTGCTGCAAGAATATGCAAATGTCACTGTCAACCTTTGTGCCGTCTAACGAGATGGTGGCAGCAACACCAGCCCTAGAAACGTCCATTGGTATCTCGTCCACCAGCTGCACCTCTAATTTCTGAATTGCTTCACGAATATGCGCTTCTAAGCGACTCGTAAGAAAAATGTGGATCACGGGGAGACGAGGTTCACGAAGAGCTTGGCCAAGCAGGGCGATGAGATCAGCCAGCTCGGTTTCGGATGTGCACTCATCAATGGCGTCAATAACAAACACCAAAGACTCGCTCAGTCTGGATCGAAGTGTCCAGAGAGGTTGGAGAAACAGCGCGTTCATCTGTTCGCGAAGTGACTTGTCGGGGCCTAGAAGAGCGGGATCCTTGTGTATAGCTCTGTTCATGTCCTCACGGACGCTTGGAAATTTGCTAGCAAGCTGATAGGCAAGCGTCGCAAAGAAATAACCAGTCGTGCGTCGTTTGGTGTGCTTGCGGGAGAAAAAGAACGTTCCAGCGAGCCGCCTTTCGTTAGTCCCATGGTCTGGAATGACACTGAGACCTCTCATCCTCTCAGCTACAGTGAACGCAACGGCAGACTTTCCAACGCCTGCTGTGCCATGCAGCCAAATGAGTCGATTCTTCTCTCGATCGTCTAAAAATCCGTGAATGTGGTTAAGGAGGCCCACCCTGGTCCCTTCCAAACATTTCGGATGAGGCTGGCGTTCGGGGGAGTCATATTCAGCACACTTGACGGCAACCTGGGACAGCTTCTCCCAAGTTCCTTCAGCCGGTAGAGGGACTGTTAATAAGGTCAGAGGGAGAGGGGGGATAAGATAAGATATGTAAATACTGACATAAATCCTGAGGCGTTGATAATTGTTTGTAGCGGTGATCCATATCATTTAAAGTACTCATGAGAATATTGGTTGAGTTTCTCTGCTGTAAATTGGATCTTGAGACCGGGGTTGAGCTGTGAACATGCGCCCGGGTCGTGAAGCGTTGATTTCAGACTATGCAATGAGCTAGGCAGCGAAACGGTCAAGGTGTGGAGTGATGGAGATAAAAATGTGTAAAGGTTGCGTGAGACCGAATGGATTATCCGCTAAAATATTGTGGAAAGCCTGCGGGATGGTAGTGGAATGTGTGAAACACTGAACGGGATGGCTAAGCTGATTACTACTTCATTAGCGCTGTGGTCCTGTGTTATTCTCGAACCCATCTTGTGTCTAAAATTGACACGATACTATTTTGGCCGACTCCGAGTCTTATTATGTAACCCCGGCCGGCATTCGGACAGACATGGCATTGGAACGCACTTGGAACAATATTTATATTTATATAAATTACACCCAGAACTCTTTTCTTGCAACACAGTGAACAAATGTAGCAAGAAAGTTCTACTCAGTGTAAAGTGTTTCCTGGAAATTCAATAAGGAATGTTCGACATTGCCATTGCCACCGTCACCGGCCGGACAGGCCGTGTAAGCGAGCGACTCGGAGTACCGACACATATACTTATGACCACCATGTCCCTTAGGCTTGCTTCCAGATCTATCAGAGCCCCGTCTAGCGTGTGCTCTACCTCGAATCGCACTATCGACCATGCTGTTCGGTCCTGGACAAGATCAATTTCTTCCACGCCTGTCCGCGCAGCAGTACATCGCGGGCCTACTCTCGCAACTGCCTCGGGCATTCACGCCCCAAAAGTTGCGCCATCGTTTGGCGTAGCACCCCCACAATGTTTGTCCCACTTGTTTGTTTCTGATTTCTTCCTGTGAATCATTGATGTATGTCCAGGTCGATCCATGTTCATACAGACGGAGACCACGCCCAACGACGATTCTCTTAAATTCATACCTGGCGTAGGTGTCATGGGCGAAGGAACAGCCGAGTTCCTTGACACGCGATCAGCGTTAAAATCACCACTTGCTATCCGTCTTATAGGCATTGAGGGTGTGAAAGCCGTGTTTTATGGACCAGATTTTGTCACAGTGTCAAAGGACAGCGAAAACCCGTGGGCGGTCCTCAAGCCAGAGATCTACTCAATACTTATGGAACATTTTTCTGCTGGTTTGCCACTTTTCCGGTCAGAAGAGGACAGGGAGGCAGCCGGACCTCAGGACACGCAGATTCTTGACACGGACTCTGAGACGGTAGCAATGATTAAAGAGCTACTTGAAACTCGTGTCCGACCAGCGATTATGGAGGATGGTGGTGATATAGAATACCGAGGGTTTAGTGACGAAGGCTTCGTGAAAGTTAAATTGAAGGGAAGTTGCAGAGGGTGCTCGTCTAGCGCCGTAACATTGAAGTCGGGAATTGAGAGGATGTTGATGCACTATATACCGGAAGTGAAGGGTGTAGAGCAGGTATGATCATTTTTATGGTGTTTGCCTCTAGCTGATGGCAAACCAGGTTTTGGATGAAGAGGAGGTTATTGCATTAGATGAGTTTGCCAAGCTCGAGCAACGGCTGGCGAACAATGGAAAGAATAAAGATTCTAAGTGAGTCACTTGTGGTATCAGTGGCGGATTGACGAGTTTACATGCACAGTATGGCTCCGTATATGTCCGTGTGAGAGCCTGCTACCTTACACTACTGAATATGACTCCACACCAGCGAGCATGAGACCAAGTTTAAGCAGGGCACGATCGTCGAATTAAAGTTTATCCTGAAGTTGTTGGTTAGCGGATATCAGTAATACTGGCCAATAAGTGTGCGTACGAAGCTCTTGTTGGTGCGCTGATCAATAATGAGGGCCGTACTCCGTGTCAGGGAGCACGGGAAAATCATGTTGTAGCAGGTTGTGCCAGTCCCCGACTCCAATGCGAGGGAACAGGATTAACCTGCTCTTGTATGAATTGTGGGCAAGGACTCTCCAATAGCGTACATGAAGCCGGTGCCCTGTGTCAAAATCTGGGTGGAATTTTGAGTTCCAGTCGTAATCTAAGGGAGTCAAGGGGCGATCAACCACATCGGGGTACTTCTGGTTGCAGAGAAGGATGCTGAAAGTACTCGTCTCCGAGGGGGCGTTTGAGGTGTGAAGGATCGGTGCACCCAGAGCCACATACTGCAATTATTGGTCTGTTCCGAGTTGGCCAACGGCTACAGTATGTGGACCATCCAACAGAACGATTTCTTTGATCAGCACGGCTCGATCTCATAAAAACAGAATCATAAGCTGCAAGAAAACCATAAACATCAACAGGAAGTGAGCTTTCGTCGTTTCCAGATGTACATGTTGTCGAGCTCAACGTACCTGGCGCTAGAAATCCTGAAAGACGTTGCGAATCATTTCTAGACTCCATTCCGTGCTCGATGCAGGCCGTCTTGGAAATGACGGCATCGATGATCTCGATAAGTGAAAGACGTCCGTGCACGTGAAGGGACGAAACAGACGAGTCAGAATATTGAAATATTGACCTGCGGAGATCACCCTGGTCCCGATATGGAAATCATTTAACGACCCATCTACACAGAATTGATAATCTATACACGCACCATGGCCTCAAGTTCAAGAACATCATTCGTGCTAGCTTCTCGCGCATCCAAACTCGCGCAGATCCAAACGAACATAGTCAGAGATGACCTCGAGGCCGCTTTTCCGTCCCTTTCATTCGGTACGTCATTTATGACGACTGAAGGCGACAAAAACCAATCCCAAGCGTTGTACCTACTCGGAGGGAAGGCGCTATGGACCAAAGAACTCGAGGTTGCATTGAAGGAGAATGTGGTAGATATGCTTGTGCACAGTATGAAGGATGTGCCCACGACCCTTCCGGATGGCTGCGAAATCGGGGCCATTTTGGAGCGAGAGAATCCTGTTGATAGTCTTGTGGTGAAGCAGGGCTTGCCCTACAAGGCTCTGGAAGATTTGCCGGAAGGAAGCGCCGTGGGTACGAGCAGCGTCAGGAGAGTCGCGCAGTTGCGGAGGAATTTCCCCGGCTTGGTATTTCTAGACGTCGTATGTTCTCGCAGCCCATAAGCACATCGCACACGCTAACTTATTCACAGCGAGGAAATTTGTAAGGTCTTGGATTTATTCTCAAGCTAAACTTAATATCAAAACCAGAAACACCCGCCTTGCGAAGCTCGATGCCCCCGATGGTCCTTATACAGCACTTATACTGGCCAAAGCCGGTCTTGTACGGCTAGGCATGGGGGATCGCGTCACGGCAGATCTCACCGCACCGACACTATTTCATGCCGTCTCTCAAGGTGCCTTGGCAGTTGAGATCCGCGCAGACGACCAGGAAGCACGGGAACTGTGCAAAACGCTGACCCACCAGGAAACACAATGGAAATGCCTCGCAGAGAGGGCTTTACTGAGAGAACTGGAAGGTGGATGTAGTGTTCCTGTTGGCGTCTCTACGTCGCTATCGCAGATTGATAAAAGCACTGGGGAATTCACGCGCGCAGTCCTCACGATAACGGGTTGCGTTACATCACTTGATGGTTCCGTCCACGTCCAAGACACCCTTTCGCAGGAAGTTGAGAGCATACAGGGCGCAGAGGAGCTGGGTAGAAAGCTTGCAGCGTTATTGATGTCGAATGGTGCCAAGGCAATATTGGACGACATCACAAAAGATAGACAGAAGAGAGCTAGTGAAGCAGAGTAGGCAGAAATGTTAGGATTGCAAGTTGATTTACATTTCATATACAATATCGTATGTACAACGAACGAAACGCACTTGTCGACAATTCGAATACACGTTTTGCGCCAAAGTGTCTCTTGCAGTTCAAGTACGCAAGATCATGATGAATATGAACCAGCAATCCTGAAGAGCAAGAATAATCATCTACCTTCCCGCGAGCGCCTGCAAGTCCCTGGATAATTTCGAGCAGCAGGTGACTCTAAAGCAGGAAGGAGTCAAAGACATTGAAGGGTAAAAAAAAGTCGGGAGCGTTTTTAAGGGAGGCGTTTCTTTGCACCTGTTTACATCTTTCCCGATCTGGATCACCTCTCGGTTAACCGGATAAGGACACATATCCTAGGCTTGAACTCGAACTGGCATGACCTCTATCTCGTCTCGCCGTTTACGCAAAGAGCTCAGTGAAATACAGACAGAAGGATGTCCGACAGGTACGTTTTCTCACATGCTGTACGTGCAGCTGACCAACCCACTGTTAATTACAGGCATCACACTACTCAGTGCTGACAACTTTGAGACGTGGTACTTCTCCATAGAAATTCTGGGAGAAAGTCTATACCAGGTCTGAGAGGTTCACTTTCGTGAATTATCGGTCCTTACAAAATTTATGGTCAGGGGGAGGTATTCAAGCTCATGTTTCGCTTTGACCCAAGCTACCCCATCTCGGCGCCTGCAGTACAGTTCGTCGTCAACCAGGAGTCAACGGCACCTGTGCACCCGGTGTGTATATCCACAGTTGAAGTTTGTGGTGATAACTGACCATTTGTTAGCATGTATACTCCAATGGACATGTGAGCTCAATTTTTGCTGACCACTCAGCGCGCTGTGTTATTTCTGACGCGTCGTAGATCTGCGCTTCTATCCTTGGAACGGAATGGTCACCAGTTCTGAGTGTCTCTGCTGTGTGTGTAACCCTGCAGAGTATGCTCGCGTCATGTAAAGTGAGTTTCTCCTAGGTATCCGCGATACAGTTCTTCTAGAAACATGATTTGTGTTACAGTCAAAGGAACGGTGAGCTCCCATCCCAATAACCGGTGTCGTCCATTTATAACGCGGACTCTGAAGGCCTGTAGATAATGACAGGTACGTTCGGTACGCACCCGATAATCCAAAGAAGGTACGTTTCGGCGCCCTGTTAGACGTTATTCAGGAACCTCTGAACTTTTCGGCATCTAGACACGTTTCCACTATGACGGTAAGCAGCCGGTGCACTGAATATGTCCGTCGGCTCACGGGATTTCTACTTCATCACACGATTAGATGATACGTATGTCTTCGCCTCAGTTGTCCATGTTCAATCATACTGACATTTGCTTTGATGATTAGGGTGTAGCAGTAGTAGTTGTTGGATATATCTTGGGCCTAAAGGCAGATGTTGTACTACTAAACCAAGGGGATCATCGTGGCAATGCGAGGAGTCATATTCCACTTCTTTTGGATATCATCATGGGATTTTTGCTATGACGAAGTTCGGAGCTTAAGACCCCACAGATGACGCTTTTAGACTCCGTGATCGCATGCTCGAGCTTGAGCTGATTGCGGCGCGCGTTGGACTGCAGAAGTCTGTTTCTACCCACGAGGTGTAGATTCATTGGTGAGAAAAACAGCTTGGTAGCATGTGCTGAAGAGCTTTGAGGAGATAAGTGGATGGCCGCAGTCGACTCTTGCTCACCTCGGTGGTAGTCTATCCAAGCTTATCGATCCTTAGACCCCCCAGCATGTGCACCAGCGATGTCAGGAGATGCTTGCCATTGGATCACAGGTATAAAGCAGCTCGGTGTCCGAGAAGTAAAGTGTATTATACGCGCTCCGTGAATTACCAGTCAACCCCCCAAATCATCAGTCAACGTCGGGAACGTATGGCTCTACCAACATCTTGCTGAACTCCTTCAGCTTCTGTGGACCACGGACTTCTTCCGTCAGTAGCGGTAGCTGAACGATGTGGAAGAATTCGTCGTAGAGCTCATGAGCCTCAGCAAGATATTTTTGCTGCATCTTTCTTCGTACTTGACAGTGCTCGCAGTTGGATGCTGGATGTAAATTAGCATTGCATGACGTGGAACGGTAGCGTGCACTTGCATGTCTTGGGAAAGAGCAGCTGGTTGACGACAATATTATGCGTGTCGATCTCATAAGCCGTCAGTTCCTGAACGAGACGCTCCGTCTCGTACAGAGACAGGAACTCGGAGATACAAACACAAACGAACGTAGTTTTTTCCTGAAAACAATACGAATTAGTTTCAAGTATAGCCTTGAACGATGACGCATACAGGGTCCTTGAATTGCGTGTTGACTTCGTTAATGACAGCGCGCATAGACTCTAGCTTTGCAAACATATCCTCCTGCGAATCCTGCTGGCCACCCATCATACTCGACATTTGTCTGATCATGGGCCCGAATTGTCCACTGAGCGTGCTGAGTTTGCCCAGGGCCTTCTCCAACACAGTGGGGAACGAAAGGAAACGCAGGGTATGACCTGTTGGTGCGGTATCAAACACGATGACCGAATACTCCATCGACTTGACATGTCTGTAAAGACGTTGTCTGATCAATCCATGGAAGTCGGAAGCTAGATGACAAACTTCATGATCTCAGCAAAACTCATTGCTTCGTCGACACCAGGAATAGCGAACGCAAGATCTTGCATCATCGAGCCCATCATGCCGTTTGAATCAGCTGGTGTTTAGAGGTGTCAGTAGGAGCGGTGTTGGAAAAGGTCAATTTGTACATTGCTCGACCATCTCCTGGATTGCACTTGTAGGATCGATTTCCATAGCGGACAGGTTATCGAACCCATTGACCTTTGTCGCGTCTTTAGAGAACTTCTGTCCGAAAGCATCTGACAGATTATGTGCTGGGTCGGTGGACTACGGCTGAGAGTGGACGATGTCTTTGAGACCGTAGATGTGATCACGTACGATGAGCAGCACCGATTCTCGGCATTGAGCAAGTTGGATGGCTAACGAACATGAGGTGGTTGTTTTTCCTGTACATGTGGATCAGGTTTCTAGCTGTTCAGAATTAAGGGGCCACGTACCTACACCACCCTTACCACCTGTATTGCATCCAGCCCAGTAAGTCACGGTGATGGGCAAACCAGATAGTGCGAGAACATACCGCAGAATATCCATTTCAAAGATTTTTGATCCAGAACGTTTTGCAGAGTTGGCGGTAACGTTTCTTCTGCCATTTGGGATGGTCGTTTATAGTCGTAAGGAAGATGAGAGTTGCGCGTCTTCAAGTATACTGTGAAACCGTGGCCAAGCCCCGTTTGGACGAGCAGCCTCTTTCAGCTTCCACATCCTACTGCGACATTCTACACATCAGTAGAATAAAATTGTAGAGTACGTGTTCAGCTTTCACTCTGATCACCATGTCAGAAAACAAATTATCATTCAGAGGTTAGTTACTCAAGATTCTATCAGTGTGAGACAGACTCATGTATGTCCCACAACAGCTTTACGACTAGCCAACGAACAACGGACTGCTTATGGTCTTCGGTATAATGACTTCACGCGATACAGGAAGCATTGTGCAAATAGGACGCATCGTCTTAGGTCCACCCTCAAAACGACCCATGGCAAGGGCAGGGAGTTCAAGAAACTGCCTCCCTTAAGTACAGATAACATCAAGGATGGACAGTGCGTATTACATCACAATTTTACATATGGCGAATAAATGGAGCTCGGATAGCTTGGAGCTTCTACTCTTCGAATCAGAACGTGCTTGGGCTTACTCTCAGGATCTCGCCACTCAATCTCTACAGCCAGCCAATGACGCCCAAGCTGGCACCCTGCGACATAGTGCTACAGGACGCTTCCGCCGTGCAGTACACTGGTCGACGCAACTTCTCTCGCACTGTCAATCTCTATATGCATCTTCACGCCTCTCTGCAGAAGGGCTCATGCAAATTACCATCTACACTCTCATCCTCAACGGCCGCTTCCTGCGTTACCGAGACAACTTCGAGGACGCGGTGATCCAGCTCAGCGTTGCAAGGCACCTTCTCGACGAACTCGCTGACCGTGCTGCAACAAGCAGGGACCAGGCTCTCGCGACGGTCTTTGCAGATGAAATCGGCCCTGAAATCAGATATTGTGCGCATGAGCTTGGAAGGGAGAAGGCGTATGATGTGGATGCGATCGCTGTTGAGTTATCGGAGAAGCATCGAGGAGAGATCGTCGAGGGATTTGATGCTTTGATTCAGAAATTTAGGCAGGAGGGAGAGGTTGCTGGGAAAGGTGAGGGGAGGAAAAAGCTGGCGACATTGATGTGGGAAGGTCAACCGGTGCCGGTGCGCAATCCGGAGTTGGTGGATGTGTTGCTTAGGGTGCAGGAGGCAGAAGCGAAGATTATTCAGTCTCGTGAGCCTGCTCGCGCAGAGAGTACCAGTGATAAGGGTAGAAAGAAAGGCAGGTCGGGTGGTCATGGGTCAAAGAAGGGCGTTGCCGCATATGACGCTATTCTCCTCGCTCTTAGCGATGCCGAAGAGGTGGCCAGGAAACTTGTCGAAGCACAACAGGTGGGTCGTCACCTTCGTCGATTCGTATCTATGATTAATCGACTCGACAGAACTCTGGAAGTTCATCTACCTCTGCAGCTGGAACGCGTGATATTCACTTTGTTCATGCCTACATCGTCTATCAATTACTCTCTCGACGGATCCAGCGTGACCTCCTCCTGGTTTCTGCTCTGCTCACCTCACATCGGCCACAGGCATCCGCAAAACCAAAGAAAGAGCATGTCGACGCTCGACTTTATCCTGCAGTGGTCAAGCTCCTGGACACTGTCATCCAAAGTCTTGCCCAGATGCGCAACTTGAGCATCGTAGACGAGAGCCCTGACCTGGCGTCTGCTGTCGAGGCCCGCCTTACATCCACCAAAGCCAGGAGGTACAGATCAACTCTTGTGGTACTGATTACGTGCGCTGATAGTGTTTCAAGGTGTTCTTATCTTGCGCAGTGCTATGTAGCCGTGAAAAAATATGCCGAGGCACTCTCATTGATCCAACACGCAAGCATCTATCTCCGTGAAACGCGTTCTACACTGTCCATCTTCTCAGAAGACCCTATTTCCTCCGGATCTTCCGCTTACTATCCACTCACGTCTTCCGATCTCGACGCTCTAGAGTCCATCATCACTCAAGACGGCCTGACGATTAAAAACGAATGGTTCGCACACAATGGCGGCTCCATCGATGCGGACAATAAGACGTACAAGAAACCATTGTTTTTCGATATCGCGTTAAACTACGTGCAGTTGGATATGGACAGATTGCAGGAGAGAGCTGGGAAGGTGCCTGCACCGGCGCTTGTTCCTGTTCAAGTCGTTCCTGCAAAATCACGTTTGGAGGAGGTGGCGAGACCGGAAACGCCAGAACCACAGGCGCCTGCGAGGGGAGGACTTAGCAGTTTGCTTGAGGGATGGTGGGGGCGGAAGTGAGGTACAACAATGTGAAATTTTATTAAGATATATGCTTAGGTGAATAGTCAAGTACAGTATATTCATACACAAAGCAAAAGGGCAGCATATTGTCCGACAGCTATATCAAAAAAGAAGCTCCGCACAATCATGGCGTGATGAACTAAGATGCAAAGGACTTGTCAGAGACATTCACCAGCAATTAGCAGCGACTTACTGCTTCAGATGCAGACTCGGAAAACTCAGAATGGCCCCCCAGTTTCTTTGCCTCGGGCGCACTGATGAGACTGATGCTGCGCCCAATGTTTTGCACTTCCTGCCAGAACTCGGGGTTTCCTGCCTCCTTGAGGCACGATTCCTTCAAATCCTTCAGGAAACTGAAAACGATAGAACATTTGAGCGCCAAATGGAACGAAACTACAGAGGACTTACGCATTCCAAGCATCAATCTCATCCTCCTTCAAGCACGTATCCCGCATGGCTATCATACACTCAATCATCTCTGTATGCCGCCTCGATGCGAATGGCCTCAACACCACCTCTTTGATGGTGACGCCCATATCTTCTACAGCCTTCGTCACCACGTCTCCCTGTGCAAGATTTGTCTTGAAATCGCGCAACGGGTAGGTCGAACCGATGATACGGCCAGGCGAACGACCAGGGTCTACGTCAGGCGACATCGAGCGTTCTGGAGTGGGCAGCGCGTTAAAGGGCCGCTTTTCGAGCAGTAGGGGCTCCTGGTCGGATTCTTCTTCCGTCTCTGAGTCTGAAGTGGTGGGTTTCTTGGCTGGTTGTGCAAGTTTGGGTGAGACAGGTACTTGAGAGGCAGCGGGTTCTTTGCCTTTGCGCGACGGGGCTGGTTTTTTGTCGAGGAGAAGCATGTCTTCATCTTCGTCCATGGCGCGGACGTGACCATCTTTGCGAACTTTGACCACTTTCTTGGGCACTGGATGAATATGGGTATGAGCATCGGGTGAATAATGAAATAGGGGGTGATTGAGTGACTACCTTCTTTGACTTTGAACGCTGCTTTGCATTCTGCGATTGCGTCTCTACTTTCTTTGAGGGCCCACCGAGGAGGGTTGATGTATTTAAGGAGTTCCGGATGGGGTGGAGGAAGGGGGTTGCTAGCAACGTCGTTCACCACTGCGCTGTGGAAAAGCGCCTGTTTCGTGCGATGGATAGCGGGGTTGTACGACTGGCGGGTGTCGTACCATGGGACTGGTTTCCTGTGTAACAACTAACTCAGCAAAACAAAGCAAGCTTCTGGTGGATCAAAAACGCACCCCTCATCGTCTGTCTCCCCTGAATCCATGATGTCCATAGAGTCGATGAATTTCCCCATGGCTTCGAGTTGATCTTCTGTGGGAAGGTAGGGGTGCTTGGCCACTGATTCGCCGTTTTTTGATACAAGGTTCTCGAGCGAGGCAAAGGTGTATTTCCGGACGTCGTCTGCGAAGGGCATCTATCATACCGGACAAGAAGTTGAGTTCAGATTGAGAACGGGGGAGTAAGAAGGGAGGCGTACCTGCACCCACAGTAGAAAATCGATATTTGTATCAACGCTTGGTGCTAAAACGCCCATCTTTGGGTCCATGCCGTCCCTGGACACCCAGCGCGCGATGGCGAGCACGCCTTTCTCGTACATCGCTTGTACAATGGACGAGAGCGCGACCTGCTGCTGTGGTGAACCGGGGTCTGCCCAGATATATTGAACTTCCCCCATCGCCAGCTCCCGGCGGAACTGTGTCTGCGTGAGCTATGCACACGGAAATAAAGAGGTACGCGTACATTCTTCGCATGAAAAAACCCGCAGATATCGATGCCCTTTCTCGTGTTCAAACGCGGGAACTGTCCGTCAGGGCACGGAGCGTACGTGGAGCCGTATTTGAAGCCCCTGATGAGTTGTTCCTTCTGCACCTGTTCGAGGTTCTTGTCCTTGTCCTCCTCATCATCACTACCCGTATCCATCTTTTCCTGTTCTTCTCCTTCCTGGGCTGAGTGATCGATGTAGTATTCTGTGCGCATCTTCAGCTGCGCGAAAACTGCCATGTCTTCCTCCTCCTCAACTTGCATTTGGTCGTCAGTTTTTTCGCGTCGGCCGAATTTCTTCCAGCTCTTGGGGCGTGCGAGGGCTGTGCATTTGCTGGCTTTGACAAGGATTTCAATGGCTTCATCGGGTCGGACGTCGACGTCGCCGAGACGGAGGACGGTACCAATAAGTGCGGATTTGGTTTGTTTGATGTCCGGTCTGGCGATTTCCTGGAGAGCAAAGGCACATGTTCCGACCAGGCCGTTGTCAAGGGCTGAGGTGAGCTTGTGGTAAAATGCTTCGTTTTCAACCTGATAGGAAAGGAGGTTAGATATGAAAGGACGAGGAGATGAAATGTACCTTGATAGAAGACTTGTCCTCCTCGTGGAATGGGAATTCGTCATCATCAAAGTCGATACCACTGATGCAGTACAAATCACGACATGAACAGAAATTGAATGAGTAGCTTACATGACAGTGAAAGATATAGCCAGGGCATTCATTTTCTTAACAGTTGCCTCCCAGTCCTCAATTTCCATGGGACTCTGGCCATCTGTCACGAGGACGATTTTACGCGTCCATGTGCGCTTCTTCTCGAGGTAGATGTCTTGTGTTTCGATGCCGACGATGAGGGCATCGATAGCTGTAGAGAGTAAGATTTATGATTCTCAGGAACTATTAAGCACGCACGATCTCCAGAGTTCTCTGAAGGCTGGAGGGCGTCAAGCTTGGCGAGTGTGGTCGAGTTGGGCTGCGTGATAGGGATGTATTCTGAGACATGTTGATATCCGCCATTCTTTTCGTGAATGATGTTGTCCGTCTCTGTAATATAGTCAGAACCCACTTCACGCGTACAAGAAATGGTGGCGCACCTTCTGAGCCAAAAAGGATGACGCCGCATTGGTCCGTCTTGCGGCCATTGAAAATCTAGATTGGCATGACTCGATAAGAACGGGGTCTGGTTTTCTGAAGGAACTGACCATTTCTTGGATCTTGAGCTTTACGAATTGCAATGCCCATTCAAGGTTGGTCATCTCTGTGGTGCGCTCCTCCCCGGTGGGCGTAGGGGGTAATTCTACGGTTCTTGTTGCACCCATCGACGGAGAGACGTCGATGAGGAACATCGTTACAGTGTACTGTAGGTCATGTAAGAATTAAAAATGTAATGAAAAAGGGAGCTTACTCCTGCACGTTCTGCTGGCATGTTAGTGGTTAGGGAGAGAGCAACACGTCGGATGAGAAACGCGTCAATTAGGGATGAAACACGTGACCGTCGTGACTTGCTGACAACGGCTGCGCAAATAAAAGTTCCCACGGCATTCCTGCTTTTGTTTTGACCTTGAGGAAGAGCCGAGAGGCACGAAGGCCGGACAAGCCACCCATGGCCATGCAAGGCCAAATCCCGATACAGCCAGTCCACCAACAAAATTCATTCACTAATAATCAACAGATGCAGGCTGCAATGAGCCAACAGCAGCAGCAGCAGCTATCGCCTGCTCAGCAACGACAAGCACAGCTTCAACGGTATCATATGTTTCTTCAGGTCAGTCTTAATCTATTACAGAAGGTTGCCGTGTCTTTACCGCTTTTCAGCGCATCAAAGAGCTCAGACAATCAGGCGCCACAATGGAGACATCCCCTGAACTTGCACAGCTTGTTAAGCAGGTCAATGCATATTCACAAATGGCCCAACAAATGAGTCAGTCTCTTGTCTACCCGAAACCTCTCTAGGAGGCTGAACCTATGTTCCTCAGGTAAACAATCGCACCCAGACCAGCCACAGTCAAACGGGCATCTACCACCTCCTCCCACTGATGGTCTCGTAAATGGAGCTGCTGCAAACGGTCATTCTTCACCTCAGTCTATCCCAGGCCCCCCCATTACACCTGTATCCTTCACTCAAGAACAAATAGCCGCTCTACGTGCTCAGATAATGGCCTTCAGACTCGTATCCCGCGGTTCCCCCATCCCTGACCACCTACAGCATGCAATTCGCGTTCCTAACACCGCCGTCCCAGATCTCGAGAAGCTTCTCCAGGGCCCAGACGCGCCCTCCCGTATAGTGGATAGCGCTGCCAAAATGCAGAAAGGCCACATTGCCCCGCCCCCGCCAACCGAACCTCCCGTGCCAGTTGAAGTCATAAAAGAAGAAGAGCATGGTCCTCCGATTGACCCTGCTGATCTTCCCAAAGGTCCCTTCCTCGAAGAAGCAGTCAATTCGGGCGTGTATCCATACAACGCATTCAAGCTTCCCTTCTCTCACCTCGAGCGCCCACCCAACGTTGACCCAACTATGGTCGCAACGCGCCTCCAGCGCCTCCTCATCCCCTCTATCATGCCCACAGGCCTCGATGTGCACCAGATCATCAACGAGCGCGATCGTTTCATCGAAGCGCGCGTCCAACAGCGCATTAAAGAGCTCGAGGAGATTCCAGCTACCATCGGCGATGGCAACTTTGACTCTCTGGCGGACGTTATTCTCGGCTCGCACAAGCAAGAGCCTGCCAATGACAACCAGCAACTCTCAGCGCTGTCCCCACACGGAAAGCTTCGCGCGATGATCGAGCTCAAGTCACTCAAGGTGCTGGAGAAGCAACGCGCCATGCGCGCGCTCGTTGCGGAGCGCCTGATTCAAGGCACCCTGCTCCCGCTCAACCGCGTGGACTTCAGACGGGCGCGCAAGCCTACACTCAGGGACGCACGCATGACCGAGCAGGCGGAACGCAAGCAACGTATCGACCGCGAGAGGCGTGCAAAACACAAGCACGTCGAGCAGCTTGGTGTCATCTGCCAACACGGACGGGATATCATCGCCGTGAACCGATCTGCGCAGGACCGGGTCGCAAAACTCGGGCGTGCCGTGTTGTCGTTCCATGCATTCACTGAGAAAGAGGAGCAGAAGCGTATCGAGAGGATATCGAAGGAGCGTTTGAAGGCGCTCAAGGCGGATGATGAAGAGGCATATATGAAGCTTATTGATACGGCAAAGGATACGCGCATCACTCATTTGCTGCGGCAGACGGACGCCTATCTTGATTCGCTTGCGCAAGCTGTTGTGGCGCAACAGAATGAGTCTGGCCCCCTGGATACAAACTTTGACCAAGAGGAAGGTCCCGCCAACGAGGCTACATTTGGCGCTCAAGTCAGTGCCGATGCCCAGGATGACAAGGGCAGGGTGGACTACTATGCTGTTGCACATCGCATTTCGGAGAAGGTCTCCAAGCAGCCTGGGATTCTTATTGGCGGTTCGCTCAAAGACTATCAGCTCAAGGGCCTGCAATGGATGGTCAGTCTATATAATAACAAGCTGAACGGCATCCTTGCAGATGAAATGGTGAGCAAGGTCATCTAATTATACATTTTCATATCTCATACGAGCGCAGGGTCTTGGCAAAACTATCCAAACAATTTCATTGATCACCTTCCTCATCGAGGTCAAGAGGCAACGAGGGCCTTATCTCGTCATTGTGCCGCTATCAACAATGACAAACTGGTCCGGCGAATTCGCAAAGTGGGCGCCGACGGTGAAAATGATCTCGTACAAGGGCAACCCTGCGCAACGGCGCAACCTCCAAGGCGACCTGCGGATGGGCCAATTCCAAGTTCTGCTCACTACTTACGAGTACATCATCAAGGACCGACCTATTCTTAGCAAGCTCAAATGGGTGCATATGATCATCGGTGAGTAGGTTTGAGCATTTTGTTGGTCCTTGGTTGCTTATTCTTGGAATTAGACGAAGGTCATCGTATGAAGAACACCCAGTCAAAACTCGCGCAGACTCTCACGCAATACTACCACTCCCGCTACCGCCTCATCCTCACCGGTACCCCACTTCAGAATAACCTCCCCGAACTTTGGGCCCTCCTCAACTTCGTCCTACCCAAGATCTTCAACTCTGTCAAATCGTTCGATGAGTGGTTCAACACACCGTTTGCGAACTCGGGCACGGGGGACAAGATTGAGTTGAACGAAGAAGAGGCACTGCTGATCATCCGGCGGTTGCATAAGGTGTTGAGGCCTTTCTTGTTGAGAAGGTTAAAGAAGGACGTAGAGAGTGAACTTCCGGATAAGGTGGAGAAGGTTATCAAGGTCCGCATGAGTGCGCTGCAGAGTCAGCTGTATAGGCAGATGAAGAAGCACAAGATGATTGCTAATGGAAAGGATGCGAAGGGGTATGTTTAGTGCTTTCGGTGGAGCGGCTGAGTCGTGATGCTGATGTTTTGTTTTGTTAGAAAATCTGGAGGCGTAAAGGGTCTGAGCAATGAGCTCATGCAGCTGCGCAAGATCTGTCAACATCCGTTCTTGTTCGAGAGCGTCGAAGACAAGGTCAATCCCACTGGTCTCATCGACGATAAATTAGTCAGGTCGGCTGGCAAACTCGAGCTCTTGTCGCGTATCCTTCCCAAGTTCTTCTCAACAGGTCACAGGGTGCGTCGCTTTCTGTGATTGCCCGAGCTGTGCTGATCATTCTTTCTATCAGGTTCTTATTTTCTTCCAAATGACGAAGGTCATGGATATCATGGAAGATTTCTTGAAGATGATGAACTGGAAGTATCTTCGCCTTGACGGTGGTACGAAGACGGAGGAGCGTGCCTTGCATGTACAGCAGTTCAATGCGAAGCATTCAGAGATTCAAGTCTTCATCCTATCGACACGAGCTGGTGGTCTGGGTCTCAATCTGCAGACTGCAGATACGGTTATCATGTGCGTTGTCTCTTGTGGTCGCGTCGTTCTCTATGCTGACACATAGGTTTGCAGCTTCGATAGTGACTGGTGAATAAGCTTCTGGCTACTCTTTGAATAGATGTGCTGATGATGATGCAGGAATCCCCATGCTGATCTTCAGGCTCAAGATCGTGCTCATCGTATCGGTCAAACCAAGGCTGTTCGCATCCTCCGTTTCATCACGGAGAAGAGCGTTGAAGAAGCCATGTATGCTCGTGCGCGGTACAAGCTTGATATCGATGACAAGGTCATCCAAGCTGGTCGTTTTGACAACAAGTCGACGCAGGAAGAGCAAGAAGAATTCCTGGTGGGTGTTACAGCTGTTTTCTCCCAAACAACGGATAGCTGAATGAGTGATATGCAGCGGTCCATCCTCGAAGCAGACCAAGAGGAGGAGGAGAATGAAGAAGCTGGTGACATGAACGACGATGAGCTTAACGAGATGCTAGCGAGAAATGACCAGGAGGTTGAGATTTTCCGTTCGATGGATATCCAGCGGGAACGGGATGCGTTGGATGCATGGCGTGCGGTCGGCAACAGGGGAAAACCGCCGTTGCCGCTCATGCAGCTTGAAGAGCTGCCTGAGTGCTATCAGACGGATGAACCGTTCGAGCCGAAGGAGATTGATGATGCTATTGAGGGCCGTGGTCAGCGTCGGCGTAATGTTGTCAATTATAACGATGGTCTTAGCGATGAGCAGTGGGCAATGGTACGTCTCGCAGGACGTCGCGATGTATGGGTGCTGATTTGGGATTTTAGGCTGTGGAGGACGGCGAGGATTTGCAGGAACTCGTTGATCGTGCCCGTGGCAAGAAAGAACGGCGCGCTGCAAACAAGCTTCTCAAGGATACCGATACGCCTGGTCGTAGTACTCCAGTGTCAGACGTAGGTGTTGGGCGAAAGGGCAAGAAGGGCAAGGGCAAGATGGCCGCCAACGATTATGACACACCTGCTGCGGCTGGGAAGCGGAAACGTGGGATGAAGTCTATGTCTGTGACTCCCTCTGTGATCGATGATGACGACGACGAGCGTGATATGGTGAGCTGATCCTAGGTATCTCTTTTGAAAGTTTTTCTGATGATATCGCTGTCATCTAGAAACGACGGAAAACGAAAGCGGGCGACATATCGCCTGCAATAAAGGACAAGATGAAAAAGGCTTTCAACGAGGTTCTCAAAGCGGTTCTTGCTTGTGAAGACAAAGACGGCCGGAAACGTTGCGAACTTTTCAGGGAGCTCCCTGACAAGAGAGTGAGTAGAAGATGTCCGCTCTCATGCCACATTGATAGACTGATGATACGATCAGGATTATCCCGATTATTACCAGTTAATCACGCGTCCGATCGCCTTGTCCACACTTCGAAAGCGGGGT